CATGAGGACACCCGGGCAGCCCTGTGGGGAGACCCACTGACACTGGCCAACGGCCAGCACCAACTCATGAGCCGTGTGAGTGACCCATCTTGCAAGTGGATCCTCCAGTCCGTTAGCCTTAGCTGGCTGCAGCCCTGGCCAATGGCTCGGTTACAAGCTCATGAGAGCCCCTGAGCTAGAACCTCCCAAATAAGTGGCTCCTGAATTCCTGACCAGTTGTCACCGTGTGGGATAATAAATGACTGTTTCAGCTGCCTCTGGCTCAGCCCTGGTTGGCACTGTGGTTCCTACAGAATGTCCCCACATGTAAGGGACCCAGAACTTTGATACTAGACCCTACTCTGCCACCTTCTATCAGACCACCCAAGTGCCCAGGACAAGTTTCTCTGACAGCTTTTTATTTATTTATTTATTTATTTTGTATTCTTTTTTTTATTAATTAATTTTTGTTACAGATGTTTCTCCTTTTTCCCCAACTGCTTCCCCTCCCCCTCCCTCCCTGCCCTGTCCCCAGCTTTGTTGTCCATGTCCATTGTTCATGCACACATGCATATAAGTTCTGTGGTTTATCTCTTCCCCACCACCCCCTTTTCTGGGGATTGTCAGTCTGTACCCCACTTCCACGTCTCTGGGACTACCCCATTCCTCAGACTGTTATGTTCATTATATTCCACAAATAAGTGAGATCATATGAAACTTGTCTTTCTCTGTTTGGCTTGTTTCACTTAGGATGATACTTTCCAGGTCCCTCCATGTAGTCTCAAAGGATAAGAGATCTTTCTTTCTTATAGCTGCATAGTACTCCATTGTGTATATGTACCACTGTTTTTTATCCATTCGTCTACTGATGGACATTTGGGCTGTTTCCAGATCTTAGCTATTGTAAATAGTGCTACTATGAACACGGGGGTACATATATTCTTTCTGATTGGTGTTTCAGGCTTCTTAGGGTATATTCCTAGAAGTGGGATCACTAGGTCAAATGGAAGTTCAATTTTTAATTTTTTGAGGTAACACCATCTTGTTTTCCATAGTGGCTGCACCAGTCTGCATTCCCACCAGCAGTGCACTATAGTCCCCTTTTCTCCACACCCTCGCCAACACTTGTTGATGGTGGCCATTCTGACAGGTGTGAGATGATACCTCATTGTTGGTTTAATTTGCATCTCTCTGATGATTAGTGATGTTGAGCACTTCTTAAGTCTCTTAGCCATTTGTATGTCCTGTTTGGAGAGGTGTCTATTTAGTTCCTCTGCCCATTTTTTAATTGGGTTCTTTGTCTTCCTTTTGTTGAGTTATATGAGCACTCTCTATATATTGGAAATTAACCCCTTATCTGATATATCATTGGCAATTATGCTCTCCCATACAGTGAGTCTGACAGCTTTTTAAAAACAGTAATGGGCCCTGGCTGGTTTGGCTCAGCGGTTAGAGCGTCGGCCTGCGGTCCAGAGAGACCCAGGTTCAGTTCCCATTAAGGGTGCGTACCTCGGTTGCAGTTTGTCCCCAGCCCAGGTTGGTTGTGCGGGTGGCAGCCACTCGATGTGTCCCTTTCATGTCGATGTTTTTCTGTCTCTCTCTTCCTCTCTCCCTCCCACTCTATCTGAACAGAAAATGGAAAAATGTCTTCGGGTGAGGATTTAAAAAAAAGAAACAGTAATGGCACACAGCAGGAAGTCTATCTGTTAAAGGAAAATGAATCTTTAAAGGAAAAGAAAAGGGAGGAGGAACTAACGGTCCTTTCCAGAGGTCCCGTGAGTCCCTGAACCTGCATGAGAAGGAGATACTCAGGGCCTGGGGCTCACTTCTACTCATTCCAAGCTGATTGGTTTGGAGAAGTTATTTAATTTCTCAGTGGTCTGGTTTTACCTATAAATGCAGGTGTGGTAATACCCATTTGCAGGACTTTTGTGGGGATTAGAGATATTTAAAATAACTTTTATTAGGAGGGCAGGATGTGCTAAGCACTTACACTCCACATGTAATCCCCTAACAACCCTTTGCAATGGGTGCTGTGCTTCTCCCATCAGGAGACTGGAGCACATAAAATTCACATGATCGCCCACTGCTGGAGCACATAAAATTCACATGATCAGGAGCACATAAAATTCACATGATCGCCCACTGCTAGTAAGTACACATGCACCTGGCACATAGTGTGCATCTTTGTAAAAGTTGCTGTTTAGATCTTTTAACCCTCCAAACGACTGTTTTTCTAGGTGAGAAAAAGGGGCCTCAGCAGCGTTTGGTAAATCTCCCAAGGCCGACTCCAAGTCTGCACTCCGTCCCCACCTGAGGTGAGTCCTGCGAACGCCAGCCCATCCCTGGGGCCCTCCTGCTGCTGCCTGGCTGAGACGGTCATTCTTCTGATATTGTCCCTCCACCTGGTACACAGGCCTTCCTCCTGCTGGTACACAGGTTCAAGGGAGTTAGGGAGTTAGGCTGCCACATAAAACATGCGGATTTCTGCCTTCTCTGATCAAATGAGGCGCTGGCTGGCTTTCCTGGGTGGTGAGCCACCTGGAGCTGGGGAGCAGCCCTCTCCCAGATGGAGCCCGGGCCCCCATCTGCCACTGACCGCAGAGCCAAATCCAATGTCCTATGCCCTGGATTTTCCTGCCAGAATGGACACTGTGCTCTCCAAGTCACACCCTTGGCCACGCCTCCCACCCCCTCTTCAAAGCAACAGCACTTTTGCTCCTCCTCACCCTTAGAATCTCTCTGATGTCTTCTTTCCCAGCCAGAGAAAACTCTCAGCTTTTAAAGGGGCCCATGTGATTAGATTAGACCCACAGGAATAATCTCTGATCTGATCTTTAAGGAGGTTCCTGTCTTAAACCATTCAACACAGCACAGTCCTGGGAGTGCTATCTCATCATACTCCTAGGCTCCAGGGATTAGGGCAGGGCTTTTGGGGAGAGGAGGCGTTTTAGAAGTTCTGCCTCCCACACAGACTGACATGAGATGGAAGTAACCGTACCAGTGCTGGCACCTGATTTTGATGGTCACAGTGTGGTCGAGTAGCCTTCTTGCAAAGGCACTTGTTTGCAAGAAATCCACATGGAGACATTCAGGATGACAGGGCATCAGGGCAGCAGTTTACTCTCACATGACTCAGTGTTAAAGAATAGCTCTTTGGCCCTGGCCGCTTTGGCTCAGCGGTTAGAGCGTCAGCCTGCGATACAGAGAGACCCGGGTTCGGTTCCCGCTAAGGGCATGTACCTCGGTTGCAGTTTGTCCCCGGCCCTGGTTGGTCGTGCGGGTGGCAGCCACTCGATGTGTCCCTTCACATCGATGTTTCTCTCTCTCTCTCTTCCTCTCTCTCCCTCCCGCTCTATCTGAACAAAAAAATGGAAAAATGTCCTCGGGTGAGGATTAAAAAAAAAAAAAAAAAAAGAATAGCTCTTTGGCCCTCGCCGGTGTGGCTCAGCGTTGGAACATCGGCCCAAGGACCGAAGCGTCCTGAGTTCAATTCCAGTCAAGGGCACGTACCTGGGCTGCAGGTTCAATCCCTGGCCCCTGTTGGGATTGTGGGGAAGGCGACCAATCAATGTGTCTCACATTGATGTCTCTCTCTCCTCCCCTCCCCGCCCCACTCTTTCTAAAAATCAATGGATAAATATCCTCAGGTGAAGATTAAAAAAAAAAAAAAGTTCTTTGTACTATTCTTGAAACATTTCGATATATGTGTGTGCAGATAGATTAAAAAGATGGATGGCTATGGATACAGATGTGCATATATGCAAAGAAAAATGGAAAAAATCTAGAGATACAAAAGTTAGCTGTGATTACCTCTGGGAAGTGAAATTGTTTGTGGCGGGGAGAGGTAGACAGCTTTTAGTTGGGGTCTGTATTGTTTAAATGTATTTATGAGTAGGTATTACTTTCATAATAAAATAAAAACCAGGAAACAAATCTATGGAGTAAACAGGAGACTGGCTGCTGGTGTCTTGGCAGAGGCAACGAGCAGAGGGTGGCGGCTGAGGCCGAGATGAAGAGATGAGGCAACAGGACATGTTATCGCTGGTGCAGCTACATGCTTCTCCACAGAGCTGCCGAGAAACCAGACTTCAAATACAACCTGTACTGGGCAGTGGGAACAAAGGTGACTTTCTGTTGGCTCTGCAGGCCTGCCAGATGTCAACAGTGCTTCCCAGACAAGGCCTGCAGCTTCTGTTCGCCGTGTGCTTCCCGGTATTGAAGACTCGTGTTTCTCTTTGGTCACTGACTATACCTCTTTAGCCTCTTGTCTAGTACCCGTCTGCCCGATGGCACCCCACGTCACATGACGTATGGCTCGAAGGCAGGGAAACAGCAAGTACATTTCTTGTGATGGGTTAAATTGTGTCGCCCCAAAATTTGTATGTTGAAACCTTAACTCCCCAATACCTCAAAATGTGACCTTACTTGGAGTACGGTCTTTAGAGAGGTAGTCAAGTTAAAATGAGGTTACTGAGGTGGGCCCTAATCCAAAATGACTGGTGTCCTTGTATGAAGACATCAGGACACGAGACGCACAGTGAGGGAAGACGGTGGGGCTGCACAGGGAGGGAAAGGACAGCCATCCACAAGGGCTGTTCTTACAACTCTTGTCTGTGTTAGAAATGTTTTCAAAATCAAGTTAAAACTTAAAACAAGCCCGGCCAGTGTGGCTCAGTGGTTGAGCGTCAACCCCTGCACCAAGAGGTCGCCGATTTGATTCCTGGCCAGGGCACATGCCCAGGTTGTGGGCCAAATCCCCAGTGAGGAGCATATAGGAGGCGGCCAATCGATGTTCTCTCTCATTGATGTTTCTATCTCTCTCTCCCTCTCCCTTCCTCTCTTTCTAAAATCAATAAAGAAAAAAATGTTTTAATCAATAAAAAAAATATATTTTTAAAAAAACTTAAATAAAAAATAAGGATAGAGTGTAAAAGCGTCAAGCTCCTGGGAAACCCACTACAGACCCTAGGTAGCAGAGGCCTGGTGGACCTTCCAGAAAGAGCTAGAATTTAGCCAGGTTTTAAAAAGCTTTATTTTTTCCATAATTTCCCCCCCAAATAGCTAATGTCCTTGCAGTGTTAAAGGATCCTGGAATTTGAGTCCAGAAAATGTCTCGAATGCAGTTCATGGCCTGACAAATGACTGAAGAAAGGCTTGTGTTGATTCTGGTGACCCTCATGAGGGGCTTCCACAGTCCGGCCTGGCTCAGAGGAAGGCCTCTCATAGTCTGGACGTGGCTGGCAACAGCCCTCCCTCTCTTGGTCCAGCCACAAAGGCTCGCCGGCTGTAGTGGGAAGGTTCCAGACCAGGGCTCCCAACAACATCCTCACCTCCGATGATCTGCTCCAATGGCATCTGTGACTCGAGGGAAACCCTGCTCCCTGGAAAAGGATAAACAAAGCAATTTCAGAAAATGATGAAGGACTGGCACTATTCTTACCAAAAACCCACATTATCTGGGCTCTTAGCTGTTCCATAACTGCACCCCTCTCTCTCGATCCCAAACAAACACTTCATGCCCCCTATGCTGTGTTCACCCAGGAGTCTAGAGATAGGAACACCCAGGTCTTCAGATCAGGAAGGCAGGAGATTTAAGCACGATAGCTCTCTGACATCAAGCCAGTGTCACTGCATTCATGAGAATGCCTCCAGGACACCTCAGGCATATAAACACCACTGCCTTGGAAGTTAATCTTGAGTTCCTTGACACTGTTTGTCCTTTGTCAGAGGAGCAGCAGAGTAATCTTCCCCTGTGTTCAGAGTGTACCCCTCAAATACTTTTTGCATGAAGAGTAAATACAGACCAATAGGATCTCTTTGATTTGAGTCATTCTGAATTGATACATTAACTTCTGTTTCAAGATACACATGGCCCCACTCACTTCAAAAGGGCCACCAGCTCCCGCTTGACTCTGCCCACGACAGGTGGACCCCTGTAGGTGAGGGCCGTGTACAGCTGCACCAGGCAGGCCCCAGCCCGGATCTTCTCCAGTGCGTCCTGTCCGCTGCTCACACCACCAACCCCGATGATGGGAACTTTGCCTGCAGAGAAGCAACAGGGAAACACCATGAACAATGGCAGACAATGTAAGAACCAGGGGCTCAGTTTGGCTTAAGCCCTCGGCCCACCTGCTGAATGTGATTCTGATCACAACCCCAGAGCCCGAGCCACACACAAATCTGGACACGTGGACACCGAATCCTTGCCTTGGGTGAGTGCATACATCTCCCGGATGGTTTGCGTTGATAAGTCCCGGAGGGGCTTCCCACTCAGCCCTCCTGTTTCAGAGCGCAGGGCACCCTGGAGGCTGGCAGGGCGACTCACTGTGGTATTCGTGACAATCAGTCCATCGATGCCCAACTGCAGTGTGAATCAGAGAAAGAGCTATACAGTCAGGGCACTGTCGGACTCAGAGAAGCTTCCGTGGGGGTCTGAGAGAGCAGGGAGGCCAGATGCCCACACCTACAGTCCCCGAAATCAAGAACTGTCCCAGACCTCACTTTGCTTCTTCAACAAGTGTCAGAATGAGCCTCTACATGGCAATAGTTGCCATCATATAGTGACCACCCATAAAGTTCCACGAGGACAGGGTTATAATCCTTATAACAACCCAGTCTAGTGTGTCCTGTCCAAAGTCTCCAGGTAGTAAATGGTGGAAGCAGGATTTGAACCCAGGACTGCTGGGCTCAGTCTGTTTCCACTACTATCCTACAACACAGAGACTGAAGAGAGAGAAAGAACACAGGCATACCTTGGAGACACTGTGGGCTCAGTTCCAAACCACCACAAAAAAGTGAGTCTCACAATAGAGAGTTGAAATCCTTTTGCCAGTGGAGGGCCTTGTCCTCAGTTTGTATAAAACACACAACAGTCCGAAGCCCCATAAAGCGAGGCCTGCCTGTCCTGTCTGACCCAGACTGGCCCAGGACACAAGCACAAGCCTGAAAGCCCTTGCTGGATGGAGAGGAGGGAGGAGGCATAACAAAGACTCATTCAAACATTTATTCAAGCATTCACTTTTTACTATGGGATGAATTAAGTCATGGCAGATACCAAACCAGCCCTTGGTATCACAGAAAGGACACCAGAGGCTGCTGTCTGGGCTGGCCCAGCTGGCCACACGGCCGCTGCCAGCAATGGGGAGCAGGTGCTCCCAGCACCCTCACCTCTCTCACCACACTGGCGATATCCTCCTTGTCCTGGGCTGTGAGGTCGGGAGCAATCTTCACCAGCAGGGCTGGCTTGTGCGATCCCTTCAGAGCATCCCTCTCCTGCAGCACCTACAGCGACATGTAGCCAGTGATGGGGACCGAGACCACACCGCCTGAGGGTGCAACTGTGGAACGGCAGCTGCAGATCAGTGTATTTTCACATCAGCTATCAGACTAAAGCATGAGCAATTGCTCCTTTTTGGAAAACACAACAGCCCTCAATTATGCAATATACCCCATCAAGGCAAATCTCATTCCATTCCCTTGAACCAAGAGATCCCCAAGATTGAGTCCCTAATGTGGTCACTGGCATCAACTAATGTGATGGCTTATTTAGACTTTTGTTCCTAACAAGGCTGTGTGATAAAAAGTCATTCAGTTCATTCACTCACTCAATGTACTAGGTGCTAGGGACAGCATGGTAAATGAGAGACATGCCTTCTCACGGACCTTTATTGTTTAATATAAAGGACAGAAAACTGAGAAATTAATTACTATTAGCAAAATCAGTGTTGGTAGGGGATTAGAGGTATAGTGAGGGGTCCTAACAGGTCAAGGTGTTAAGGACAGCCCCTAGATCATGACATTGAAGCTTGGCCCTGAAGAAAGAACAGGACAGGCTGAAGTGGGGCCAGATGTAATTTCTCACCTTGGTCAGCAGGTGGCGCAGTTCAGCCTTTCCCTGAAGGTTCCGTAGCCCTGCGGTGTTGGGACTGGACACATTCACTACCAGGTAGTCAGCCAAGGGGCCCAGGACTCGAACACCCTCTGCGTAGTCCGAGGCTGCATCCACTGATGTCTTATTCTTCCCCAGGTTTATCCCCAGTGGCAACCCACCTGCAAATATTCCTAGTCAAAATTTTGTCCCCACACACCTCTTTCTTGACCTCCAACGAGAACTTCCCACACGAGCTGACAAATACTGTGAAATACTGCTTGGAGCTGCTGCCTGCTGGCCAGGAAACAGCTCACCATCTTTGTCTGCGTAGCAATGTTTGGACAACCACTAGGATGTCTTACTGCATTGTGAACCTTGTTCTTTTATAAAATTTAAAAAAAAATTTTTTTTCTTTATTTATTTTGAGAGAGGAGAGGAAGAGAGAGATATAAACATTGATGAGAGAGAACACTGATTGGCTGCCTCCTGCACACCCCCCACTGGGGATTGGGCCCACAGTATGGGCACGTGCACTGACTGAGAATCGAACCGGCGACCTCTTGGTGCATGGGTCGACACTCAACCACTGAGCCATGTTGGCCGGGCATTCTTTTCTAAAATTTAATGGAAAATGGAGAAATTCAGAATGCAAATACTAATGATAAAAAAGATAGGGCTCATAAATGTAATAAAACTGAGAACAGACAGAAATCAATAGGAATGTCAGAAAGGGCAACTGTTGACTCTCAAGGGCTTCTTGCTGGACTTGGGTAGAATGACTGGGTGTGCAGTTCTGAAGAAAACCCAAAATTAAAGCCTATGTATAAAAGACTGAAAAATATTTTCAATTATCATGCCTAAAATGTAGAAGTATAATTATTTTCTAATTTCAGGTTTCTGAGAAGAGCCTCCCCCTATAATCAGGGTGACCATACATCCTTGTGCTCTTAGGACAGCCCTGATTTTTCCTGTGGCCTGGGCATATTATTAATGCCCGCACCCTGTCACTCTCAAAAGTGTCACAATTTGCACAGTAAGTAATACAGCCACCTTACTTAAGAATCCATTGGATGATTACTTGACCTGCATTTTGGACTTTTAGAAAAATATATTTCAATAACAGGCTTTGTATAAAAGCAAGGCGTTTTCTCCTAAAATACCATCTTATCTGCAAAGGTCAATGGTATGTGAATAGTACCAGCTGCTTTTCCATCTGATGGTTGGGAAAAGACCTGAAACATCAAGTTAGCTCAGGTCAAGGAGGATCAAAGAACAACATATAGTCCTACTACCTTCTCATACCCTAAATGTAGTCACCCTCTTATCATCAGCCTGTAAGTAAATGAGATTTGTGTAGCTAATTTGGTGTGTGTTGAGGGGGTGGGGGGCAGGGTTGGAACCCATTAGACGAAGGTTATGTAACCTTTGGAATGGTTCCCAAGCTTTCCAAGTCTAGCATCCACCACGCCAAGGGCATTTGTAAGCACTCATTCTTTTCCACACAAGGAAGCTGGCTTGAAAGAGAGTATCACTTTCATGTAGCTAATGGATCTTTCATTACTAGTCATCTGCCCACACTGACAAGACGTTGGAGTTAGATAGAAACTGCTGAACTACTCTGTCCCTGAAGGGCGCCACAGCCTTTGTCAGCTCATGTTCCTTGGCATGGTGCCAGCAATAAGCTGTCTTCAAGGTTTCCAGCTGTTGGTAAACACTATGTGCAGAGCTCTGCTAAAGGGTTTTGCTTCACTCCAATGAATATTAGTGCCAGAGCAGGGGTGAGAGGATGGGCCAGGGATGACGGGGGAGAGAGCTGGAAAGAGTGTGGACAACTAAAAGGAAAGGGAGCAAGAAGGCAGGAGTGCATCACAAACCATGAAAGTGTCATGACCTTCAGAGTTCCCCAGATGGCAGGGTCTGTGTATAGCAGAGTCTGGTTCTGCCAGAGCCAGGGCTTTCCAAACAAGGTCACGTCCTACTCCCCGAATCAGAGACTGCTGACAGCCTTGGCCCTTTCAACCTCACTTTCTGAAATGAATCTGATAACCAGATTCATCTCATCTTACCACCAGGATACCGAAAGAGTCTAAACCCTCCTGGAAGGAGTTCCAGAGTGATCCAGTGAGGAGAAAGGCCATGGCCCCAAACAATCCCAGAGAGTACCTGGGAAGGGTTGGTGAGGACAACTGCACTGTGACCACTAAGTGCATCCTGGAGGACAGCAAAGCAGAGAGCCCCAGGGAATAAACAGCATCTCTGAACATGGCCTTCAAAAAGGCATGATGGCCCTGGCCGGTTTGGCTCAGCGGTCAGAGTGTAGGCCCATGGACCGAAGAGTTGAGGGTTCAAATTCTGCTCAAGGGCATGTACCTCAGTTGCAGGTTCGATCCCCAGCCCGGGTCATGCGGGAGGCAGCCATCGGTGTATCTCTATCACATCGCTGTTTCTCTCTGTCTCTCCCTCCCTCCATCCCTCCCTACCCTCCACTCTATCTAAAAATCAGTGGAGCCCAGTCATTGTGGCTCAGTGGCTGAGCGTCAACCCATGCACCAAGAGGTCGCTGGTTCAATTCCCGGTCAAGGCACATGCCCAGGTTGTGGGCCCAATCCCCAGTGGGGGGCATGCAGGAGGGGGCCAATCAATGTTCTCTCTCATCGATGTTTCTACCTCTCCCTTCCTCTCTCTCTAACATAAAAAATAAATAAATAAAAGTAAAAATCAATGGAAAAATATCCTCAGGTGAGGGTTTAAAAAAATAATTTTTAAAAAAGCATGGTGTTTCCAAACTCCCAAATGCCAACAGTCCTCAGTGGGGAAGAATGTGAGTAATTTTAATTTTGTTCTTCATGCTTCTTTGTGGTTACTAACGCTTCTATAAATAACATGCATTATTTATATGATGGACAAAAGGACAACAGAGGAGGACAAGGGAAATGGTGCCCAAGCCCTGCCCACATCGTAGCTACCTGCATGATCATGGAGGAGCCACTCTGCCTTGCTCACTTCCAAGTTGGCCCAGTTAGAAATAACACAGGTTACGTAACGAGGCAGGAACTAAGTGCATCTTCGCTAAACTGTGAAATTGTTAAAATCTTGGCAACTTTGGTAGAACCAGGAAAATTCCTCTAGGAGAGGAGCCCTGAGTTCTGCAGTGGTGTTTTTTAGGGGCCACGCTAATCTTCTCTGTATCATTCCAGTTTTAGTATATGTGCTGCCAAAGCGAACACAGCCGTGTTTTTTCCTATTGTTCCGTCATGTTTATGTCACTAGGAATGTTCCTGATGTTTCTCCCACGTTTCCTTCCCGCAACTGAAGAAAGCCCCTCTAACGCAGCCCACTTTACCTTCTGTGAGCCTGGCCTGCGTCTGCTGCCGGGCCCGTAACCTATGTTCCACCACTGAAAGCCCATGACTGTTAAATCCGTATCTGTAACACACAAGTAGACAGAATGGACAAGGTTAGCACCCTCAGCTTGAAGGCAAAGACTTTGGAGACATGGCTCCATGGCCCTATGTATGACTTTTAAAAACAAAAGAAAAAAAAATGGGTTAGTTCTTAAGACTTCCAAGGTCTAAACCCCCCTAGACCTCCTAGAGAACTTGTCAAAACACTACCAAACACACAGGAAAAGATTAAAATTTGCAAACAAGCCACCCAGCCAGCCAGCTAGCACTGGATATAGCCCAGATTTGGCTGTACAGCTGCCCCAGACCTGACTGGGCCTACCCCCCACTCCTCCTTACCTATGCACTCCTCCACCCAGGGGAGCTGTCACCATTCTGACAACCCCCTTGTTCCACCTCCTGCCTATGCTCCATGAACACACTTCCTGGAACCCATCCTGCCACTCCGTTTCCCCATCCTTTCTGCCTATTAAAATCATCCCCTCTTCCTGGCCCAGATCAGGTGCTCCCCTCCCCCTTCTTGAATAAAGCTCCCAGCCACAAATAATTCCTCACCTCTTGGCACTCATTGAGCACTTTGTGCTGGTCTTTCTCCTGGCTGGGGATGTATGTGTATGCTTCAGTTCCCCTCCTGGGTTATAATCTTCTGACAAAGGACCTGTCTTACCTCTCCACCACCCTGCCACCAGACATTCCACAAAGGCAGTGATCTCATCTCTCTTGCTCATCTCTGTCTCCCCAGCCCCACGGTGGGATGTTGCTCTAATGGCCACTCTCCTCTTCCTCCCCTGATGCTGCGTGAAAATGGCAATGACTCCTTTCCCAGACCGCTAGCAACTGAAGCACAAACATGTGACTGGGCATGGTCACGGAGATACAGGTGATGCCTACTGGGGAGCTCCTGGGAATCCTCCCCAACACAGTATCTAAAGGCCTCCTTTTCCCTTTCTGCTCTTGAATGTTCACACAGAAGGGCACCTTACAGCTTGTGTAGCCATCTTACAACCAAGAGTCCTGATATTGCACTGCTGGTCAACCATCCCTAAAAGTGCCTACTATACCTGTTATGAGGGGAAAGTAATAATAAGCACCTATTGTTTAAGCTACTTTGTTACTTGCAGCCAAAAAATCCTAACAGATACTGTGGCACATGCAATGGCTGACTAAATGAACAAATTCATCCATTCGTTCAGCAAAAGTTTATTGAGCACCCAATACGTGCCATGCAGAGCAAGGAGACTGAACAGTGCTCCGGAGCACGGCCTTTCCTCTCTCACCTGCAGGACTCTGCCAAGCGCTGTCACCCTGGTACCTGCAGTGACTTGGATGTTCTAAAGCTATTGACCCCAGTCTGCAATGCACCAGAAAGATCAATAATTTGATCTCTAATGCTGAAAAATTTCCCTGAAAGAAGCATAATAAAACGAGAAGTGGCAGCCTAATCAACTTCCCATATGTCAGTCTTCCAGAAGGCCATCAGTGGCCCCAAAGATACCTACCAAAATCTCCCTAAGGAGGCTCTTCAAAATCCATTACCAAAAAGCACAAGCTTCTTCAATTTTGGATTTGCTGTCGTGAAAACTGCCCAGGGATTATAAAGAGAAGGACTTACACACTCTAGAAGGATCTCTCTTACTAAAAGCAGCTGAATATGTTAATTATTAAAATTTCCAGTTTACTAAAGGCTAGGACTGGGCTGTCCAACACAATAGCCAGAGCTACACGTGCTACTGAGTACTTGAAATGTGAAGGAAAACATACCGGATTAGGTATTTAATTAAATATGATAAATATTACAAAAAACTAAATAGACTGTATTATTGAAATTCATTTCATCTACTTCTTTTCACTATTTTATCATAGCTACTAGAATATTTTAAATTACATATGGGGCTTGCATTATATTTCTACTAGACAGCTGGGCAAGGACAATGGAGTAATAATGTGGAAAATGCACAAACTCTAAAGTCGAATAAGCCTAAATCCATACCCAAGTTCTCCTGCTTATGATCTCATGGCTGTTGTTTCCTGAGCCTCAGTATATGTGTTAAACTGAAATCCTAAAACCTGCTCCTATGCCTGGCACATGGTTCCTGAAAATGACAGGATAATGCCCACATCACATGACAGAAGAAACATCCCGTGTGCCCTGCTGGAAGAAGGCCCCGCTACCTCTGAGCCGCTCACCTACCTGTTAATGACGGCTTGGTCCTCGGGGAGGCGGAAGACTCTAGGCCTGGGGTTTCCTTCCTGAGGTTTTGGGGTAACACTGCCTATCTCAACAAAACCAAAGCCCATCTTGTAAAGTCCATCCACAGCCTCCCCATGCTTGTCAAATCCTGCAGCGATTCCTACCGGATTTCGGAACTTATGGCCTAGGACTCGCACTTCCTAGGGAGAGGGAGACAAAGTCAGAGGTACACAAGGCTATACCAGTGTTTCTCGAGGTGCAGTCCCCAGCACACCTACAGCAGAATTCGCCGGCGAGCTTGTTAACCATCCATCTCCAGTCTAAGGAATCAGAATCCTCGGGGGATGGTGGGGCGGACTGGAGCTCTGAGTGCATCTACTTCTAAGAGTGCTCTCCAGGTGATCCTGATGCCTGCTGGAGTTCAAGAACCATTAGGTTTTATTATCCATCGCCAAGACCAAGGAGAAAAACAGTGTTTCTACCATGGATTGAGCAGGATATGGACACTGTCTTTTCTAGTTATGGTTAATAGACATCCCTTCTCATCTGCTACCCATGGTGGGAGAGAGTAGCTCGTTGGTGTCAGCCCTAGCTGGTGCTATTCTGAAACAGTGTCAAGCAGAAAAATCCTTGAATCAGCCTAGAAAGTCAGACCCAGCTATGTCCCTCCTCAGCCAGGCTGAGCCCAAACCCCAGTGATGACCCAATACGCCTGCGGGGCACTAGAGGGAGGAAGTGCTGGGCTGGGCAGAAAGGACTGCTGGGCTCCAGAACCAGGTGGTGGCTGAAGAGAGGTTCTTCCCTGTCAGCCGCAGAGTGGACTCCAGATTGTTCTCTAGAATGAGAGTGACTGAGGACTAATCACTGTGAAGTCTAGCCTATTCCTAAGTAATTCAGGATTCCTGCCCTGATGGAGCCAACAAATCCAACAGCAAGACAAATACTTTAAAAGGTGTCAAAGAAATCGAGAGCCATCACAAAGCAGGGACTGCCAATGGAATCCATCACTGTTAGCTGATGTGGCCAGGAAATCCTTTGCCAAAACGGACAGGGGTCTCCAAGGGTGGGTACCATCTAGCCCTGGATGTAGGAGGTAGAAAGGCCACTCCAAGAAGGGAGAACAACAACAAAATGAAGGTAAAAGTGTGCACACAGCACGTCAGGGATGGTGAGACAGAAAGTGTGGCTGGACCAGTGGGCCTTCCTCAAGGACAGGGGCCCTCAGCCCTGCTGCATGACAGGACCCCCAAGGAGCTTTCAGTCCTCCCTCCCAGACATTATGGTTAATTGGCTCTGGCATGAGGCATCTGTACTGCCCAAAAGCACTGCAGGTAATTCCAATACACAGCCAGGACAGAACCACAGAATCAGGGAAATGGTAAAAAGTTAACATTAGAACATTAAGTTGGGGTGAGATTATCAAGAGTCCTGGTTGTCAGTTAAAGAGTCTGGACCACCTCCTAAATAATGAGTTGCTGAAGGTGGGGACCTACACAGCAGTGTTTAGTATCATAGCTCAAAGGCCACACTTGCTCTCCCTATCAGGGGTGCTTACGGGGCATAGCTTTGTACCTCCCCCAGCCATAACCTCACTTCCTTCCAAATCCACCCCATTCTGCATCCCCCTTTACTCCCTCCTGCTTCACTGGATTTTAAGACTCAAACTAGCAGCTGGGGATGAGGAAGCTTAAAGAAAAGAAGGCTCTGATTCCACAGTGCCTTTCAGTATGGAAAGTCAGGTAAAATGCCACATCTGCTCAAAGCTGCAGGGTGGGGAGGTGAAAGGGATTCCAAGGCAAAGCAGAGAAGGGCCGCTCTGATTTATGATAGTGACCCTTCCCCAAAGTGCTTTTTTTTGTTGTCTTCATGTTCACATCATTCCATTTGGTAAGAAGGCTCTCAGATGGAAACTGTCAGGGCTTACACGAGGATGCAGATTCAAGAAGGATGTGGATTCTTTTTTTGTTTGCTGCAGTAACCCCAGAACCCAGAACAGTAACAGGCACATGGTGGAGCCCACATGTTAATGTAGGAGTGAATGACCCCGGGCCAGGTGTTTATATGCCTTTCTCTCTTTTTTTTTAAGGTCTTTTTATTTTTTTTTTAATTATATCTTTATTGTTGAATGCATTATAGATATTCCTCATTTTTCCCCCATTGACCCCCCTCCTCCCCACTCCCGCCCCCCTCCTGCCTTTTCCCACACTGTTGTCTGTGTCCACTGGTTATGCATATATGCATATAAGTTCTTTGGTTTATTTCTTCCCACCTCCCAACTCCCCTCCCCTTTGAGGTTTGTCAGTCTAGCAACCAATTTGTACTTTTTTTTTTTTTATCCTCACCTGAGCACATTTTTCAATATTTTGTTCAGATAGAGTGGGAGGGACAGAGAGAAACATCGATGTGAAAGGGACACACTGAGTGGTTGCCACCCACACGACCCAACCAGGGTCGGGACAAACTGCAACTGAGGTACATGCCCTTAGCGGAAACCGAACCCGGGTCTCTCCAGACCGCAGGCCAACGCTCTAACTGCTGAGCCAAACCAGCCAGGGCCAATTTGTACTTCTTAATCCTTTCATCTTTTTCATCCATTCCCCCATCCCCCTTCCCATCTGGCAACCAACAAAATGTTCTCTGGCCCTGGCCGGTTTGGTTCAGCGGTTAGAGCGTCGGCCTGCGGTCCTGAGAGACCCGGGTTCGGTTCCCGCTAAGGGCACGTACCTCAGTTGCAGTTTGTCCCCAGCCCTGGTTGGTTGTGCGGGTGGCAGCCACTCAATGTGTTCCTTTCACATCGATGTTTCTCTCTCTCTCTCTGTTCCTCTCTCTCCCTCCCACTCTACCTGAACAAAAATAATGGAAAAATGTCCTCAGGTGAGGATAAAAAAAAAAAAAAAAGAAAAAGCTACAAAAGCCCTGGCCTGTTTGGCTCAAAGGTTAGAGCATCGGCCTGCGGTACAGAGAGACCCGGGTTCGGTTCCCGCTAAGGGCATGTACCTCGGTTGCAGTTTGTCCCCAGCCCTGGTCGGTCGTGAGGGTGGCAGCCACTCGATGTGTCCCTTCACATCGATGTTTCTCTCTCTCTCTCTCTTCCTCTCTCTCCCTCTCGCTCTATCTGAACAAAAAATGGAAAAGTATCCTTGGGTGAGGATAAAAAAAAGAAAGAAAAAGCTACAAAATGTTCTCTGTATCTATGAGAATGTTTCTGTTCTGCCTGTTCATTTTGTTTGTAGATTCAATTGTCGATACCTATGTATTCTTTGCCATTTTGTTTGTTCATATTTTTTCTTTTTCTTCAAGACCCTTCAACATTTCATATAATGGTTTGGTGGTGATGAACTCCTTTAGCTTTTCCTTATCTGGAAAACTCTTCACATGGCCATTGATTCTAAATGACAACTTTGCAGGACAGAGTAATCTTGATTGTAGGTTCTTGCTTTTCATCACTCTGAATATTTTTTGCCACTCCCTTCTGGCTTGCAAAGTTTCTTTTGAGAAATTAGCTGACGTTCTAATGGGAACGCCCTTGTAAGTAACTAACTGTTTTTCTCTTGCCGCTTTTAAGAGTCTCTGTCTTGAACCTTTTGCATTTTGATGATGATGTGTCTTGGTGTGGGCCTCTTGGGGTTCATCTTGTTTGGGACTCTCTGTGCTTCCTGGACTTGGATGTCTGTTTCCCTCACCAAGTTAGGCAAGTTTTCTGCCATCATTGTTTCAAATAGGTTTTCGATTTCTTGTTCTCTCTCTTCTCCTTCTGGCACCCCCAAGACGCGAATGTTTGTATGCTTGAAGTTGTCCCAGAGGCTCCTTACACTATCCGCATTTTTTGGATTCTTTTTTCTTTTTGCTGTTCTGATTGGGTGTTTTCTGCTTCCTTATATTCCAAATCGATGGTTTGCTTCTTGGCTTTACCTACTCTACTATTGAATCTGTGTAAATTATTCTTTATTTCAGTTAGTGCCTCCTTCATTTCTGACTGGTCCTTTTTTATGCTCTTGTGGCCCTCGCTAAGTTCGCTGAGGTTGTCACTAAGTTCATTGAGCATCCTTATAAGCAGTATTTTGAACACAGCATCTGTTAGGTTGCTTATCTCCATTTCGCTTAGTTCTTTTCCTGGCATTTTGTTCTGTTCTTTCACTTGGGACCTGTTTCTTTGTCTCCTCATTTTGGCTGCCTCCCTGTATTTGTTTCTATGTGTTACTTAATGAGAGGTATGAGGCTAGCTGAGACCAGATGCTGCTTGTTGGAAGGACTTTAGAAAAATCTGAAGCAGGATCCAAGACAGGCCAATTCTATGGTAAAGCAACTGGCAACAGCTTGGGTGGGCCTGAAAGGTGGGTGGGGCGGGGCCTCAGGGAATCACCAGGGCGGGGTTACCAGTGTGAGTCAGGTTGCTGGGGTCCCAGATACTGCGGTTGACTGCCGCCCCAGGGCAGGGCTCACCAAAGGAACAAAGGCCTCTGACAACACGTCTGTCACAGAGAAAGCCCCCTCTCCAGCCCTCACTCCAATGCCAAACAGCTCGTTTCTTCCCTGTATGTCTCTGGTGCCCCTCGAGCTGCCTCCCCTCCAAGCTTAGAGGGAGAGAGTCTGATAAGTTCGTGCGCGGGCCCTTTAAGGAGCTGCCTGGGGCTCCAGCCGCCTCAGCCTCCCTGAGCCTCAGTTCCCGCTAGTTTTTCCAGCCAGAAGTGATAGGGACTTCTCTTCCTGGCACTGGAACCCTGAGCAGAGCACCTGGTGTGGGATGGGGACCCCTCAGTTCTCAGGGAGGACCTTCCCAGCCGAGGTGTCCTCCTGATTTTTATCCACCACACGTGGGTGTGGGACCTGCCCGTCCACCTCCGCCCCTCCTACCAGTCTGGATGTGGCTGCTTCTTTAATTCCGTAGTTGTAGGACTTCCACTCAGCTTGATTTCAGGTGGTTTTGAATGATGGTTGTTCTTGTAGTTTAGTTGTAATTTTGATGTGGTTGTGGGAGGACACAATACGTGTTTACCTACGCCGCCATCTTGACCAGAAGTCTCTGTATGCCTTTCTCAAAGAGCCTGGCTAGACATGCATATGTCACATTAGATGTTTAATGACTCTGGCATGTTTCTGTATTTCAAAGAAGCAAAGTCTGAGCTACCTGTCCTCAGTAAGGCAGGCCAGTGGCTAAGGGGATGGCTGCCAAGTCACCTCCATAGCTTTGAATCCTGGCTCATCCACTTCCAGCTGTGTGACTTTAGGTAAGTCACTTTAGTCTTTGCTTCAGTTTCCTGATCTGTAGATGGGGATGAAAGCTCCTTATTGGGGCTAACTTGGGACTCTGCTTTTCAAAAAGCTCAGCCCTAGCTGTATAAATTAGGAGACATTGACCTTTACTTTGTATTGCACAAGGTGTTCCAAGAGCACCTACCAGCATGTCGGAGTCTTGAAATGTGGCACGAGGAAGGAGCCCTAGGGAGGTGACACGAACAGCCAGCCTGTGAGCAGACTCAGGGTCCAGCAGTCCCTGCAGAGTTGGCATCAAGTGTTCAGCATAGAAGTGCTCATCCCCCATGGCCGTCAAGTAGGAGGCAAAGAGAAGTCCTCCGCCTCCCAGGATGACCAGGGCATCCTGGGCCCGCTTCTGGGGGAAAAAACAACCCATTAACTCTCAAAGCCAGGCTGCAGCACCTTCTCTGAGCCCCTAACCCACACCCACAAAGGACATAATGACATGCCATATGAAGCAATCCCTAGCCTTCTGCTAACACTGGTCTCCTTCATTTCTAGTCTTGTTCACACATTGGCCCCTATAGTTAGAAGCTGTATCTACACTTCTGCTGATGTACTCATCTGGCCCTGAAGGATTCCAGGCCAGAGGTTTAAGAGGTGCATTACTGCCCCTAAGGGACATGCAGTGGGCATGTGAGGGAATGCCAATAGATTTAATGTTCAGGAACCAGTAGAGTCAGATGTCCTGCATTGTTTTAGATTATCTGACAGATGAATTATTCTGGTCCTGTATGACAGTTGAACATCCTACTGACATTCAGTAGGTAAAAAAATATCTACTCATATTATCTGAGCCTGGAGCCAAACTCTATTTCACCAAATAACACAAACTATCTCCTGCACAGTTTTCATGTGCACAGACTTTTACATGAATACATTTACCTTGTATTGAGGGTCTATACTATTTGGTACAAAACATTACCGAGAATTGTCCCCTATTTTATTTTATTTATTATTTTTTTAAATAATCACCAGAAGATATTTTTCCATTGATTTTCAAATAGAGTGGGAGGGTGGGAGGGAGGGAGTGTGAGAGAGAAACATTGATGTGAGTGAGACATGTCGATTGGTTGTCTCATGCATGACCCAGGCCAGGGATGGGGATCCAATCATAACCGAGGTACATGCCCCCAACCAGAATCAAACCCGTGAGTCCCTGGTCTGCAGGCCAACAGCTCTAACCGCAGAGTCAAACTGACCGGGGCAAACTGTTCCCTATTTTAAAAAATCCCACCAGGAATGGTATGGTACTTTGCTTGGGGAGTTTGACGAACATAACTGTAGCACTAGAATTTCTAAGCAGAGGCTTAAACACTTGACTTTCTCACTCTCTAGGTGAGTCATGCACCAACATTTACATATTGAAATACATATTATTTTAAATTACTTTCATTTCTCCTTAATATTCCAGTTAGGACATTATGTTGACTTTTTAAAATTATATATAGGAAGATTACAGTATATAAATTCCATTTCAAGATAATAAAGGGGGTTACAAAATGTTTTTTTAAAAAGGAGCATCAGGTCTTAATGGGTCAAGACCCACTCTCCTAGCTCAAACATGCTTCATAATACTTTTCTCTAATTATCACTGCCAGATGCTGAGTCATTCATTCACTAATTCAGTCACTCATAGATAGGCTAATCAGTGAGTCTCAGGCTTCATGGGAGTACACTCTGACAAGAAAACAAAAATCAATGATCAAGGACATATGTAACTGTACAATTGCTATGAGGAAAAAAGGTACAGAGTAACAGAAGAACCTAACCTAATTTCAGAGGTAGAGAAAGGCTTCCTCAAGGAAGTGATGCTAATATCAAAGGATAAATAGGAATTAACTAGGAGGCAATGAGGGGAGGGAAAAAGTGGGAAGGCTCTCTAGTGGCAGAGGAGGATGAGATGTGCCAAAGGAAAAGGGGAAGGGAAAGATTTGTTTGGAATCGAGGAGTTAAAGTATGGCTTTATAAGAAGTTGGGGAGATTGGCAGAGATCTTGGCCAGAATAAAGATTTAGGTTTTGATCATTTGAAATGATCACATTTGCCTTTAAAGATCACCCCGAGCTGTGAATGTAGATCACGTATTCGTTGTCTTACTTCTAGTCTCCAGATTGTGGGCACGCCCCTTAATGTCAATCAACAAGTATCAGCACCGTTACATGGGGCCCTCGCCCTAAAATTTTGTCTCTAAGGGTTGGGACCATGTCTTCTTGTAATTTCATTCCACCTTGGATACCGTACACAATGCTAGGTGGTCATGCATTCACTGAGCGCCCCTGTGCCAGGCTCAGTAAGTCTGGTCCACGTGCGCCGACAGTCTGGCATCTACACAGACACACACGTGCCGTTTATACACACACAGACCAAGTACAAGTGTATCAATGCACATGTACGAGCCTTTGCAGAGACACACAAACGTGCCAGACGGGCCGACGCTCTCGGAGCGGCTTCCCGGCCACCCCTCGCCCCGACCACCCCTGCCTTCTCCCCTAGCCCTGCGCTCGCCCGGACTCCTCCTCACCAACTCCAGACACCCAGTTTCTACACTCACTTTCAGCTGTGTCCACGCCATGGTCCTTTCGCCACTGGGCCCGCCTCTGTCTCATTTCCATTGGAGGAGGTGGAGGGAGCCCTCTAATCCCCACCCCAGAGCTGCCAACTCACCAATCGTGGGGCAGAAGAGTGATGTCTGCGCATCTGGGAGGGGAAAGCCGCGTCCCACCCCAAGGTTCTGGTTGGACGCTGGGAGGGCGCGCGCGCGCGCAATTGCAGCGGCCACGCCTCTTCCGCCCGCTTGCTCGCTCGCTCGCCCGCCCGGTTTCCGGCCTCTGCACTGCCGGTTGCGGAGGTACTTGTGCGCTGTAGTGACTCGAGTTGTCCGTGGTTTTGCACCCTTGGCGAAAGACTGTTTTGTTTAGTTTTTGAGCTGGAAACATTTTTTAATCATCTTTATTGTTGAATGTATTACATATGTCCCCCCCTTTTTTCCCATTGACCCCCCTCCTTTCCAATCCCGTCCCCCTCCTTTGTTCCCCACACTGTTGTCGGTGTCCATTGGTTATGCAAATATGCGTAGAAGTGCTTTTTGGTATATCTCATCCCGCCTTCCTTCCCCCTTCGCTTTGAGGCTCATCAGTCTAAAAACCAATTTGTACTTCTTAATTCTTTTATCTTTTTCTCCAAAAGACTGTTTATATGTTGATTACTCAGTTCTTAGCGACACAGTCACCACTTTATTGATCATTTAAGTTAACATTTTATTGATAGGCTTGTGCTCTAGATAAAGCATGTACTGAGGAAGTATATATAAGGCATTGTAAAAAGTTGAAATGAATTACAGCTCTGGGTGAGATACCTGTGTAGACTTCAAAGAAAATTCCATCAACTTAAGGTTTCACTTAAAAATGCCTAAGATGTATGCATGTTTGTATATGTGTACGAATATTGATGAGGGTGTTGGGAGAGAAAGACTTTGTAATTGAAAGTATCCTGCATCCAAACTGTTTCATTGCAACAGACTTGGTGGATCTTCTGCTCAAAAACCTTCCTAGCCTTTGAAACATTGAAGTTTTGTAATTTCAGTTCCCACTACTCTCAAGTAACCACCCCCTACACACACCGACACACACATTGAATTTTTTCTCTTTATGAATACCTTCCACTTTCTCACTTCAATGCCTTTACTCATGACTCCGCTGCCAAGATACCATTTTATCTATCTAAATACTGTATGGCCATCCTTACCTGTTAAGTGCTGGAAATAATTTCCTCAGCAGAACCATCATAGATTTAAGCTGTACTTCTCTAGTAGCAGTTTCTTGACTACAGTTATTGCATCTTTGTTAAATACAATTATGTCTTTTCTTCCCTAATTAGACTAGACTTTTGAATATAGGGACCAAACCATATTTATCTTTCATTTGATAACTGCAGTATTTTTTAAACAGAGATGTATTAGGGTCTACATTTAAGAGAATTTTTCATTTTGGTGCCTATGTCCATAATAGTTATAAAGAGTAATTGTAAGCATCAGTAGGATAACCAACTGCACCCTGAAACCTGCCAAGTGATTTGAGTGCCCATGTTTGTTTGTATTTATGATCCATTTTGGCACTGAGAAAGAGAACTGTCTGAAAACAAATGATTGATGTGCCACAGGTGGAGATCAAATGACATGTATGAACAAAGGTTTTTCAGCAAGTTAAAGAAAAGCAATGAGAGAATTGATTCTTCCCTCCTGCATGACAAATTCAAAAGAACCTATGTGGTTGTAGGCCAGAACCGTGTGTATCTGACTAGTGGCTATTTAATTTAGCTAATTTGAATTTAACTGGTTCTCAGTTTTGTTTGTATTTAATTTGTATTCATTCTTTCATTAAATATTTATTTTTTGGCTTTTATGATTATATAAGAGATTTAAAAATACATTACTCAATGTTTAGAACACTAACTTAGATATTCATCATTCTCTACTTCCTTACAGCTTAAACTTTGCAAATAAAGATCTATTATAAAGCTGAAGGCATATCCAGTTGTGTAAACACAGACGGTAGTGTCCCAGCTGTAAAGGCCTATTGCTTTATTGATCTTAATTCATTTTCAGGTTATAGTATCTCCACCTGGGTCCTTAAAACAAAATAAAACCTTTTGTCTCCTTGACAAATTATTCCCAATTCCTAAAAGGGTAATAGTAATGAGTAAGACAAACCCACCAAGAATATAAAGGGCCAGGGAGCTTCTGAGCCTCCACACTTTTTGTGCTCACAATTCACAGTGAAAATGTTCTTCAAAAGAAGAACCTGGCTTTGGTTATACATCAGAACAAGTATTGTTCTAGGAAGTGAGCTAAATAGCTCAGAGCAACATGGTAAAAATAACTGTTATCAGCTTAACAGGTTTCACTGCAGCTTTGAGGAAGCAGAAAATTACTGTCATGCCCAGGGAGGACACCTTGCTTACACTTGGAACCAGGAGGTTCAAGATCTCATCTGGGACTTTCTAGAAGAAGGGAAGAAGTGGTGGATTGGGCAAAATTTAATGCTGCTGGGGAAATATCAAGAAAAAAACAACCCAAGTAAGGCTCTGAGGTTTGGTGTTTGTGAAGGAAACTTCCTTACTTTTTTTTTTTTTTTTTTTTAATCCTCACCCGAGGACATTTTTCAATATTTTGTTCAGATAGAGTGGGAGGGAGAGAGAGGAAGAGAGAGAGAGAGAAACATCGACGTGAAAGGGACACATCGAGTGGCCACCACCCGCACGACCTGACCAGGGCCGGGGACAAACTGCAGCCGAAGTACATGCCCTTAGCGGGAACCGAACCCGGGTCTCTGTAGACCGCAGGCCAACCCTCTAACTGCTGAGCCAAACTGGCCAGGGCGAAACTTCCTTATTTTTATCCTGGATCAGGAGAAAGAAAAATTTAAATCTTGCTGCCTTTGTATACAGAAAAATTAGTCACTTTACTTCATCATCATCATTCCTCTGAAATATTCCCACTTTTGTGCTGCAGCCTTTTATTGGTCTGTGTAGCAAAGATGATGGGATTTTCTCAACGCCTATCAAAAGTCAACTTACCTAATATTTCACTGAAAGTATTATGCAAGATTCTAAAGTGGGAAACCTTTTATGGTGACTTTTTTCCTGGTGAATATCTCTTCATTCTTGGCTCCAAGTTTTCTAATGCAGAAACTAGGAAAGAAATTGTTCGCCTGTTGTTTTTCATAAATAGATATTTTCAAAATTATGCACCATAATCTTGTGGTCTGAGAGAAAACTCCAAGGCATTTGTGCTATAATTATCTTCATTAAAGTCTAAATAAATTAATGCTAAGCCTTGTGATAAAGAACACATAATATGAAAAAATAATCTATAATATGTGGTGTGGGGACCTAAATTTTTATCTATTGAAAGCTAGCAAAATTTGGTTTCCATATATATATATATATATATATATATATATATATATATTTTAAGCCTCACAGAAGGATATGCTTTTATGGATTTTAAAGAGAAGAAAGGGAGACAGAGAGAAACATCAATCAAGCCTCCCATACATGCTCTCACCAGGGTTTGAACCTGAAACCTAGGTATGTGCCCTGACCAGGTATTGAACCGGCAAACTTTTGGTGCACAGGACAATGCTCCAGTCAACTGAGCCATACCAGCCAGGGTTATATTTGTTTATTTTTTTTACTGTTTGACTTTTTATTAACTATTATCCCAATAAATTCAGAAAAATTTTTTTTCTTGTTTTTTTTATATTTTTATTGATTTTTTTAAATTTTTTTAGAGAGAGAGGAAGGGAGAGAGAGATAGAAACACTGATGTGAGAAACATTGATCGGCTGCCTCCTGCATGCCCCCCACTGGGGATCAAGCTCACAATCCTCACATGTGCCCTGACTGGGAATCGAACCTGGACTTCTCAGACCATGGGACAATGCTCAATCCACTGAGCCACACCATCTGGGCAAATTGTTTTTTTTTTAATGTTTTACTTTTGAGTATGAAACTTATCTGGGTCTGGTCTTCCACAGCGTGCCGAGCCACAAAGCCTACCAGCTGCACTTACTTGTCCAGAAAGTCCAACCGGATCTCACCAAAAGTGGACTTGTGTTCACTGGGTCATTATTTCATTTGCCAGGCTGGTAAGTGATGAAGCTACATACTAACTTTAGAAACCAATTTTAAATAAGAAGAGTTTGTGAGAGCTTTTGAAAGTGAGCCCATGAGCCCTGGCCGGTTTGGCTCAGCGGTTAGAGCGTCGGCCTGCGGTCCGGAGAGACCTGGGTTCAGTTCCCGCTAAGGGCATGTACTTTGGTTGCAGTTTGTCCCCGGCCCTGGTTGGTCGTGCGGGTGGTGGCCACTCGATGTGTCCCTTTCACATCGATGTTTCTCTCTCTCTCTCTTCTTCTCTCTCCCTCCTACTCTATCTGTACAAAAAAAGAAAGAAAGAAAGAAAGTGAGCCCATGAGTGATAGACCATAAGAGGGATTTAAGGATCTTGATTTTCATGATATTGATTAGAGGGAGATTATTTGGAGTGACTTCCTTACGCATCCTACTTGGTAGTTGGAAAGAGCCATGCCTTGATGTTCCCTTCATTACTTGACTTGGGCGGAGTGTGGGTGAAAGTGTATTGATTAGCCCCTTTTCCCACAGGTAAACCCCCAATCCATCCAGTACTTGGGGTTTAGAGGGAAGAATAGGAATAAAGGAGGAAAAGAGAATATGATGAAGGAAAATTAAAAGATAAGGGGTGAGGAGATTTTCATCAGAGGTTTGCTTCTTTAAGAAATAGATCAGCCCTGGCTGGTTTGGCTCAGTGGTTAGAGCGTCGGCCTGCAGTCCAGAGAGACCCGGGTTCAGTTCCCGCTAAGGGCACATACCTTGGTTGCAGTTTATCCCCGGCCTCGGTTGGGTTGTATGGGTGGCAACCACTCAATGTGTCCCTTTCACGTTGATGTCTCTCTCTCTGTCTCTCTCCCTCCCACTCTATCTGAACAAAAAATGGAAAAATGTCCTCGGGTGAGGATAGAAAAAGAAAGAAAGAAATAGATCAGGCCCAGCCAGTGTGGCTCAGTGGTCAAGCATCAACCCATGCACCAAGAGGTCGCTGGTTCGATTCCCAGTCAGGGCAACATGCCCAGGTTGTGGGCCCGATCCCCAGTGTGGGGCATGCAGAAGGCGGACAGTTGATGTTCTCTTTCATCGATGTTTCTATCTCTCTCTCCCTCTCCCTTCCCCTCTCTCTCTCTAATATCCATAAAGAAAAAAAATTTTTTTAAATAAATAAATCAGAATTAAGGTGTTTGTTAAGGGTGGTTTTTGTGGTTAAGCAGTGTTTCTCATGGTGGTTGCATAAAGCATTTATTCTTAACTCAGTGAATTTCTAGAGATTTTATGATGTCTTGGACTGTCTAGGTAAAAATTTTGTTTCACTTTTTAAAAAAATCACAAATACATTCTTAAGAAAATACAAAGCTCGTATGGGTCCTTCATAAAACAGAGTACATTGCAATATTTCTTAATTACAGGAAACATTTCTTTATTACAGTATTCCTTAAATACTGGGTATTGATTGTGAGAACTCAGTATTTCAATGTAATGAATTTCTAGCTTCAAATATCTCATTCTTACCCTTTAGAGTTCTTTGTGATATATTTGTCCTATTTTGCCATTATAGCATGCTATTGTTATTGAGTCCAGGGTTGTGAGCCTAGTCTCTGCACAAGTCTAGTGGTCATGTGTTTCATGCTCACAAACTGTATCCCTAATATTGGCCATCTTACAATTGTGAACTGCTTTTTGTCATCGCTAGGACTGGAAAAGCATCTCTTAAATAGCCTAAATGATGATAGTTATTGTATCCAGCTTTCACTCTCCAAGAGCTGAGTTTTTAGACATTCTCAGCTACTTTTGGTTTGTGTTTTCTGATATTACCATCCATGTACTTGCAAGAGATTACTACTGTGGAGTGAGTATAGAATGTTTGTGCAGAAGATAATCATGGACAAAAAAGAATTCTATTTAATTAATCTAAGCCAATTCTGCACATTCTGAGCCTACATTTCCATAATGAGGGGAAGTATGTTACTGCAGCTAAGGGCTCAGGCTCAAGAGTCACAAGGTCATGAGTCAGAGTCCTGAGTTCATATCTTGTTTCTGTGACTTTCCACTTGTGACCCGTGGGGCAAGCAACTTACCCTCTGTGCAGCCCAGTTTCCTTCAAAGGATTGTTATCAGAACTAAGAGAATACAAGCAAAGTATTAGTACAATGCCTAGTGTAATATTGTGATTATTACTGTTAATATTATATTATTGTGCAATTTCTATTTTTTGTTCAAAGATTATTTTCTGCTCCTAGATAGCTTCACATTTCTGTCAAGGGTGAAAACACTTTGGAGATCCAATATTACTAGTTATCTTTAAAACTAAAGTATTTGTACAACATAATTGCTTAGAAGTATTTTTTTTTTTTATCCTCACCCAAGGACATTTTTCCATTTTTTTTGTTGTTGTTGTTCAGGTAGAGTGGGAGGGAGAGAGAGGAACAGAGCGAGAGAGAGAAACATCAACGTGAAAGGATCACATCGAGTGGCTGCCACCCGCACGACCGACCAGGGCCAGGGACAAACTGCAACCGAGGTACGTGCCCTTAGCGGGAACCGGACCAGGGTCTCTCTGGACCGCAGGCCGACACTCTAACCGCTGAGCCAAACTGGCCAGGGCTAGAAGTATTTTTAAATAACTATTATTGTCAGAGTATATATACATTTTATTATGAATTTGAGAAATGTCTCTTCCAAATAGCATGTGGGTGGGAAAAGTATTTGTAAATTTGTTCCTTAACATTCAAAAGAGACGTCCAGTACTTTGTACTGTCATACAGTATTACTGAGGTTACAGATTGACCTTTGCACACTGGAGAAGTTGAACTCAGTATTTTTCTTTATTTGTTAAAAAGATCACTTAAAGATTAAACACACATATAAAATTATTCCTTTCTAAGAGATTTTATTTTCAGAATGTTGGAATAAGAAGAAGCAATCTGTGTTAAAAGTGGTATTGTAATAGAATTGATATTCAGCTGTGTGTACCAAGACAGTCATACTGGTTGTGGAAACCTTAAAATACTTCCATGCCATTGGTAAAGTAAAATAATAGTATAAACTCATTGCTTCAAACTAATTATCATAGAATGACATGACAATCATTAATCAATGTAGTTCTGTCCCAGCAACATCTGAAAATACTTGTAGCACTCTGCCATTTTGCTAAGGTCACATTGTTGCACACCCTCTGAAGCACTGTGCTCAGGAGAGTCTTCAATTCATCATTCTCCTCCATTTACATATTTGCTATTACTTCTAAGTGATTCAGCTTTGATTTTGTTCTGTTTATGTAGCAAATGTGTGATGTTTTGATATTTATAAGCTCAGCAATTTATCATTAAAATATTAAACACAGGTTCCCACAACCCTAGTGAAAAAAATGGGTCTAGGAAATGATCATGAATGACAGCTAACATCATAAAGAGAGAGACAGATACTGTGTGACTCCTGATGGAATACGTGACACCACCTACTAAGTATTTTCATAAAAAAAGTAGAACTTGAGCCCTGACTGGTTTGGCTTAGGGATTAGGGCATCGGCCCGAGGACCAAAGAGTTGTGGGTTCGATTCTGGTCAAGGGCATATACCTTGGTTGCAGTTCAGACCCCAGCCCCAGTTGGGGTCATGCGGAAGGCAACCAATCGATCTCTCTCTCTCTCTCTCTCTCCCTGTCCCACTCTATCTGAAGATAAATGGAAAAATACCAAGTAAGGATTAAAAAAAAAAAAAGTAGAACTTGAGTCTGATCAAGCCTCTAGAGCCGACCATGTACATGAATGCTTGTAGCAGCTTTATTTGTAATAGCCCAAACTGGAGACAACCCAGATGTCCTTCAATAGGTGAATGGTTAAACAACTGTGGTACATCCATAGTATGAAATACTATTCAGCAATAAAGCGAAACAAACTCTTGATACATATAACTAGATCGAATCACCAGAGAATTATGCTGAGTGAAAAAAAGCCAATCCCAAAAAGTTACACACTATATGATTCCATTTGTTTAATATTCTTGAAATGAAATGACAAAATTATTGGAGTGGAGAACAAATTAGCAGTGGTCAGGGGCTTAGAAGGAAGTAAGGGCAGGAGGGAAGTAGGCGTGGCTACTAAAGGGCCACATAGGGGATTCTTTTTTTTTTTTTATCACCCGAGGATATTTTTTGTATTCATCTTCAGTTAGAGCAGGGGGAAGACAGGGAGGAAGAGAGAGAAAGAGAAACAGCCATGTGAGAGAGACACATCAACTGGTTGCCTCCCACATGACCCCAACCGGGGCTGGGGACAAACTGCAACTGAGGTCCGTGCCCTTAGCAGCAATCAAACCCAGGCCTCTCTGGTTCTCAGGCCAACGCTCTAACCCCTGAGCCAAACCGGCCAGGGCCACATAGGGGATTCTTATGATAATGGAAAAATTTTTATCCTGACAGTATCAGTGTCAATTTCCTGGTTATACTAGAGTTTTTTAAGATGTTACCCCTGGGGGAAACTGAATAAGAGGGATGTAGCATCTCTCTATTATTTCTTATAACTGCAGATGAATCTATAATTATCTCAAAATAATAAGTTTAATTTTAAAAAGAAAGAAAAAAAATGCCCTGATGTAAGTGTGCACACCACTTATGAATTATTCTTGCCCCAAATAGAGAAATACAAATTAAATATAAACTGAGATGCTATTTCCCACCTATCAGATTGGCATAAATCCAAAAATTTAACAACATATTCTGTTGACAAGACTATAGGGAAATAGGCACTCTCATAAATTATTAGTGGGAATGCAATAAGATACAATCTATATGGAAGAAAATTTGGCAATTTCTAGCAAAATTACATACATACTTACCCTTTGACCCAATAATCCTGCTGCTAGGTTTAGGAATCTATCCCAAAATTACACTGGCAAAAATATAAAAAGATATATGCATAAGTCTATTTATTGTAGCTCTATTTATAATAGCAAAGTAGAAACAATCCACATACCCATCGAGAGGGGACTGGTTGTAAAAAGAAATAAGGGCCCTGGCCAGTTTGGCTCAGCGGTTAGAGCTTCAGCCTGCGGACCAGAGTGTCCCAGGTTCAGTTCCCGCTAAGGGCATGGTTGCAGTTTGTCCCCAGCCCTGGTTGGGGTTGTGTGGGTGGCAACCACTTGATGTGTCTCTCTCACATCAATGTTTCTCTCCCTCTCTCCCTCCCACTCTATCTGAAGATAAATGCAAAAATGTCCTCCGGTGAGGAAAAGAAAAAAAAAAAAAGATGAAGAAATAAGGAAGCTCTCTATACACTGCAGTGGGGTTATCCTTATGTTTTTTTAGTGAATAAAAGCAAGCTGTAGAACATTCTGCTTTAATCTAAGAAGGGGGGCGTAATAAGACTAGGTATACATATATATGTCAACATAGTAGAAAAACAAACAAAAACTAATGGAGACGATTACCTAAGGGCAAGGAGGAAATCAGATGGAAAGGACAAAGATGGAAGCTTTCTGGATGTACCCTGTTTCATAGTTTTGACATTGGAACTCTATGTATGTTTTACATAATTAGAAAACAAAGTTAAAATGAAAAAAAAAATCCCTAAAAGTAAAGAAAAAGAGAGAGAGCAAGCTAGAGGAATTAGCTGTACAAGTTTAGATAAATGTTAAGGGAATTTTGCTCAAGAACAGGAATGAACTGAAACTATATATAATTCCTGAGGCAGTGTACATTGGTGGGGTTTTCTTTAAGACAGGAAAACTAGTATACTAGGACAATGTTCTTGATCCAAACTAGTGTGCAACTAGCGGTGCTCACTTTGTGTAGGAACACGGAGAGTTTGTAGTAACCGAAGAGAAGGTGGTGTCTGGGGGGACAGATGCTGGTAGTGGACAGATCTGGTAGTAGGAGTCTTTGGTAAGAACTCTTGCTTACTTCCATTTTTCCCCTTGAAGTAGAAAGCAAGGTTGTCACTTGACCTGAGAATGAGGATCAGGGAGACTCCTAGTTGATGGAGATTTGAGTAGAGGACGAAGTGGGGGAGGGTTGTCTAGGAGAGTGGAAGCGGGACTAGACTAGGGGAATACAGTATGATGGCCTGGGGTTTGTGATGCTGAATTTAAGCTGAGATAGTCCATGAGGTTGTATGAGTCTGTCTAGCCATGGTCAGCGGCCTGAGGAGAAACACCAAATGCACACAGTAGCATGTTCAAGGATATTATTGCTCACCTCTGAATTCTTTTATCTCTACCAATAGGAAGTACAGACTACAAATGAGAATATTATGTTCAGAATGTAATTTCTTAAAATGAACTTAATTCTCTATCTTGTCGCTGTTGACCAGTCAGTGGACCTTATTTTGAGATGCTGGGTCACATCAGGTGATGACTGTGCTCCAGAGCAAGAGCTGCTTCAGAATCCCTCCGTTACTGTTCTCTTTAAAAAATGGAAACTGATCTTTAATTTGTGTTTTCTTGATTATCACATATGTGCTAATGCTTACTTTATAGACTTACAGTTAGAGCTGTACCCTGTCATTCAACTCCAAGTAGATGCTTTTTCAGAGCAAGATGCAAGTTATGAAAGAAATGGAAATAATTCTCAATTAAATTGGAGGCCCAAGAAGACAAAAAGAGAAGTCACAATTCCAAGAATGACCTCAGGTAACATGTAGTGAAATCAATTCCTGCCTTAAAGAATGCACAAGACAATTAATGCTGAAATGTGTTATCATAACAGGTACCCAGTGGATATCCATTGCATCCTATTTTGTCTGATCTTAATATTGCAGTCTTTGCTTTCATTTCATAAATTCTTATTTTTTTGATATTCCTTTGGCCATACTCTTTTCACGTATGCTCAAATGAAAGACAGAGTTTTCCCCCACAAAATGTTCCATCAAAAAAGAGAGGCTTCTTGAAGTCCTTGTAAAGTCTTTCACCTTGCGGTGTTCTCTCTCATTATTTTTTAATTTTGAAAAATAAATACTATCTGGGGAAGATGCATTAGCCTGAAATGACCTCAATCAATATCTGTGTTGGATTATTATAGAGATCATCTGATAGAATGGGTGAAAAGAGAGACAAATTTAAAGTGGATCTAGTGATTATTCTTAGGGGTATGACCTCACAACTTCAAGTGTCAGATGTCCTTGTCAACAAGCCCTTTAAATATCTCTTAAAAGAGCAATTTAGAAAGTGTTATTGTGGTAGAGACAGGAATATATGTCTAAAGAACAAGTGTAAGAATCAACTTTTCTGAATGCTTTATAAATGGGTACTTGTGAGTTGGGGAAAAGTGTTTAGTGATGATAGCATTAGATGGAAGTAAAGATGATATATTTTGGAAAACTTAAATAATTCCAAAAGTTTTTTTTATTATAATCAAAGCAATGATGATAAAGATGCATTAGAAAAGCCTGAATAGCCCTGGCCAGTTTGGCTCAGCGGTTAGAGCATCAGCCTGCCGTCCAGAGAGACTCAGGTTCGGTTCCCGCTAAGGGCGCATACCTCGGTTGCAGTTTGTCCCCGGCCCTGGTTGGTCGTGTGGGTAGCAGCCACTTGAAGTGTCCCTTTCACGTGAATGTTTCTCTCTGTTTCTCTCTTCCTTTCTCTCCCTCCCACTCTACCTGAACAAAAAAAAAAAAAAAAAAAAGGAAAAATGTCCTCGAGTGAGAATAAAAAAAAAAAAGAATAAGCATGAATAAATCTGTGTCATGAGCCCTGGCCTGTTTGGCTCAGCGGTTAGAGCATCGGCCCACAGACCAATGCATTGCGGGTTCGATTCCAGTCAAGGGCATGTAACTTGTTTGCAGTTCATCCCCAGCCCTGGTTGGGTTATGTGGGAGGCAACCAGTCGATGTGGCTCTATCGATGTTTCTTTCTGTCTCTCTCTCCCTCCCTCCCACTTTATCTGATGATAAATGGAAAAAAAAATCCTCAAGTGAGGAATAAAAAAATCTGTCATGAAATGTGAGTTTCATGAGAACAATTTTTATAAATTAGTATGCATACATTTGTATAACGTGATTTTAAATATGCCTTTATAAAACTAAACAAGTAGACATTTGATGTTCCACCTACATCTTTTAAGTTTATATAGTCAAGTTTGCCCAAAACTAACTTTTTAAAAGCCTCCTCATTGAGTCCTGGCCAGTTTTGGTCAGTGGTTAGAGCATCGGCCCCCAGACCAAAGGGTTGAGGGTTTGAGTCCAGGTCAAGGGCACATTCCTGGGTTGCAGGTTCGATCCCAGCGCCAGTCAGGGTTGTTCAGGACACAACCAATCGTTGCGTCTCTCTCACATCGATGTTTCTCTCTCCTCCCCCTTAAAAAAAAAAAAAAAAAAGCAAAACAAAGAAAATGTATATAACTGCATCTAATTACTTTAGTTACCCTGATAATATTTTTTATAGTAGAGTTTACCTCATTTACATTTATTTTAATAACTGATATCCTTTCTTGCCCTGTTCTATACTTTCTGGTTCTAATGCTTCCTTGCTACTTTCTTGTGTCTTTTGTTGAAATTTTGTTTTACTTGCTTACCTTTAAAAGGTTGTTCTTTCTAAAAACACATTTTTTCTTTTTGAAAGAGAGGAAAGGAGCCCTGGCCGGTTTGGCTCAGCGGTTAGAGCGTCGGCCTGCGGTCCAGAGAGACCCGGGTTCGGTTTCCGCTAAGGGCACGTACCTCGGTTGCAGTTTGTCCCCGGCCACGGTTGGTCGTGAGGGTGGCAGCCACTCGATGTGTCCCTTTCATGTCAATGTTTCTCTCTGTCTTCCTCTCTCTCCCTCCCACTCTATCTGAACAAAAAAATGGAAAAATGTCTTCGGGTGAGGATTAAAAAAAAAAAGAAAGAAAGAAAGAGAGGAAAGGAGAGAGAAGTAGAAACATAGATGGGAGAGAGAAACCCTCCTACACTCCCCCCACTGGGGATCCAGCCTGCAACCCGGGCATGTGCCCTGACCAGGAATCAAACCGGGACCTCTCAGTCTATGAGACAACACTCAGTCCACACACACCAGCCAGGCTAAAAGCACATTCTTATACCTATGTTTTTCTAATTGTCAAGCTCAGAAATGAAAGACTCTTTTGAAACTCCCTCATCTGGTTAAAGGAATATAGCTTATATTAGATTTCCCCTCTTCACCCTCACTCCCTAGATGTTAGTCTCATCTGTGTGCTTTATTCAGGTTATTGTTATATTAAATTATTATTTTTATATTATACAACTTCTCTTAAGAACATATTTTTCGAACTTTTATCAAAGCCAGATTTCCAACAATAATTTAGAACTTATTTCTATTTAACTGGTTTTGTATTTATCAGCAACTATCTTACAACTTTACTTTTCTTGAGTCCTTAATTTTGTCTCATTTCCACAATTGTTTTTTTCAAGAAAGATAGACTGGTGGAAATATTTTGGGAACTTGTGAATAGTCAAAAGGGGTCTTTCTTATCCCTTCCCAATGTTAAAATTCTCCCCAGACAATTTACTATCTAGTAAGCTTTTATTCAGTGATTTATGAATTGGGCAGCATCTAATCTAGCAGATAGAAAGGGGCCCTGAAGAGCTGGACAAGGCAAGAGATTTTTATAGACCAAAGTGAGCAGGGTTGCTTTCCTCATTCGGAGCAGAGGGAAGTGTCTTAAAGCCAGGTTATGTAACTTGTGCTGAGCAGGCAAGCGCTGATTGCCTGCCTTTTCTGGGAGAGCCAAACATAGAAACTTAAGTTTTGGTTTGCTGAAGTGGGACTTAGCATGAGTGACTCCATCTTGGGCCTAATCTGGTTGCTTTAATACTGATAAGCCATATTTTAACAGAGTGTGCAAGTTAAAACATAGGCTCAATTGCTATACATCCTCCATATTTTTCCTGCTATTCTTTTAAATGAAAAGACTAGTTCCCTACTTATCACCTTTTCTCTTGCATTCTGGGAAAATGCCTCACATTTATCTTCCATATCACTGATTTGATTTTTTCACATCAGTTCTTTTCTGTGCTACCTCCAGTGTGGATTTTAATTTTTCTGCGGCATTTTTAGTTTTCTTGAAATCTCTATTATCCTTTATTTCTCTTTTAATCTATCTCATTCTTGTGCATTTTAGGTTTAGTTGATTTATCTTTTTTTAAATATTTTTTTCTTTATTGATTTTAGAGAGAGAGGAAGGGAGAGGGAGAGAGAGATAGAAACATCAATGAGAGAGAACATCAATTGGTCGCCTCCTGCATGCATCCCACTGAGGACTGGGCCCACAACCTGGGCATGTGCCCTGATCAGGAATTGAAACAGCAACTTCTTGGTACCTGGGTCGACGCTTAACCACTGAGGCACACTGGCCGGGCAGTTGATTTATCTTTAAGACTTTCTGTTTCTATTAAAGATGTTAAACAGCTTTCTGAATTTATTTTTCCGTTGATAATTTTCAGATACTTTCCTCTGAGGCCTCTGGATTCAGTTCCCAGGTTCTGTGATATTCATGGGCTCTCTTTTGGTTTTGATTTTTTCCTTATTGTTGAAGGCAAGATCTGTCCAAACACTATGTTTGTCAGGAGACCCAGAAATTGGGTCATCCTTAGTTCAGCAGCCTTTTGGCTTGTCTAGTGATCATAACCCCTTTTCAGATCTACAGCTGACATACCGGGTCAGTTCCCTGACCCCATTGAGCTACTAGCCCTGATCTGAGGTGACCCTTTTCTCAACTCTGCCTCCATTGCTTTAATTTTCACATTGTTAGATTCTATTACACCCATTCTCCGGATGGAAAAAGTAAGAGGTTATGTCATTTGCTTGAGGCTTTATAGTTGCAGTAAAAGGCAAATCAGCTCTGGACTCCAAGTCTTTTGAACCCAGTTTCTTTCTTCTGCCCTCCATCCTGTTTGCTCTGATAGGAAGACATGGTATCTGATTGGGAGACCATCTCAGAACTCAGGCCTCCCCAGCAGTAGTAGCCGCAGTGATTCTGCTGCTAAATGTACATGTCAGTCCTGTGAACAACTGAGGGAATGTTATAAGAAAAGAAAGGGCAAAGTAGGCTTGTATAGCCAGGTATATTTCAATGGTCTAGACGCTCATGCCTTGAAAGGTATCAACCTAAGTTAATAGCAAATAGGCATGTTAACACTATGCCTTCAGAGCATAGCTTTCTTACTAGAAAGTGTGGAAAGAGAATGAAAATAATAATGGTGATCTTTGTAAAATGTAAATAATCATTTTCTAAAAGTCTATCAGAAATATGCTCTGATTTATTAATGAGATCCTACTTTTTGTAAAATTGTGAGACAGATATTTCTGCAGTGCTGTTCATATACTGACACCTTTGTGATTGATTTTATTTAATGTTTATTTTTATACCAAGGATCTTTGAAGAGTAAGCAAAGGGATGAAACGTTAGCAATTTGTAATGCTTCCGCTTCAGAATTCTAGTGTGCCTACAGCTTCATCACCAGTGGGAAATGGTCACTCTGGTTTCCTGTAGGATTTGCATTTTCAGCCAAGAATAACACATAAAATAGGAAGAAATATTTCTATCCTAGGCTTTCACTGGATCTTAACCTGCTTTCTTATTTTTACAGGGGCCACTCATCTTTCACCCAAATGTCGCCCACCTGCTCACACTAAGCCTGTAAGTGCACATCTTACTGTTACTCTCTTTGTCACTTCTGGTGGGTCCTGCCAGAACGCAACACTGTCTCATAGAGTGCTCTCAATTATAGTTTTCTAATAAGGAAAGGAAAGTACTTAAGTGCAGGAAAGATTCAGGTTTAATGCGTTATTTATTAAAGAAGATTTTAAAGCCTATCTTTGGCTTTCATGTTGGTGTTGTCTTTTATTGGTTGTTTCTTCATTCCCTGCTTCATTCCAAAAAGGACTTGTGGCATCTTACAGAAATATATACAACGCAATAAAACTTTAAAAGGAAAAAGAAAGAAATCTGAGAGAAAGGAAAATAAAAGTAGAAACTCTGCATAATCTATAAAATTTCACCTCCAAGAAATTTCTTAGCTTTCTTGCCTTTGTGTCCTACACAGAAACCTTTCCATGGATGTCGAAATATAGATTTACATTTTTTTGGTCCACTGCAAAAAAAAAAAAAAAAAAAAGTGTTTTTAGCAGTATAAAAGAGAAAAGGGTTGAAAGCAAAATCCTTTATGTCAGTATTTTTCAAGCAATGTTCTGCAGAGTAACAGCCAGCCTTGCTTGAAATGTTGCCAGAAAGAAAACAAAGGTTTTCGACTGTAAGCCTTCTCAGAGCCTCTTGTATGCCCCAGACCTAACCACTTCCCACCACCTTCACCACTGTCACCCTAGTCCAAGCCACCATCATCTCTGCATCTTTCTCCTACTGAATCCCCTGCTTCTGCCCTCAGCCCCTTCCGTGGGTTCTCAGCATAGCAGTCAGACAGAGGAGCCTTCCCAACAGGAGGCAGATCATGCTGCTGCCCTCAAAACCCCCTCCCATGACTTCCCATCTCTTGCAAAGTAAAATCACACTCTTCTCAACTTCCTGACATAGGACCTGCTCTCCAAGCCCTTCCCTCATTCCCACTCCACTGCAGGATCTTTTTTTATCTCCCCTCTTACCACTTTTGGGTCTTCTAGCCTTTTTGTTCTTCCTCAAACAAAACCAGCAGGCTGTGGCCTCGGGGCTTTTGCACTTCTCAAATACCCTTCTCTCGAATACTGACTGAGCTTTCTCTCTTCCTTTATTTACTTCTCAGCAAAAATGCCTCTCCTGGCATCTGAGCACCCTATCTGAAATGCACCCTTTCTCTTCATCTTCATCTGCTTACCCTTATTTTTTTCTTCATGGCACTTTCTGAGCACATGATGCAATTTGTCACTCATCTCCACCGCTACAGTGAACGCCCAGGGAGGGCAAGAACCTGGCTCATTTTGTTCATTGCTGTATCCTCACTTCCCCAGAACACTGCTTAGCACATGGTGGCTGTTTAATTATAATTTATTGAATGGTAGACAATAAATACAGTGAGGGAAACTGTGACTCTTCGAGGGGTAATATGACATGCCACTTTCTCCAAACAGTGGAGCTCAGGATCTTTTTGCGAAAAATGCCTGTTAATATCTCATGGGATCTGCGAGTTCCAGAGCAATTTTGGAGACACTGCCTTAATTTTCATTATTTGGTTAAAATCAGATTCTGCGTTTTCCTTTTACATATTTTTATCTCTTAGTCCAACACCCTGTGCCATTCCATCAGGCCGTTTCCCTCAGTCCGGCCCGCAGTCACACGGCAGGGACTGTCGGCCACGTCCCTGCCTGCCAGCCAGCCTCTCCCTGTGGCCGCGGAGCTCACCAGGCCTGCGCCTGGGACACGTGCAGGGAAAGCTCTGCTAGGACTGACTTCAAGCCCCAAAGAGGACTCCCATCCAGACGTGTCCACCACTCATCTACAAGCATCATTTCAGAACACATGGGATCAGGTAAATAAGGAACCTGGGAGTCACAGCTGGGTACATCTGTTACACGGAAACAGTACTTTTATTCTTTCCTTCTATTTTGGTGATGTTTCAGGATTAGTGATGCTGGGAAGGAGCCTAGTCACCCTTTACTCCTGAGCAGAGTGACAGCTGGGAAAGCCTGACAGACAGGCATATACCCTGATTAAAAGCAGAACCAAAACAAGTCCATGAAAATATTCCACAGTGGGCTTTATACTTATTTCAGTATTTAAGGTCTTACTATTTTTTTATCCTCACCTGAGAACATTTTTCCATTTTTGTTCAGATAGATTGGGAGGGAGAGAGAGAAGCATCAACGTGAAAGGGACACATTGAGTGGCTGCCTCCCGCACGACCCCAACCAGGGCCGGGAACATATCACATCCGAGGTATGTGCCCTTGACCGGAATCGAACCCGCGACTCATTGATCCGTGGGCCAACGCTCTAACCGCTGAGCCAAACCAGCCAGGGCAGGTCTTATCATTATGTAATGCTCTTATATTTAGTGCTTCAGATGGGGCCTGCCCTGCTTTATTAGTGGCAGCAAACCCCAGACACCTTCCCCAGCTCCCCCTCTAACTCTTTCACCTTCGTTCCCTTCTCCACAGGGACAAGGAGAAAAGGCAAAGCTTCTGAAGAAAGTCATCCTGCTTGTCCCTGTCATTTACTTTTAAACACAAGCCCTGTTCATATGCAATCTAGCATTTCCCTGTTAGAAAAGAAGCCCCTTTTCTCTGGATCTGCTTTCTGTGGTACTGGAAACTAGACGCCCACCGTGTCTCAGCACTGTGTTCTGCTGGGGAAAACTGACCTGCGGGAGCTGAAACCAAGAGTGTTTGCCTTAAACAGAGCGAAATCTGCAGTATAGAACATCCAAAGAGTCTCCAGATAAATTATTAGAAATATTAAGAGAATTTAGAGATGTTACTGAATACCAGATCAGTATATTAAAGTTAATTGTACTATTACATATCAGCAACAGTTACAAAATTGAATTAAAAAAGAAAACGATGAATAGCAAGTACCTAGGAATAAATCTAACCAAAGATGTACAAAACTTCTATGGAAACAACTATAAGGTTTGATTAAGACTCGTTAAAGAAAAGCTAAGTAAATGGTGACATCTGCCACGATTCAGCCCAGGTCACATGTTCTGCTCTAAAATATGCACAAAGGCACCCTCAGCGGGTAAGGCCTGACCTGCAGGCAGACATGCAGTCAGGTGGCAACTGTGTCTCGCTCATATCTTCATTTCTTATTTCCGTCTCAGTCCCAAAGCATAAAACCAAATTTGGGTGGTCCTCAGTTGTAAGATCTCTCTATAACTGATCCAACCTCCTGCGCACCCTGTGGATCAGGACTAACCCTATTCGGCCGCGTGTCCATTGTTCTGGGTTTGTTTGTTTTCGCAGGGAGGTTTTCTGCCTCCCACGATCTGCCCTGTGGTATTTCAAGGACTTCTCATTTGAATATGAATTCTTGAATAAAGGGAAATACTGTGGGAAACCTGAGAGGCTAAACATACTTCTGAATACAAAAATTTTTGTTGTTTTGAATCCCGTTTTTCCATACTTTTGATCATGGCCATAAACTTAAACTTACTGTTATAAATCTTATTTCCAGACCCACTTGTCCTTGGATCAATCATTGTATGACCCTGTTATCCATCTACTGTATGGAAGAGGTGAAATAAATTCTATCTATTTGCAGAAAAGCTTCTGAAAGTAATAAATGTTATGGAGCCTGTGATTCGTAGAGCCTATAACGTCATCAAAGGTCAACTCTCATTAAAACAATGTCTCACACTACTGAAGTACAATAATTATATACAAATAATTTTGACAAAGTCTTTGTTCCCAGCAGGTCGCAGACGAGATAGGACGGAACTTCAGCAAGGCAATGCATGGCTTGCAAGCGCCCAACAAACTACAGAAAGCTTGTGAGGTGCTCCAGAAGCTGACAGCCCTCGTCCCAGGATTTTCTCAGCCAGCTCAGGTACGCAGAGGTTGCTTGGGAGGGAACACGATGTGAGAATGGGGAAAGTGGAAAAGAGAAAAAGTATAATAAAATAGAAAATATATAACCTGGAAACTCTGTCCTGTGCAGAAGGTAGCATTAAAAAACTATTTTGTGGAGGCTCCATTGAAATATGAGGACGTATATTTGTACCTTTAAATCTGAAGATTGTGCCTTAGCCCAGTAGCCCAGCTGGTTAGAGCGTCATCCCGATTCACCAAGGCTTCGGGTTTGATCCCCAGCCAGGGCACGTACAAAAAACAACCAATGAATGCATAAACAAGTGGAACAACCCCTCCCTCTCTCTCTCTCCCTTCCTCTCAATCAGTTTTTAAAACTGTATATTAAGGCGGCTCTCTCTATGGAGCACGCCGGAGCCTTTCCCCACCCCTTCCGCCCAGGAGCATTTCGTTGCCTCTCTCCTAAGCACCAAGGGCCCTTCTTCTGCCTCTGAAACTTGTTTCCTGAGCCTGTGTCTTCTTCTGCTCACTTCTTCCATCTCTGTGACTTTCTGAATAAACTTTCTCTTATAAAAAAAAATCTGCCTTGGCCAGTTTGGCTCAGCAGTTAGAGTGTTGGCCCCTGGACCAGAGAGTCCTGGGTTCAGTTCCCGCTAAGGGCACATACCTCAGTTTTGGTTCGTCCCCATCCCCAGCCCCGGTTGGGGTCATGTGGGTGGCAACCAGTTGATGAGTCTCTCTCACATCAATGTTTCTCTCTCTCTCTCTCTTCCTCCTTCTCTCTCTCCTGCTCTATCTGAAGATAAATGCAAAAATGTCCTCAGGTGAGGATAAAAAAAAAATCTGAAGATTGTGAAAAACTGGATCAGTAATGACATTCTCATTTATCACATTACTGCCTTTTTATTTATGTGTCAGGAGAAATCACAGGAGACAAAAGTAGATCCACGCCTTGCCATACAATAGTGCAGCCTTGAAACAGGCATCACGAGTCAGCGCCCCCATGATGTTTGCCTTTGTTGCAACCACATTTGCCAGTGTTACTTCCTCATTAGTCATGCCTCCTGCTCCCTAAATTAAGCTGGTAGGATTCATGAGGATTTTAATTTTCTTTTTCTCGTTTTCCGTATCTTCAAATATTCAGCCGTAAGTACATAAATGCAATCTGCATTGCTTTATTTGGACTTTTTAATTACAGAAATAATATGTGCTTGTTACTTAAAAAATTAGAACAAAAGCATATAAAATAAAAGCATTCTCTAGATGTAATCACTATTATTAGTTTAGTTTTGATTTGCTGTGCATAACCTTCCAAACATTTTTTTTTTTTAAATCCTCACCTGAGGATACTTTTCCCATTTATCTTCAGAGTGGGAGGGAGGGAGGGAGAGAGAGACATCGATGTGAGAAAGACACATCGATTGGCCGCCTCCCACACGACCCCAACTAGGGTCAGGGACCGAACTACAACCAAGGTACGTGCCCTTGACCAGAATCGAACCTGTGACTCTTTGGTCCATGGACTGACGCCCTGACCACTGAACCAAACAGGCCAGGGCACCTTCCAAACATTTTTGATACATATACAAATTCGTTGGTTTGTTATATTTTAATAAAAATGGAGTTCAAGTATACAAATTTTTCTGCCCCTTGGTTTTTTTACTTAATACTGTGTCATGGATATCTTTTTTTTTTTTTTTATCCTCACCCGAGGACATTTTTTTCCATTTTTTGTTCAGATAGAGTGAGAGGGGGAGAGAGGAAGAGAAACATTCACGTGAAAGGGACACATGGAGTGGTTGCCACCCGCACGACCCAACCAGGGCCAGGGACAAACTGCAACCAAGGTACGACGTGCCCTTAGCGGGAACCGAACCAGGGTCTCTCTGGACCGCAGGCCGACACTCTAACCGCTGAGCCAAACCGGCCAGGGCTGTCATGGATATCTTTTAATGTCAGTACACATAAGTGAAGTCCTTATTCTTGTGTGTTTGTGTTAATCCTCACCTGAGGATATTTTTTCATTGATTTTTATTGTAGAGAGAGTGGAAGGGAGGGAAGGAGAAGGAGAGAGAGAGAAACATTGATGTAAGAGAGAAGCATCGATTGGTTGCCCCCTGTATGTGCCTCAACCAGGGACTGAACCCACAACCTGGGTACATGCTCTGACTGGAATCAAGCTTGCCACCTATTGGTGTACAGGATGATGCTCCAGCCAACTGAGCCACCTAACCAGGGCTTAACTTTGTTTATTTTTTATTTTTATGTTATTCTTGTTATTTTTATATTTTATTTTTATATCTTTTATTTTGCAGTTTTTAATAAATGTAACTTTAAAAATAAATAATATTTCCAAATAAAAATAGTACTTACAGTGTATATTCAGTAAATACCTGTTCACTTGACTTGTTTTACATGAGAACAACCTACAGAAACAAGAATTGGTATTTTCTGTTTCATTTAGAACTTCTCTTTAATCTCTATGTTTTTGTCTTTTGGGGTTTGTTTGGGGGTTTTTGGGGTTTTTTTTAGAGAGAGAGGAAGGGATAAGGGGAGAGAGAGAAACATCGATTGGCTGCCTCCTGCATGCCCTCTAGTGGGGATCAAGCCCACAACCCTGGCATGCACCCTGACTAGGAATACAACTGGCAACCTCTTGGTACATGGGACGACACTCAACCAACTGAGCCACACTGGCCAGGGCTGATCTCTTTGTTGAGTCTACCTTGAAAGCTTTTCAGGTCCTCGATACAAACAATAGTCTACCCAGTATTTCAGTCAGCACTGTTTTTTTTCTTCAGCATTCCTTTTTTAAGTTTAGTTTTGTTGATTGAATATTTGATCCACTTGCCACTCAAAAGTGGTTATGTCAGTCTGGTCAGTGTGGCTCAGTGGATTGAGTGTTGTCCCGTGGACTGCGAGATCCTAGTTATATTCCCAGTCAGGGCACATGCCCGGATTGTGGGCTTGAGCCCCAGTAGTGGGTGTGCAGGAGGCAGCCAGTTGATATTTCTCTCTCACATCAATGTTTCTATGTCTCTCTCCCTTTCTCTCTCTAAAATCAATATAAACATTTGAATAGGCGGCGGGATTATGTCATTTGCTTAGAATAACTGGAAATACAAATCCTCCCAATAGGTAATATGTAACAGTGTATTTCTCTTCTTTGCCACATTGTAATATTCTTCTTATAAAAATATATTTGAAATGCATAAAGAACACTGAACTCCTTATCAGAAGAATACAAATAAACTTAAAACAATCATAAACAGTTCAGGAATGTACATTTTCTTTTTTACATCCCCAGGTCGATATTGTTGACTCCCTTATTTACCTGAGTGACCGATTACTGAAAAGCCCCTTTCAGAACAACAGCACTCTGGGCTTCAAAATTCCTGTGACTGTCTGCCTCTTTCACTCCCTTGATGATGTAATGAAAGCTGGTGGAGCAAGTGGGCCAAGATCCAAGCATGGCATTAAGCAGGTAGGTGCGGTACCTGCCGGTGGCCAACTCTCCTTAGAAACTCTTAACCTTGACAGATCCAGGTATCACACAGCCTCCTACTAGACTCAGTATGACCCAGCTATGTCTGCACCACTGAATAGACTGCTCTGCTAAGCCTGCTCTGGGTCCTCCTCCCTACCCAACCCATGAGCCAAGCCTACCTAATGCTGTAATCTGGTGAAAAGAAATTAGTGAAGTGCTTGGCACACAGTAAACACTCAGTAAATTATATTTGCTGTGTACACGAGAAGCTGTTCAACATTGTTAGTCATCAGGGAAATGTGAATCAAACCACAGAGAAACCACTTCTCACCCAGTAACAGGTGTTGGCAAGGAAGCAGAGAAATTGGAACCCTCACACATTGTTGGACTGTAAGATGATACAGTTGCTTTGCTAAGCAGTTTGACAGTTCCTCAAAATGTTGAAAATAGAATTACCATGTGACCTAGCAATTCCACTCCTTGGACTAGACCCACATATGTCCACACTGAAACTTGTACAGTCATGTTCATAGCAGCATTATTCAAATAGCCAAATGGCTAAAACGTGGAAACAACCCAGATGTTCATGATCTGATGAATGAATAAATAAAATGTGGTATGTCTATAAGAAGGAATATTATTCAACAACAAAAAATAATTAAGTATTGATACATGCTACAACGTGGATGAACCTTGAAAATATTATGCTAAGTGAAGAAGCCAATCACAAAAGACCATATATTATGATTCCATCTATATGAAATGTCCAGGAGAGGCAAATCTGTAGATGTAGAATGTAGATGAGTGGCCGCCTAGGGATAGAGGAGATGGGGACAGGAGAATGGACCGGACTGCTACTGGGTTCTGGGTTTATTTTAGGAGAGAGAAAAATATTCTAAACTTAGATCATGGTGCTAGTTGCACAACCCCATGAATATACCAAAAAACATTGAATTGTATACTCTAAGTGGGTGAATTGTGTGTGTGAATTTCATTACAATAAAACTTTTTAAAAATATTAAAAACCTGTCATATGCAGATCTAGGGCAACTTATGTCACAGGTGGCCCTTTTAGTGATACAAATGATGGAGAGTCTTCAGCCAGACTGCAAGTACTTTCTGTGGCTTCTCTCCAGTGAATGTCGCCTTTCCTTACACTGTTGTCAAGATCCCTGGTTCCCTTTCCAACCTCCTCAAAATCATTATTTCACAAATACAATACACTGAGGTTATACAAGTCATGTGATATTTCTCTCTAAATGCAGGTAGAAAATATTCTGAAAATGTCCTTGCTTGCCCTTGGGGAGATCCAGGAAACATTTCTACAGCGGAATCATTTTTCTGAGTCTTCGGTGACTCTGACCTCTTCCGTTGCTACCCTGATATTGAGCAGGTATCATAGGAGGGAGGAAGGGGGGAGTTTCATTTTAGGCTTTTGACCTCTGTAGAACATACATAAATTGATTTCCATTTAACTTCTTCTTCATTAGCCAAAACATATCGACTTTGCCTCTGAGCTCTTACACTCTTGGATACCCAGCACCTGTGAGGTTAGCCTTCCCATCAGCTTCGGCTTTGGAGGACCTCTTGAGTGAACACCCAAGGGTTAATGTTCAAGTGAGTGTGAGACTGATTCTGACCAGAATGAAAGTGAGATCTGATGGCTGCAGGCATTTGGGTGACAGGAATGCACCATAAAACGTAAGCTAACCAGACCGGAGGAGAGAAGGCTGTGTGCCATTCCTTTCTGTTTAACTGGCAGGATTGAAGGCCTCTGGCGTGATTCAGTATAGAGGTTGGGAGCATTAAACAGACTTCTGGATTTAGCTAAGTTTCTGGGTTATGAAGTGAATTGATCTCAACTCTTTACTATATATACAAAGCTGTGAATATCTGAATAATTACTGATTCAGTATACTGACCTAGTGTTATCAGTTTAATGTATTTTTTTTTTTCAGCAATTACCTGACAAACAGAAGTAGGATTGTTGCCTTACTCTGGAGAACAGAATACTTACTTCCTACTAAAATGAATCCTCTAGGTATAAAGATGTAAAAAATAAAAATTCTGAGGGTCACAAGTAAATGACTCATCTTTAACTAATTAATTCTTTCTCATATGATCTTATAATGAGAGATACTTTATTTGAGATAATAGCAAGGGGGAAAAAATCCCAACATTTACTTTAATTTATGGTATCTGATTACCTTATTACCTTTTGGGGTGTTATTTGTAAGTATTTCGGTAATTGCTGAAATTGGAGTTTTCTTGTCTCTAGGTAACAGGACTAGCTTTCAATCCCTTCAAGGGTTTTGATGACAAGAACATCGTTGGAAGTGTTGGAAGTGTGTTACTAAGCTCTAATCATAAATTGCTCCAAGTCCATGATTTAATGGAAGATATTGAGGTATGACTTGATTATTAGGGAATAAGATAGAAAGGAGTAGGAATTCCTGGAGAACCACATAGAAGGCTGCAATACCTTGAAGGAAGTCATTGTTTATGGCAGTGTCCTTGTTTTATTATTAACACCTTTACGTGGGAACTTCTACAAACTTCTTAAGAGAAGTTACTTTAGGTCTTAGACTATATATTATTCCTTAGCTCCTGACACTGTATATTACCTACTAAAATTTAAAGAAGAAGACCCAGGAAGTTTCATTCCATTACCACTATAAAGGAGACTGAAAGGCATCAATGGATGGGCCATCTTAAACTTGAAGAGTGATGAGCTGTCTCTTGTTCTAGATCACACTCTGGAGAAATGCAAGCATGGAGACCCATCCCACCAGCATCAACACAAGCGCAGACCATTTCACCATCACAGTGAACATCACTTCCCTGGAGAAATCCCTGATTGTGTACACAGAGCCTGAAAGTCCTGTTTCCGTGACACTCTACCTGGGGTTCCAGTATCAGCCCAGCCACACTCACTTCCACCTGAACATCACCCTTCCAAAGGCTCAGGTGCAACAGAAAGGTAAGACCCCTCTCAGATGTCAGCAGTCTACTACTTTGCAATGCACTCTTTTCTTTATCTTGTTTAAATTAACTTTTTATTTAGAGATAACTATATATTCACAATCATAAGAAACAGATCTCACATACTTGTCACCCAGTTTCTCCTAATGATAACATCTTGCTTAACTATAGTGTGATATCACACCAGGAAATGACACTGATGCAATACATTGATCTTATTTGGATTCCACTACTTTACAAGCATGTGTGTGTGCATGTGTGCGTGTGTGTGTGTGTGTGTATTTGGGTCTGTGTAATTTTATCACACGTATAGATATGTGTAACCATGAAATGCATTTTTTTTTAAGTTGGATTGTTGGATAGATAGAAGGATATATATGTGATAAAGCAAATTTAGTAAAATGTTAATTGTAGACTCTGTTAGTGATTCTCTGGGTGTTCCTATAAAATTGTCTCAACTTTCTGTATGGTTGAAAATTTTCATAATAAAATGCTGAGACTCCTGCAGAAGTAAAGTTTCGGTAAAATGGGTCATATCTATTCCAAACCTTATATATTATAGATGAATATATACATGTGCAATATATCATTTATATTTCAATTTTATTTCTAATCTTACATTTAGATAATGCCTGGAGATATCTCAGTTAATCTTGATATAAGATCAGAATGACTATGTTGTAGTTTAGAAAAGTTAAGAATTTCTAAGACACATATAAATAGTGCCTGGAATATACTTGACCAAAAAACTTTAAGTGTAGTACTGAAAAGGCTTAATAAAGAGTACCCCTCTGCCCTGGCCGGTTTGGCTCAACGGTAAGAGCGTCCACCTGCGGTCCAGAGAGACCCGGGTTCGGTTCCCGCTAAGGGCACGTATCTCGGTTGCAGTTTGTCCCCGGCCCTGGTTGGTCATGCGGGTGGCAGCCACTCGATGTGTCCCTTTCGCATCGATGTTTCTCTCTCTCTCTCTCTCTCTCCCACTCTATCTGTACAAAAAATGGAAAAATGTCCTCGGGTGAGGATAAAAAAAAAAAAAAAAGAGTACCCTTCTGCCCTTAAAAAAGTGGGGGAAAATAATCAGAATGGATAAAGCATGTTATAGTCTCCCTTCATAACAGTCTACCCTGCTGAACGAGCTGTGAATGAGCTGCTTCTACTCCCACATAGGCCTCGGGGCACAGGAACAATCACCTTTTTGTGGTTGTTAACCTCACCTGAGGAGATTTTCCACTGATTTTTAGATAGAGTGGGAGGGAGGAGAGAGAGAGAGAGAGAGAAACATTGTTGTGAAAAGGCACATGGGTCCTGACTGGGTTGGCTCAGCGCTTTAGAGCGTCAACCTGCGGTCCAGAGAGACCTGGGTTCGGCTCCCGCTAAGGGCACGTATCTCGGTTGCAGTTTGTCCCCGGCCCTGGTCGGGTCATGCGGGAGGCAGCCACTCGATGTGTCCCTTTCACGTCAGTGTTTCTCTTCCTCTCTCTCCCTCCCACTCTATCTGAACAAAAAAATGGAAAAATGTCCTCGGGTGAGGATAAAAAAAAAAAAGGCACATCGATTGGTTGCCTCCTGCACAACCCCAACCGAGGCCAGGGATTGAACCTGCAACCCAGGTGTGTGCCCTTGACCAGGAATTAAACCCTCAAACCATCAATCCTTGAGCTGATGCTCTAACTACTGAGCCAAAGTGGCCAACGTGAAACAAACATTTTAAGTGACTCTTCCCTTTAGACAAAGCACCTGAGGTAGCAGCTCTCACTACTGGGCGGCCAGCTACAAAGTTCTGTCTGCATGACCCACAGGCTGTTTCCCGAGTCAGAACATGCACTCCCACCTAGCCTATGTGGCTCAGTGGATTGAGCATCATTCCATGGACTGAAAGGTCCTGGTTCGATTCGTGGTCAGGGCACATGCCTGGGTTATGGGCTCAATCCCCAGTAGGGGGCTTGCAGGAAGCAGCTGATCGATGTTTCTTTCTCACATCAATGTTTCTATCTCTCTCTCTTCCTTCCTCTCGCTCTAAAAAATCAATAAAAACATATTAAAAAAAAGAACATGCACTCCCTTTCTCTTGCTGATCTTGGCAATAATATCATGTCATTTGGGGCTGGAAGAAATCTTAAGGAACCTTTGGTTTAGACTCCTTGTTTGAAAGATAAGAATGCTAGAGAGATTGGGTGACTTGCCCTTAACAGCTACCTGGTGACAGAGCTGGGCCTGAAACCAGGCCTCTGGCATGCAGTTCAGGCTCCTCCCCAGAACCACTCTGTTCCTGTCCTTACTTCGTCCTTGGGTTTCTTTTGTCACCTAAGTCTTCTATCTACTAATTTTTGTCTGTGACAATTTTATTTTTATAAAACTCTTAATACATTCTAATTTCTTAGACCTAAATTTTCATTTCTCAAAAGAATATGATTTTTTTTACTGCAGTAGGAGTAATCCAAAACCCTGGATTGTATCACTGGTCATTTAAAAAAAAGTCAGCCCTGGCCGGTTTGGCTCAGCGGTTAGAGCATTGGCCTGCGGTCCAGAGAGACCGGGTTTGGTTCCCGCTAAGGGCACGTACCTCAGTTGCAGTTTGTCCCCGGCCCTGGTTGGTCGTGCGGGTGGCAGCCACTCGATGTGTCCCTTTCACATCGATGTTTCTCTCTCTGTCTCTTCCTCTCTCTCCCTCCTACTGTACCTGAACAAAAAATGGAAAAGTGTCCTCAGGCGAGGATAAAAATAAAATAAAATTACATAATTTAAAAAATCATTTGTTAGGCTTATTACTGTAGGCTTAATACTTTGTAAAATAAAATAATAATAGGCCCTTCAGAAGAATGGTATTTTTCTCCCACTCTGCTTTGTTCTCAGATGAGGAATATACTTGGGTGCTGACTCCAGAGAGCTTGCAGTATGGGACTGGCATCTACTACATAACAGCTGTGTTGAATAAAAGCAAGGAAAGTGCTCAGCAGGCTCCCACCCCGTTCTCCATCATAACTGCTGTCACTCAGTGCTATTTTTGGGACAGCCACAACAGCTCGTGGAAGAGCAACGGGTGTGGGGTAAGAAGCTGCGCCACTTCCCGCTCTCTTCTATCTCAGCTGGCATTAAACAGTGTATCTGTTATCTCCATTCCCTTCAAATCTCAGAAGGGAGCCCTGGCCAGGTGGCTCAGTGGACTGAGCATCGTCCCATGGACTGAGAGGTCCTGGTTTGATTCCCAGTCAGGGTACATGCTCAGGTTGTGGGATCGATCCCCAGCAGGGGGCGTGCAGCAGTGTTTCTCTCTCTCTCTCTCTCCCCCTTCCTCTCTCTCTAAAACAATCAGTAAAAACATCATATTTTTTAAAAAGAGAAAAGCAATATGTGAAAGCTGTTAAAGTCTACAAGTATTAAATATGTTGTGTGTAAAATGAAGTGAACTTTCTGCTAAATAAAAGAGAATTTTTGTACTTAAGAATAAGCTAGCCTATTCTTTTCCATTCCAGGCCAGGTGGAGACAGATTGCCACCTTTGCAATTATTGCCAGCTTCCAGGTGTCTGCCCACTTTACAGTGGCATTGTACATTTTTACATTAGTGATGCTGTGAGGTCCTGTCTGACTCAGATCCTGGTCCAGTTGCACAAGAATGCGGTGGAGGTTTCTGGAAATCATGAGGTTGTTCTTCAGCCATCTGAGAAAGTTTCATCTGGATTGGGACCAGAAGGAAAGGGGCTCTCTGGAAGGCACCCGCACCACTCATGGCCTCAAGCAGTGATTTCTGGGTGGTCTGCACCGTGCTTCAAGCACATCCTCAAACTGGAATCTCGTTCAAGTGCAGATTCTGTTGCAGTAAACCAGGGCGGGCCAAGGACCTGCCTCTGTAATGCCATCCCAGGCAAAGGCAGTGCTGCTGGTCAGGGGAGCCACACTCGGAGCAACAGGCTCCGGAGCTTCCCCTGGCACAACAGGGACCCCCTGGGTGCAAAAGCATCAGGATATTTCCTGCCTCCTTGAAGCCCTACATGGTGTTTGGCTCTGCGAAGGGAGGAGAGCCGTAGAAAACAGGATGCGAGTTCCCCTAGGTCAGAAGATAGATTGGGCAATCAGAACTTAACCTTGTGCCATGGAGAGTCAGTCCTAATGACGCGGTTTTAGACTTTTCATCTGCAAAATCAGACATGGAATTGGTACCTTCCATTTATTCACCTAGTAATTTTTTTTAAATCCTACTTTGAGGATATGTTTTTATTGATTTTAGAGAGAGAGGAAGATAAAAACCAATGTGAGAGAGAAACCTCAATTGGTTGCCTCCCATATGCGACCTGACCAGGGATTGAACCCACAACCTTTTGGTATATTGGATGATGCTCCAACTGAGCCACCTGGCCAGGGTCCTAGTGACATCAGCGTGTCAGCCCACGGTTCAGAGAGACCCGGGTTCAGTTCCCACTAAGGGCACGTACCTCGGTTGCAGTTTGTCCCCGGCCCTGGTTGGGGTCGTGCGGGAGGCAGCCACCCGATGTGTCCCTTTCACATTGATGTTTCTCTCTCTCTCTCTCTCTCCCTCCCACTCTATCTGAACAAAAATAGAAACATGTCCTCTGGTGAGGATTAAAAAAAAAATTATAAAGAAGTGTTACAACATGGAAAGTTATAGGGAATAATATGATAAAAACCATTAAACACATCACTCAGCTTTATCACAGAATTCATATTTTGCTCTAATTAGTTTAGATTTTTAAAAATAATAAGACAGTCCAGCTGGAGTGGCTCAGTGGTTGAGCATCAACCCATGCACCAAGAGGTACCAGTTCAATTCCCTGGTCAGGACACATGCCCAGGTTGTGGGCCAAATCCCCAGTGCGGGGCATGCAGGAGGCGGCCAGTCGATGATCTTTCTCATCGATGTTTCTATCTCTCTCTCCTTCTCAGTTCCTCTCTCTTTGAAATCAATAAAGAAAAAAAAACTTAAAAAAAAAAAAACTAAAAAAAATTTTTTTAAAAATAATAAGACACTCAGGAATAATCTAAGTGCTCTGTATATCCTTCACTAATTCCATTTCCTTCCTCCTCACAAAGGGTAACCACTGTCCTGAGTTTGGTGTACGTATTCATTCTTCCAACAAATATTTATTGAGCATCTTCTACAAGCCAGGCCCAAGGCTCGGAACTAGAGATACAGTGATGGACCAGACCGTGTCCTCATCAGCTTACATTCCAGTGAGGAGACTGACAAGTAGATAAATAAGTGCTGTTTTGGTCTTTGTGCAATTGGCACCAAACTGTACATATTCTTCTTTGACTGGATTTTTTCACTCCACATTTATCCATGTTTATATTAATTTTAACTGCTGTATAGTATGCCATCGGTTTGCCTCTACTTATATATTTATTTGTATGTTCTGCTGTTATAGACACATAGGCTGTCTCCAATTTTTTATAGTTATCAGTGCTGACGGGAGCATTCTGTTTCCTGTCTCCTTGTGCACGCGTGTGAAGTTCTCTGCGCTATAGTCAGAGGGGGATCATGGGAGTCAGAGTCTGTGCTTCTTCAGCTTTAGAGTGCCGCCACTCTGCTCTGCACATTGGTTACACCAGTTTCCCTACCAGCCGCAGGGAAAGGTGACCCCGAATTCTCCTCCCTCCAGATGGCCTGTGTTTGTGTCTGTGTCTGTCCCTTCCTCAGCACTCCTTCAGTCAGTGTCAGCGTCTTGTTCCAATTCCAGGTCGGGCCACAGAGCACAGTAGTGAGGACGCAGTGTCTCTGTAACCACCTGACCTACATTGCCAGCGACTTCTTCATTGTGCCCCGGACAGTGAATGTGGCGGACACGATCAAGCTATTCCTTCGCGTGACCAACAACCCGGTTGGGGTGTCATTGCTGGCCAGCCTTTTGGGATTCTACATGCTCCTGTTTATATGGGCTTGGAGAAAGGACAAAGCAGATAGGCAGAAGGTGATGAGACTTTGCTCCAAAGGTTTTTCACAGTGTCTTGAGTATGTTGAACAAGACGGGAAAAAATGCCCTCATCAAAGGAGGCAGGTCGCCTGGTTCTAGGTAGCGCAGAAATTCAGGGGCGGCTTTCCTGAGATTTCTCTATATCTACTCACTCCAGGCCTAGGGACTTAACTCTTTATCTCCTTTTTTATTTTCTTTTAGCCAAGGTTGAATTCACATATGAGTCATTTAGGAATAGGCCAAAAGAAAACACCTAAAGAATTTAACTATAAACAAATGCACATTTATCTCACTTTATACATTGGACATGAAAGGTGCGTGTAAGTCCCATTATAATTGAATGTAATTGCAATATATAAAAAATCTGTAAGAAATCTTTTTTGAAACAAACAAAAAAATACTTGGATGGCTGCCTCCTCTTAGTTTTTGTCCTGTTTCTTATTCTTGTGTTTTCGTACACTTGGAAATTGTGGAATGCACAGCATCTTTCTTTCTTTATTGCTGTGGGTACAGGATTGCCAGTTTGAGTAAATAAAAATACAGGACACCCAGTTACATTTTAATTTCAAATAAATAAGTGGGTGAATTTAATTTCAAATAAGTGGGTGAATTTTTAGTTTAAGTATGTCCCCAAATTATTCAGTGTTTGTCTGAAATTCAAGTGTAACAGGATGTTTAATGTGTTATTTACATGGTGGGAGGAATGTGGAGAGATTTAGAGGCTCAAGACCTGACTGATTCTATGACTCTCTCATTTTAGAGGTATAAACCCTGGACTTTCAGCCCCCACCGCCCCCCAACCCCCATCACTTAGCAGAGGTCAGCTTCTCTGTCTGTCTGCCTGCACCTCACCTTTGCTTTCCCCATGGTGCCCCGATCGGCACAGTGCACCCTCTTCCTGTCCCCTAGCTGGAGGAACAGCCCCGCTAGACTGAGAAAAGCTCAGCCAATTTTCTTCATTCTGCTTTCCTGCAGGTGAAGGTCACTGTCCTGGCTGATAATGACCCCAGCTCTCAGTTTCACTACCTTGTTCAGGTCTCCACTGGATATCGAAGGAGGGCCTCTACAACTGCTAAGGTTAGTGAAATACATATTCTTCATGCATTACTCTGTCTTCTACCACATGAGACACACACTGATTTGGTGACATCCCCATGTCCTGTAGCTTTACAAGGTATCCCAGAGGGACCTTTCCTAGTTCTAAACTGTAAATCTGAAGAACCTGCTATATTTGTCTAAGATTCCAAAGACTTCATCCCAGTACAGCTTTTCTGTCTTCATCTTTCTCCTTGGGGATAAACCCAAAGAACCAAATAATCATGTTAGAACTTCCTGTATTTTCTCTTTTCTTGTCACATTTTAGGTGGTTATCACCCTTTATGGATCAGAGGGACGGAGTGAGCCCCACTATCTTTGTGACTCCCAGAAGGCAGTCTTTGAACGAGGGGGACTGGATGTCTTCCTCCTCAGCACTCAGTCCTCTCTGGGGGAGCTACATAGCCTTCGGCTCTGGCATGACAATTCAGGTGTCAGCCCTGCTTGGTAAGCACCTGCATCACGCTGGCTTGTTGTTCTTCTCTGAGGATTTAGCATTCTAAGCGAGTTCAGCATGTCATCACGATAAATAGCAATAATGCCTTAGGCCAAATAGTAACAAATGAGATTTACATTTCCAAGCTGACTATAAAGACAAAACCCTGGAAATCAGTGTGGGAAATTAACAATATGATTTGTGTGGGTGGTAGAATGATCAATGTTTTATATTTTATTTATTTATTTTTATCCTCACCCGAGGACATTTTTTGTTTTGTTTTTTTATTCAGATAGAGTGGGAGGGAGAGAGAGGAAAAGAGAGAGAGAGAAAAACATCAGCGTGAAAGGGACACATCGAGTGGTTGCCACCCACACGACCTAACTAGGGCTAGGGACAAACTGCAACTGAGGTACATGCCCTTAGCGGAAACCGAACCTGGGTCTCTCTGGACCGCAGGCCGACGCTCTATCCACTGAGCCAAACCAGCCAGGGCTATATTTTATTTTTAAAATATGTTTTTATTGATATTTTTAGAGACAGAGGAAGGTAGAGAAACATCTGTCAGCTGCCTCCTGCACGCCCCCTACTGGGGATCGAACCCACAACCCAGGCATGTGCTCTGACCAGGAATCCAACCGGGACCTCTCAGTCCATTGGTTGATGCTCAATCAACTGAGCTACACTGGCCAGGTTGTCGTTTTTATTTTCATTAAATGTCATGTTGTAAACAACAAATAATCACAATGAAATATTGCTCCAAAGTACCACGAATTAAAAGTAGCTCTAGACCTGGCCGGTTTGGCTCAGTGCAGACCAATGAGTTGCAGGTTCAATTCCAGTCAAGGCCATGTACTTCCGTTACAGTTCGTCCCTGGCCCTGGTCAGGCTCATGCAGGAGGCAATCAGTCGGTGAGTCGCACTCACATGGATGTTTCTCTCTCTCTCCCTTCCACCCTCCTCCTCTATCTGAAGATAAATGGAAAAATATCCTCGGGTGAGGATAAAAAAGTATCTCTAAATAGGAAAAATATATTTAAAGAGTAAATGTAATAAACAACTATATCCTGAATATTGTGCGTTGGGTCAGAATTAAGAGCTTAGGCGAGAGGAAAGGTGGAATCATGGTGCGGAATGTGCCGGGGAGTCAGAGAAATGTTCAGGGATGAGGATGTGATTCTGACTTGTGCTGGGTCCAGGTGGTTCTGCATCTCCCCTCAGCAGCACTCAGAATTAGGAAAGGTGGCTGGAGAAAGTAGATGATGAGATTAATTAAGGGTGAGATTATTGGTTCGTTGGGGTTAGGAAAACAGAAGGGAATGAAGTTAGAGATCCAAGTCTCAGGTACTCAGAGGAGTCAGTTGCGGAGTGCTGGCCACTCCGAGAAGAGTGTGCAGCCTACCTGAGGTAAGTCCTGCCCCGCTAGGCTAGATACACCAGCCACTAGGCCAGTAAAGTGCAATAATTTGCTTGTTGCTTATTCTGATTGGGTATCTACAAAACAGTTTGTACACTATCATCCCAGTGTCATTAAAAAGGTGAATAATGTATAATAAGCACTTGAGAAGACGCTCGACTTCATTAGTCATCAGAAAATGCAAATTAAAACCAGTGAGACAGCATGACTAAAACAAAAAAGTCTGACAAGCCCTGGCCGGTTTAGCTCAGCGGTTAGAGCATCGGCCCGCAGACCAAAGAGTTGCGGGTTTGATTCTGGTCAAGGGCATGTACCTTGGTTTCGGTTCGTCCCTGGCCCTGTGGGAGGTCGTGTGGGAGGCAATATGTCTCTCTCATGTGGATGTCTCTCTCTCTCTCTTTCTCCCCTTCCTTCCCACTCTGTTTGAAAATGAATGGAAAAATTTCCTCAGGTGAAGACTTTTTAAAAAAAGGAGAAGAAAAAGTCTGACAAAAGCAAGTTTGGGTGAGGGTGGGGAGCACTCACACACCACCGGTGGGAGTGAAAATGGTGCAGCCACGCTGGAGAACAGTTTGTCAGTTTAACGCCAAGTGAAACATGCTGTTCACCATATGATCCAGACATTCTGCTCCTAGGCATTGACCCATGATGAATGAAAAATATTTTAATTCAACACACACATGTTCATAGCAGTTTTATTTGTTAGTAGCCCAAAATTGGGAACAATGCAAATATCCATCAGGTGAATAAGTAAACAATTATTACTATATTCATTGAATGGGATACTGCTCACTGACAAAAAGAACAGTCTGCTGATACACACAACATGGATAAATTCCCAAAAATATGCTGACCAAAGAAGCCAAACGCAAAAGAATACATACTGTGTGAATCCACATATATGAAATTCTTAAAAAAGACAATTCTGCAGAGACAGGAAGCAGATCTGTGGCCAGGGATGAGCCTCTTATTTTGTAAAATAGAGGCAGATGGGATGCTTTCAGAGGTGGCAGGACACTATCACATTTGGAACCAGGAAACTTAAAGAACACACACACACCGACTGGCATAGGTTATAGAAATCTGCATTCTGGTGTTCCCGTACATGAACTCCCTTAGAGGCTGGGAGTGGGCACAGGGAGTCAGCTCTCATTTCTTTCTTTAGTTCTTGCCTTGCAATGAAACAGAATCCACAAACAGTGCAAGGTTACTTCTTTTTATTTTAATTATTTGATTTATTTTTTAAATTTGTGTTATGACTAGAAGTTTTACCTCTTGACCCCCTACACCCATTCCCCCGCAGCCACTTACCTCTGGCAACCACTAATCTGTTCCCTGTATCTGTGAGCTTGTATTTTCTCTCTCTCTCTCTCTCTCTCTCTCCTTCCTTCCTTCCTTCCTTCCTTCCTTCCTTCCTTCCTTCCTTCCTTCCTTTTCTTTTTTTAAATTAAATCATACAGTATTTGTCTTTCTCTGACTTATTTCACTTAGCATAATTCCTTCAATGTCCATCCATGTTGTACAAATGGCGGTTTCATTCTTTTTTATGCCTGTGTGTGTATATACCACATTTTTAATCCATTTATTCATCACTGGACATTTAGGTTGTTTCCATAAAATTACTTCTTATTACAACAATTGAATTGTGCTCACCTCCCTAACATGATTATCTTTATTTTACTATAGGTATGTAAGCCAGGTAATTGTCAGTGACATGGCAGGTAACAGGAAATGGCATTTCCTATGCAATTGTTGGCTGGCTGTGGATCTTGGAGACTGTGAGCGTGACCGGGTCTTTATACCAGTCTCAGAGAAAGAGCTCTTCTCCTTTAGGTATTGTTGGGAAATGATGTGTTTTACAGGTCTCTGAAGCTCTGTTCATTTTTCTTCATTCTTTATTCTTTCTGTTCTTTATACTGTATAGTATAATTTAAATTGACCTATCTTAAAGTGTGTTGATTCTTTTCCTCTGCCTGTTCAATTATGTTATTGAGCCTCTCTACTGAATTTGCATTTCACTTAATATATTTTTCAACTGCAGACTTGCTACTCAGTCCTTTTAAAAAATAATTTATAGCCCTGGCTGGTTTGGCTCAGCAATTAGAGCATTGGCCCGCGGACCGGAGAGTCCCGGGTTCGGCTCCCACTAGGGGCACCTGCCTCAGCTGCAGTTCGTCCCTGGCCCCACTTGGGGGTCGTGCAGGTGGCAACCAGTCGATGTGTCTCTCTCGCATCAATGTTTCTCTCTCTCTCTTCCTTCCTCTCTTCCTCCTGCTCTATCTAGAGATGAATGCAAAAATGTACTCAGGTGAGGGTAAAAATAATAATAATAATTTATATATCTTTATTAATATTTCTATTTGGCAAGATGTCATTCTCATTTACTTTCCTTTAGTTCTTTAGACATGGTTTTCTTTAGTTCTTTGAACACATTTAAAATGGCTGATTTGGAGTCTTTGTCTAGTAAATCCAGTGTCTTGGCTTCCTCAGGGACAAGCTGAGGAGGGGATGTCTCTAGCTTTACAATCTGGAGATGAAAGTAAATTTGCTCCAAAGAGAGTCACTGTCTCACTTGTCCAGGGCTGTCTGCTTACAAGGTTACTAAAGCAATAGTCCCGGAGCGAGTATTGTACTAATGCCTGCATGTGAAGTGCTCAGGCAGCACTGCCCCTTAGCGCTGCGCTCGCCGTGTCAGACTGCTGTCAGCGTAGCAGTTATTCTTTTAAAGTGCACGGCCTCTTAAAATACGTTACCTGTATCCATGATGTTCCATATTTTACCATAATTCTTTTTATTGTGGAGGTGTTTTTTTATTCTGTTTGGTACTCAGAAGGTCCTTTTAAAAAGGTGGTTTATTGTGGTCAAGTACACAAGCAAAATTATGTCTTAATTCTGAAACTTTCTCAGATGTCGCTTCTAGGAAGACTGCTCATCTGACATTCTCTTACTCTATTTTGGAGCCTCAAACTATCTTCCATGTTTTTTGTTTGTTTGTTTTTTGGGTTTTGTTTTGTTTTTAATCCTCACCTGAGGATATGTTTTTATTGATTTTAGAGAGAGAAAAACTTCAATATGAGAGAGAAACATCCATCAGCTGCCTCCTATACACACTCCAATCAGAGATCCAACCTGCAACCTTTCAATGTATTAGACGACACTCCAACCAACTGAGCCACCTGGCCAGGGCTATCCTCCATGTTTTTAAACTACTAGAGTATTATTTTCTTTTGTCTCTCTGGTGTATTCTGGATCAAGTCTTTATTACTACCTTTCAGCTCACTAATTTTCTCTTCAATAATATTCATATATATCCTCAATTTTTTTTGTTGTTTTAATGACCATATTTTTCAGTTTCCAAATTTCTAATTTGGTTTTAGTTCTTTTTTTTATATAATTTTGTATTCTCCTTAAATGAATATTATTCCTTTACTTGTATTTTTTTTTTTTTAGTTTTTATTTATTTTTTAATTTATTTATTTTTGTTACGGATGTTTCTCCTTTTTCCCTCACTCATCCCCCCCTTTCCCTCCCCACATTGTTCCTACCTTTGTTGTCCATGTTGATTGTTCATGCATACATGCATATGAGTTCTGTGGTTTATCTCTCCCGCACCATCCCCTTTTCTGGGGATTGTCAGTCTGTACCCCAACATCTCTGGGACTACCCCATTCCTCAGACTGTTATGTTCATTATATTCCACAAATAAGTGAGATCATGTGATATTTGTCTTTCTCTGCTTGGCTTGTTTCACTTAGGATAATACTTTCCAGGTCCCTCCATGTTGTCTCAAAGGATAAGAGATTTTTCTTTCTTACAGCTGCGTAGTACTCCATTGTGTATATGTACCACTGCTTTTTTATCCATTCATCTACTGATGGATATTTGGGCTGTTTCCAGATCTTAGCTATTGTAAATAGTGCTGCTACAAACATGGGGGTGTATATATTCTTTCTAATTGGTGTTTCAGGCTTCTTAGGGTATATTCCTAGAAGTGGGATCACTGGGTCAAATGGCAGTTCAATTTTTAATTTTTTGAGGTAACACCATATTGTTTTCCATAGTGGCTGCACCAGTCTGCATTCCTACCAGCAGTGTACTAGAGTCCCATTTTCTCCACACCCTCGCCAACACTTGTTTGATGATTTGTTGATGGTGGCCATTCTGACAGGTGTGAGGTGATACCTCATTGTTGTTTTAATTTGCATCTCTCTGATGATTAGTGATGTTGAGCATTTCTTCATATGTCTCTTGGCCATTTGTATGTCCTGTTTGGAGAGGTGTCTATTCAGCTCCTCTGCCCATTTTTCAATTGGGTTCTTTGTCTTCCTTTTGTTGAGTTGTATGAGCACTCTCTATATATTGGAAATTAACCCCTTATCTGATTTTTTTTATGTGATGAGGAATTTTGAGTTGTGTATTCATTTCCGGTGGTTTTATTGTTAAATTTCCATCTCTGTCTATCTTTGTCCACAATCCTCTCTGACTAGTCGTTTTGCTGCTGTTCCCACCTATCCCTTCACATCTCCAGAACGAGGCCTCATTATCTTTTCCTATTCCTCAGTGAAGTCAGTGCAACCAGGGCTATTGCAGATCTCCTCGTGAACCACGGGGTCTCTTGGCTCGATTCCTGATCTTGGGGCTGTTCTCTTTTGCCCCCTCTCTACCTGTAAATTTGTAGCTCTATGGCGGTTTTTTGTTCTGGGGTACCCTTTCAGAGCACCAGCCTCCGCCCTGGCTTCAAGCAGTGAAGGTGGCTCTGCTCTCCCTTTTCCCAGTCCGTGACACTTTCCGTTCCAGGTGCGCTGCCAGAGTCACCCTCCCACCTGCGTCCTGCCTCCTCCAGACCTGGAGCCCAGTAATCCTGCGGCTTCTTCCCTCCCTGTTTTCTCCTTCCATTTCTCTTCCTTAGAGATTTTTTAAATAAGTCCAGCCAATATTTTGGTTCTTTCTTTTTATATCTTTTTAAAATATGTTTTTATTGATTTTTTTTTTCTTTATTGATTTTAGAGAGAGGGGAAGGGAGAGGGAGAAAGAGAGAGAAACAGCGATGAGAGAGAACATCGACTGGCCGCCTCCTGCACGCCCCCCACTGGGGATTTGGCCCACAACCCAGCATGTGCCTTGACTGGGAATCGAACCGGGTCCTCTCAGTCCATGGGATGACGCTCAATCCACTGAGCCACACTGGCTGGGCTCTTTTTATATCTTATTTATAGTTCCTTCACATTTGGAGTCGAGAATGTGCTCAAAATATGACTTTACCAAACTATCTTGAGTGGAAGCGTAATGCAAACTTTTGAAAAGTAAAAATATTTGTCAAAATTCTTAAAAGAAATAAGCATTATATTTTGAAGACTAAAATAAAAAATAAAAATGAATTTTTAGATGAAGCAAAAAATTTTTTTAAAACTCTTAAAAGCTAAAGCAACCGTTTTTAATTTTAAAATCTCATACAACATAAATTAACCTTATCCTCAAAAACTTTTTATTCTAGCCCTGGCCAATTTGGTTCAGTGGTTAGAGCGTCTGCCTGCGGTCCAGAGGGACCCAGGTTCGGTTCCTCCTGGGGACACGTACCTCGGTTGCAGTTTGTCCCTGGCCCTGGTTGGTCGTGCGGGTGGCAGCCACTCAATGTGTCCCTTTCATGTCGATGTTTCTCTCTCTCTCCCTCCCACTCTATCTGAACAAAAAATGGAAAAATGTCCTCAGGTGAGGATTAAACCAAAAAAATTTTTATTCTAAAATGACAAAAGAATCATGTTATCAGTCATGTGAAAGCATCTTCACAGAGGTGTTGAGTAGTGGCAGAGTTGTTGCTATGTAGCTTGTTGCCAGGCAAACCACATCTTCATCCAGGGCACTTTCCGGTTGAAATCTCATGTCTTTCCTATTCTAATTTATCTTTTTAGACACCTGTTCTCCTCCCTGTTTGTGGAAAAGTTCACCCAGGATTATCTGTGGCTCTCAATTGCAACTCGACATCCCTGGAACCAGTTCACAAGAGTCCAGCGACTCACGAGCTGCATGACCCTTCTGCTCTGCAACATGGTCATCAACCTGATGTTCTGGAAGATTAACGGCCCCACTGCCAAGAGAGATGAGCAAGGTCTGGATGAGCCTGCTGTGTGTTGTTTGTGGCATGGGATCCTCTTCTTCTCCTGCCCTCCCCTAACTTTCAGGCTAGAAACTGACTCGGGATGCTCCTTCATCCTCCCTGTGCTGCCCTGACGTTAGAATCGTTAACACATTTTCTCCTGTTCTCACTCTAGTAAATGGAGCATACTGAGGAACATGCCAGGATCTTTACTGCCATGTTTTCTATCCTTAGATAATCGTAGTTACACTGCTAAGTAAATACTTAAATCTCGGAGAGGAATTACTTTCAGATGATTTCGGTTGCTGAGGAACAAGGTTGACGTAATGCTTTTCTTTCAGTGGGTCCGTTTGCTGTGACCTGGTCCGAACTGCTTATCAGCATCCAAACCGCCGTCATCCTTTTCCCAGTCAACCTTGTCATCGGGCAGCTCTTCCCATTGATTCAGCCACAGGAACCTCTGCCCCTCTTCCCTCCCATCCAGGCCTCCTGCCTCTCAGATGCTTCTTTTGCGCCTCTCTCTGTCTCAGAGGTAGTTGAGGTAAGCCTGGTATGAAATTGTACAGGTAAACTCCTTGCTTCCTTTCCCCATGTGGTGGCAAAGACCAACGAAAAGGATCTCCTGGAAGGCTCTCGGGTCTTATTAACCTTACCGGCCTTTCCCTCATTGCTGCCCCCTGAGTCGGGATCCACCGTGCCCCCACCCTTTCTCCTGACTAGGAGGGTTCTGGGGACTCTATGTGAGGACTCTGGAGTTGTTTTAGCTCCTGGTGTTTGGTCAGACTGTCCCTTCTTCTTTCATTCTACACTTATGAAACTCGTTTTGAAGCTACTGGGAAGTGACTTCTTTTTTAAAAAATAGAGACAAACAAAAAAGTGAGGTCCTTTACTAAGAATAAGCTCCTCTGAGTAAAAATGTTTGTGTTGCCACCTATCATTGCTACCATCCCGGGGTAATGGAAAACAGACTGACTTTCCTCATCTTGGCTCTGCCTTCAGGAACTGAAGGACACTGTGGGGTTTCTGCTCAGGAGGAGTGCATACCTCCTCTCAGCGCATGAAGAGTCGTCATGGAGTTCTTACAACATGAGGCAGTTGGTGCCGCTTTTCTCCAGCCTCGTCCGTGCTCACGTCGAGGGTCCAGGCTCTCACCAGCGGGCAGGACCCTGCGGGGCAAACGGCAAGTCCGGTCGGTTTCAGCACCTGCTCTGTCCTCTGCCACCCACTCCCTCGCGCGTCTCCTTACTCTACCTGTCAGCGTAAGCAACAGGCACGACGCAACCTTCTGCTTATTTTAATTTCCTTTAGCTTTTAATCGAGACCTGATGCTTTGATCCCTCTGATGGCTTTTGAGACATTGTATCTGGGGATACAAAGTCAAGGATTAAGGAAAAGCCCACAAACATGTTTTCTGTGTGAGACCCCCATATGTCACCTGCTTTGTTAGACTACTGAAACTCGTCCTTCTTTTCCTGCTCTGGAATGGTGACACTATGCAGTTTGTGGATTCTCGGATATGGTCTGGGTCTCCTCACACTTACCTAGTGCTGCCATTCTGGTGGAAAAGCTCAATCTAGTTTTTAAAGACTCTAGATCAAAGCGTAGAAGTATACGCGTTCTTAGAATTTACAGTGTGCTCAGAGAAGACAATAATATGGTGGGTGTTGGGTCCAGTCTCCATTGACTGGAAACTTTACCTCATCATCAATTAATGACTTGCTTATCTCTAACAGTTATTACTAGTTATTGAAATCCCCCATTTACTAATGAGTGTCAACCTGGAATATGTTTTCAGTGGCTCCTAAAAACCACCATCATCTCTGCTGCTACCTGCTCAGAGTTCTGCAGAGGCTGAGGTGTCACTTAAGCATGTCGAGTCCCACCCAGGCCGACCAGCCTTGTGACTTCCTAGATGCACCCAGCCAACTGCAAAAACTCCAGGAGTTCTTGGAAACATACATTCTTCTCACAGAACAAGGGCCACCCAGGTAATGCACCACACCTGGCTTTCTTCCTCCCCTGCACCCCTCGCTCAGCTGTTGGTTATGAGGTTATTACTTCAACTTCTGTTCTTAAGGGAGGCAACCAGTTTCCCCATCCTGAGCCCAGAAGAAGGGAGGAAGTCCACCGCAACTGGTCTCTCCCGATGGTTGGCTTATCTCTGCTGGCTCCTTCTGGGTGTCACTAGCCTGGCCACAGCCTTTTTCACAGCACTGTATAGCCTGGAACTGAGCAAAGACCAGGCCACCAGCTGGGTTATTTCAATGATTTTATCAGTGCTTCAGAATGTCTTCGTCATTCAGCCAGTAAAGGTATGTGAGAAGCGGGCCCCACCGGCCTGGGAGGAATCTTTACAGTCACAAGGGAAACTGAGTCCATGGGTGTGGATCCAAGGTGCCTAAAAGTTCTGACAATTTGACCGAAAAAGAGCCCTGGCTGGTTTGGCTCAGCGGTTAGAGTGTCGACCTGCAGTCCAGAGAGACCCGGGTTCGGTTCCCGCTAAGGGCACGTATCTCGGTTGCAGTTTGTCCCCGGCCCTGGTTGGGTCGTGCGGGTGGCAGCCACTCGATGTGTCCCTTTCACATCGATGTTTCTTCCTCTCTCTCCCTCCCACTCTATCTGAATAAAAAAATGAAAAAATGTCCTCGGGTAAGGAAATAAATAAATAAAACTGCTGGTGGAGACAGACCAAAAACTGACAGGAGCTCTGAAGGGGGTGTAGTTACAGCAGATCCTCGAGCAATGTTGTTTTGTTCAATGTAGTTTTGTCATAAATTGGGGGAAAAAATTGATTCACGTCTGGGAGTGTTGTCGTGGGAGTTTGTACATTCTCCCCACATGGGGGGGTTTCCAGGGACTCCCGTTTCCCTCACATCCCAGAGATGTGCACGTGAGGTGAACTGGCATGTCCACCATGTCCCGGTCTGAGTGAGGGAGTGTGTGCCCTGCAATGGAAGGGCTTCCTGTCCGGGGTGGGTCCCACCTTGTGCCCTGAGCTTCGGGGAGGGGCTTCGGCTACCTGGCCCTGAACCGGGAGAAGCAGGTTGGAAATGATTCTTGTTTTTACTAATCTTGTTTGGGATGTCTATAGAGCTCACATTTATTTCAATGTTTAATTCTAGAAGAATTTTGGGTCTTTGTTTAAAAGTTTGATGTTTTTGTGGCCAGAAATGTTTTGTGCGATAAGAACTTAACTCTGGTTTCTATCCATTGGTTTTTATGTCACCTTGCTTAAAGTCGCATTCCCAAGAATATAATCACGATGTTAAGTGAGGACTTACTATACTTATCAGATAAAGGCATTCAGGAAATGAAAAATGTGATTTAGAATTCTGAAGTTCAGAAGTTGAATTGATTGAAGGGGAAGATGTCATTATTGAGACCCAAATTAATGACCAGGAAGATCAAATAGACCAAAATAATACAAAACATACACTATATGTAAAAAGTATTGAAATCATAAAGAAATAGTCATAGACAATAGATCCAGGGTAATTAGCATATAGTCACAAGGAGTGATGATAATTAAACAACTGAAAATGTCTACTGTTGCAAAGAAATATTGAATTTATCTATTGAAAGGCTTTAACTACTTCCAGACATGATTAATTTAAAAAGACACACACTGGCCCAGCTGGTGTGGCTCAGTGGTTGAGCTTCGACGCATGCACCAAGAGGTTGCTGGTTCGAGTTCCGGTCAGGGCACATGCCCAGGTTGTGGGCCCGATCCCCAGTGGGGGGCATGCAGGAGGCGGCCAGTTGATGTTCTCTCTCATCCATGTTTCTGTCTCTCCTCTCTTCCTCTTTCTAAAATCAATAAAGAAAAAAATTTTAATAAATAAAAAGACACACACTGAAATGGAGGGATAGCAGTTCTGGGATGGGGCCCAAGGCTGCATTCCTGAAGAGTTCCCAGGTGATGCTGAGGCTTCTGGTCCATGAGGAGCATCATTCTGAATAACAGATCTAGTTTCTTCGAAAAGTCAGTATCATAAAAAATGTTAATGGGGAGGACTACGCAAGATCTTTGAATAAATGAGACTTTAAATATGGATAGGCTATTTTACTAGGAAGTTATTGATAATTTCCTGAAGTGTGACAATGGTGTAAGAATGTCCTGATTTGGGGGTGATACGTGCTTGAATACAGGCAGTCCTGGTTTTGCACTGTTTCAGTGTGCATGAATTTCAGCTGCCATGGTTTAAATAGTTTCCAGCAATACATGGCAAACCTCAGTTACTGTGGTATGTTAACTGAGCGACTGCATAAAGTGCAAACAGCTGCTAGCTCTTCAGTGGCGAATTCGGCTGGACCCATTCGGCTGCTACTTCCCCCCAGTCTAGTCCACCAGAGGGTGACATTAAGCCTGCAGAGCAGACACACCCAGAATTGCTGCCTCAAACCCATTAAAGTCCAAAGTAGATGCAGAAAGGACCTCCGCCCAGGCCCACTTTGCCCACCCCTGGGAAGCCCAGGCAGAGCAGAATGGACTCGCTTGCTGGCCCGCCCGCCCAGGAGAGAGGGAGGGGTCACCTGCACAGATTCTTCCCAGGGACTTAAGGTGGGAAAAGGGGGGCAATATTTTTACTATGTCCCCTATTCTCCTGAAGACTGGAGCACTTCCCTCCCCTCCACGGAAATCTAAGGAATGGGGAATGCGTAAGGTCATACTCAAGTCTAAGATTCCTTGACGACTTTAGCAAAACTGGGATTTAATCTTTGGAACTTTTAAAAGTGCGGCTTCTGCCCTGGCCGGTTTGGCTCAGCGGTTAGAGCGTCGGCCTGCGGTCCGGAGAGACCCGGGTTCGGTTCCCGCTAAGGGCACGTACCTCGGTTGCAGTTTGTCCCCGGCCCTGGTTGGTTGTGCGGGTGGCGACTACTCGATGTGTCCCTTTCACATCGATGTTTCTCTCTCTCTCCCTCCCACTCTACCTAAACAAAAAAATGGAAAAATGTCCTCGGGTGAGGATGATAAAAATAAATAAATAAATAAATAGATAGATAGATAGATAGATAGATAGATAAATAAATGTGCGGCTTCTCCAGTCTCGCTCATTACAGGCCTTCCAAAGACAGGTGTGACTGAGCAACTTAAATCATTTAGAGGTTAAGCTTTCCTAGCCAAGCAGATTAAGGACTTCAGGCAAAAGTACAAATATTAGTAGTATTAGGACACTTGGGACACTTCCAGGTCCTCATGATTATGCAAAAGCATGAAATTGCCTGGCCGGTGTGGCTCAGTGGTTAAGCGTCGACCCATGCACCAAGAGGTCACCAGTTCAATTCCCGGTCAGGGCACATGGCCAGGTAGTAGGCCCCATCCCTAATGGGCATGCAGAAGGCGGCCAATCGATGTTCTCTCTCATCAATGTTTCTGTCTGTCTCTCCTCTCCTTTCCTCTCTCTAAAATCAGTAAACAAAAAAGTTTTAAAAAATGATGAAATTATTTAATTCTCAGTTTTTCATAAACATGTTCAAACAACTTAATTGGAACTTATTAATAACTTATTTCATCAACATTTCTATCATGCCTCCCCGTCACCTCCTTGGGTCCTGCTCATCAGTTTCTCCCTCAACTTTCCTGTCTAGGTGACCGTCCTCTCGTTGTCGATGGCCCTGATCTTGAACAGGGTGCCCAGCCTTACCAGAGAGAAGGAACAGCAAACCAGGAGGATCCTGGCACTCTCGGGTAATTCAAGTAGTTCTAACTACTAACACCTAATTTGGTGAAGAGCAGATTGTATCAGAACAGTGGAATTACAGCACCTCACTGCCTCAGACACATTGATCCTTTGGAGGTTCTTGTTTAATCAACTCACTGCTCCTCCCGCTCTGGCCCAGGCCAGCCAGTGCACATGAAGAATCCTCCCCAGACAGTGTCACCCTCTCCCTCAGGGCGTCACACTCCTCAAGTTCCAGACCTCCTCCTCAGTCTCTTCCTCACTCCTGAGCCTCACGTGCTATTCCCAGCTGCTCCCCGCCTGCACCTGAATGCCTGCACCTGAATGCCTGCACCTGAATGCCTGCACCTGAATGCCTGCACCTGAATGCCTGCACCTGAATGCCTGCACCTGAATGCCTGCACCTGAATGCCTGCACCTGAATGCCTGCACCTGAATGCCTGCACCTGAATGCCTGCACCTGAATGCCTGCACGGGTTTCAAATTAAACATGCCCCAAACAGAAGTATGTGCCTGCCCCACAAATCCACTTCTTTACTGTATTTTCTCATTGCAATTAAGACTATCGCTGTTCTCACCTGACTGGTGTGGTTCAGTGGATTGAGCGTCCTCCTGTGCACCAAGAGGTCACTGGTTCGATTCCCAGTCAGGGCACATGGGTTCCAGTCTCCATCCCCAGTAGGGGGTGTGCAGGAGGCACCCGATCGATGTTTCCCTTTCATCAACGTTTCTATCATGCTTACTCCCCCCTCTCCCCTCTCCCTTCCTTTTATCTAAAAATCAGTAAAAACATATTTTTTAAAAAGAGCATCAGCATTCTCTAAAAATGTCAGAGTCATCCTGGATCCCCCTCTCATTGCTCACATTGTCACCAAGCCTGAGGGAGTCTGCCCTGTACCTGTCTGGATGTACTTGTACCACACGGATGAACCTCACAAACACAGTGGTAGGCAGGAAAGCAACTTGCAGGACAGTTAACACAGTATTTTAATCATGCAAAACAATGCTCATCTTGTTTAGAGGATTTTCTGTAATGAAGAAATGCATGGGAATGATAAACTCCAAACTTCAGGAGAGGGTGCACCTCTGCGGGGAGGACGTGATACCGCCACTGAGGCGCACGCTGGGTTGCTGGCAGTCTGATTTCTCAGGGCAGGCAGTGGACAGCTAGCTACTAAGGAGTAGGCCTCATTCCTTAGGAAACTAAAGACACTGATGAGCTAACTACACACTGCCCTTATAGTCCTCATTTCATTTCTCCATGCTCCTGAATTGTTGCTCCCTCTGCCTAAAATGACATTTGTTTCTTCGTCCTTGTCCACCTGAGGAGTTCTAGCTAATACTTCAAAACAAATATTAAGGTCACTTCCTCTGACTCCCAAGGGAGATCTAGTTTGTCATTCTTCTCCCCCAGCACTTGGCACATACATGCTGCCACATTTTATGTCCTATTCTAATTCATTCACGCTCCCTCCCCTCCCTCCTCTACCCTCCTTCACCTCCCCTCTCTTCCTCGCCTCCTCTCCTCTCCTCTCCCTGGACCCTAGAATAACCAAAATTTTACAAACACCAAAGGCGTGACACCACAGTTATATGTCAGTGGCCTGGGCTGATTCGTCAGTAACCCATTGAGGTTCTGATCTGAGGGAAAGAGTGGGCAGTTTTAGATGAGAGGGTCCTGAAGTAAAAACCAGGTGCCATTTGCAGCCCACATATGACTGAGGACCTGGGGCGAGACGAGACGAGGTTCGTGGAAGGGTTGCTGGTTTCTCAGGGCTTTGTATTTAAGAACTGACTCTAGGTGGTGATACGCTTGGTGGCTGGAAATGATTCGACTTATTGTGGTATATATGATCAATAACGTACTGTGTAATATCAAGCATGTTACTGTGATATGGATATTCATGTGATAAAGTTAAATGTATATCTGAAAACCAGTTATGTATTATGCAATATATATATTAGTGTACATGCCTATATGTGTAGGGTAAATAATGTACAAGCATACATAATACATATTATGTACTATATCATTCATGTATTATATATGTGGCATATAGCTTAATTCATGAAATACATACTAATAGGTGAATTTGTAAAATACTTCAATATTGGCATAATACATAAGATTAATTTCACTTCACTTGTGTAGGGTGTTTCAAGTAGTTTAAGTAGAATTTCAGCTTTGGGCTCTGATGTTGGAGCTTTCTTCCCCGAGTCTTTGGAAGATTTGTTACTCTCCTTCTCTGATCTACAAGACCAGGGTGGTAAATACACTGCAAAGACTCTTCATTTTTTAAAAAGATATGTTTTTATTGATTGTTTAGAGAGAAAAGGGAGAGAGAGAAACATCGATGTGAGAATACCGATAGGCTGCCTCCTGCACGCCCCCTACTGGGATCGTGCCAGCAACCAGGGCATGTGCCCTGGCCAGGAATTGAGCCAGCAGGACCTTCCGGTCCATGGATGACACACAATCCACTGAGCCACACGGGCCAGGCAAAGACTCTTCATTTTCAGAGGTTGTTTTCTATAATACTTGTGAAGGGCATTATTACAAGAATAAAGATAAAGTGTAGAATGGGTGCTGGTTGGCCAATGATGATAAGTGGGTGTTCAGCTGGCTGTCCCCCAATTCATGTCAGTGTTGCTAAGTCTGCTGCTAGTAGTCAGACTTGGCATTGGCTGGGGGGAGGGATGCTGTGCTTCGTTGTTTTGAGGTATGGAGAATTGGGATAATTGCTAGGATTAACATTGAGAGGGTTAGTGCTAGAACTGTCCTAGTTTGTTGGAATGGATCATAGGATTGCATAGGCTAACAGGAAATACCATACTTGACGTGTGAGGGAGTGTTTAGGGGGTTGGCTGGGGTGTAGTTATCTGGGTGTCCGAGAAGGTCAGGAGAAAAGAGGATTAATGTTAATACTGTTAAAATTAGGAGTAAACGGCCTAGGATACCTTTGATTGTGTAGTATGGGTGGAGTGGAATTCTGCCTGTTGGATGGGATTTCTGTTGGGTTGTTAGATCCTGTCTCATGAAGCAGTCGCCGTACAATGAGTAGAGCTGAGAGAGTAACTGGAAGGAGGAAGTGGAAGGCAAAGAGTCAGGTGAGGGCGGCTTTGTCAACTGAGAACGTCCTCAGATTTACTCGACAAGGCTGGTTTGAATGTAAGGGATTGCTGGAAGATTTGTAATGACTGCTGTCCCTCAGAAAGATATTGGACCTCATGCAGTACATAACCTTTAAATGTGAATGTGTAAGATTTATAATATAGACCTTGTCCCATGCATAGAAATAGGCAGATAAAAAACATGAGCGTGCCCTGGCCGGTGTGACTCAGTTGGAACCTTATCCCATGCACCAAAGGGTCATGGGTATGATCCCTGGTCGGGGTGGGTATGGGAGGCAACCGATCGATGTCTCTTTCTAAAATCAATTTTTAAAAAAATATATGAATGCTCTGTTTGCATGTTGATATCAGATAATTCTCAGCTGTAGTTTACACCCCGGCAGGTACAGTGATGAAAGAGAAAGCAGTGAGTGTCTGATGTGTGGTTTAGAGCCAGGGAAAGTCCTGTTAGGGTTTTCAGGGCTTGGCAGATTCCTGAAAGGGATGTGACGTTTGATCATTCACAGGTCAGTGAATGAGTCGATCATTTTAATTAGTGTGTGGGATTTTTGGATGTTGGTCCTTACTGTTTTTGTAGTTGAAAATACAGCAGTGATTGTTCATGTCATTGGTCATGGATAGATTCCATGTAAGAATAATGACATATTTTAAATATAATTTTTTTAATCCTCACTCGAGGATGTTTTTCTATTTATCATCAGATAGAGAGGGAGGGAGGGAGGGAGGGAGGGAGGGAGGGAGGGAGAGACACATCAATTGGTTGCCTCCCACATGACCCGACCAGGGCCAGGGACAAACTGCAACTGTGCCCTTGAGCGGAATCGAACCATGACTCATTGGTCCATGGGCTGACGCTCTAACTACTGAGCCAAGCTGGCCAGGGCGACATATTGTATTTTAAGTACTGTTTTTTTGTGATTAGTTTTGTAGGGTTTTCTTCAAAACCCTCACCAATTTATGGGGAATTTGAGTTGACTGCTAGTGGAGGGGTTGGTTGTGGGGCTGTGATGAATTTCGATAGGCCTTTTTTAGGCTTGACAATATTTTTAATGTATTTAGGGGGAATGTTGAGAGTCTTTGGTTATATAACAGCTGTGGCTACTGAACAATATCCAGAGTTGTGAGTTTGTAATAAAACTGTCCTGGGAGCATTTATCTCTGGTTTAACTACAATTAGATTATATTAATTTTATATGTACTGAAAAATGAGAAGGTGGAGGTTACATTTAAGTTTAATGGGCTAGGAGATTGGGCTATTTATGATATGGGGGATGCTAGATTTTTCAGCAGGGAAGCTAAGGGTACTGTTGCTTTATTAGTTATATACTTGCCCTGGCCAGTTTTGTTCAGTGGTTAGAGCATCAGCCCATGGACCAATGAGTCACAGGTTCAGTTCCGGTCAAGGGCATGTACCTCGGTTGTGGTTCAGCCCTGGTCGGGTCATGCAGAAGGCAACCAGTCGATGTGGCTTTATCACATGGATATTTCTCTCTGTCTCTCTCTCTCTCTCTCCTTTCCTCCCACTCTATCTGATGATAAACAGAAAAATATCCTCGAGGAAAGAGAACATCAATGGGCTGCCTCCTGCATGCCCCCTACTGGGGATCAGGCCCACAACCAGGGCATGTGCCCTGTCTGGGTATTGAACCAGCGACCTCTTGGTGCATGGGTCAACACTCAACCACTGAGCCACACCAGCTGGGCTAGAATTTTTTTTAAGAAGTCCTTCATGATAGTTGAAGAAGCTTCCTTAGTTTTTTTTTTTTTTTTCTTCAACATTTAACAAGAGGTCCTCGTAGTAGATTCTCCACAAATGTTGATGAATAACTGCTTAATGAAATCTAACATTTTTTGGCCTACATTTAAATTTTTACAGCAAAATGTTCATCATCGCCTGGTTCAAGAGATAAGGGGAACCCCATCTATGTAGCCCCAGCTATGAACAGTCCAGTTCAGCGCCCAGACAGAACCTTGCAAGAGAAGAAACTCTTGAAGCTGACAGGAGACATGCTGGGTATGGAGGGAAATGGTGGCATGTTGGTACGACAGCACTGTTCCCGGGAAGGATGGGGGAGCAAGAAGAAAATGGAAAATAGGAAGGGGCAAAGGCATTTTAAGGCAATCGTCTCGAAAACTTCTGGATTCCAGTAAACAAGGTGACATTATAAATAGAATGACTCCTAGAGTCTTGATCTAATTGTGTGCTTGAGTATGTCACTTTCTCTACCTACAGAATGCAATAACAAAACTTAATCTACATACTTCACAGGGGGGACAAAGAGACATGCTTTGAAAATGTCTATCCTGTAAGTGCACGGTAACTTCAGCACGGCTAACGTTGGAACTATTGGATGACCCAACAAAGACAAATTGTTTTTACCATGTCTTCCCCTCTTGTGAACACAGGGCAGGTGGGGGGGGGGGGGGGGGGGGTGGGGGAAGGTGGGGGGGGGCTGTTTAAAGAACTAAAATACAAAAATTGTGTGTGGGATTTTATGTAACTTAAGTAAAATTTCTAATTGGCGGCAGAATGATTCTGGGAAGGAATATATAGATATACATTATTACTAACAGCCAAATGTTTTGGCTTATGTTTACAATTTTAGGTTGAACCATATGAAATTGCCGATCTTCACTGTTTGGGCCTATAGACTCAGGGCAAATGAAGTTGTAGAGTCTTTCTAAGCTAAAAACTAAATTTCTTTTTTTTCCCTGATTCCACAATAGTACAAATCCTGTTCTTTGTCCTACTGATGACTACGGTGAACTCTACACAGAACTCAAGTAGATTTTACTTCCACCAGGCTCTCTGGAAGAGCTTTTCTCACCGTTTCTCGGAGATCAAACTTATGAACCATTTCTACCCCTGGGCCAGCCACACCCTTCTTCCTAACCTGTACGGGGATTACACAGGTAAGAACAGTCCTGGGCCCGGCCACGCAAAAGAACATAGGGGTACATAGGGGTGCAATTAGTTTTCCAAACACCCCACCATGACATGTTAGAACACTGGAGAAAGGTCAGCTGGCTTGGCTTTTTTTTTTTTAATTTTTGTTACAGATGTTTCTCCTTTTCCTTTTTCCCCCATTGACACCCTCGTCCCCAACACACACACACACCCCCCGCCCCATCCCCAGCTTTGTTGTCTATGTCCATTGGTCATACATACATGCATATAAGTTCTGTGGTTTATCTCTTCCCCCCAAACCCCCCTCCTTTGAGGCTTGTCAGTCTGTGCCCCATCTCTATGTCTCTGGGTCAATTTTGTTCATCAGTTTATTTAGTTCATTATATTCCACAAATAAGTGAGGTCATGTGATATTTATCTTTCTCTGCTTGGCTTGTTTCGCTTAGGATAATACTCTCCAGGTCCCTCCATGTCGTCTCAAAGGATAAGAGATCTTTCTTTCTAACAGCTGCATAGTACTCCATTGTGTATATGTACCACAGCTTTTTAATCCACTCATCTACTGATGGACACTGGGTTGTTTCCAGATCTTAGCAATTGTAATTGGTACTGCTATGAACATAGAGGTACATATATTCTTTCTGATTGGTGTTTCAGGTTTCTTAGGGTATATTCCTAGAAGTGGGATCACTGGGTCAAATGGAAGTTCAATTTTTAATTTTTTGAGGTAACACCATATTGTTTTCCATAGTGGCTGCACCAGTCTGCATTCCCACCAGCAGTGTACTAGAGTCCCCTTTTCTCCACACCCTCGCCAACACTTGTTGTTTGATGATTTGTTGATGGCGGCCATTCTGACAGATGTGAATTGATAGTTGTTTTAATTTGCATCTCTCTGATGATTAGTGATGTTGAGCGTTTCTTCATATGTCTGTTGGCCATTTGTATGTCCTGTTTGGAGAGGTGTCTATTCGGTTCCTCTGCCCATTTTTTCTTTTCTTTTCTTTTTTGTTTTGTTCAGATAGAGTGGGAGGAAGAGTGAGAGAAACATCTACGTGAGAGAGACACATCGAGTGGCTGCCACCCACACAACCCAACCAGGGCCGGGGACAAACTGCAACCAAGGTACATGCCCTTAGCGGGAACCGAACCCGGGTTTCTCTGGACCACAGGCCGACACTCTAACCACTGAGCCAAACTGGCCAGGGCTCCTCTGACCATTTTTTAATTGGGTTCTTTGTCTTCCTTTTGTTGAGTTGTATGAGCACTCTATATTTTGGAAATTAACCCCTTATCTGATGCATCCTTGGTGATTATGGTTTCCCATATAGTGAGATCCCTTTCCGTTTCGATGGTTGTTTCTTTTGCTGCACAGCTTTTTAGTTTGATGTAGTCCCACGTGTTCATTTTTCCCTTTGTTTCTCTTGCCTTAGGTGTTGTATCAGTGAAAATTCTGTTGCGTATGTCTCAAATTTTGTTGCCTGCATTTTCTTCTAGAATTCACGAGTTACAGTTAAGTCTTTTATCCATTTTGAGTTTATTCTCATGTATGGTGTAAGTTGGTGGTCTAGCTTCATTTTTTTGCATGTAGCTGTCCAGTTTTCCCGACACTATTTATTAAAGAGGCTGTCTTCACTCCATTGTATGCTCTTGCCTCCTTTGTCAAATATTAATTGAGCATATTGTCTTGGGTCAATTTCTGGGTTCTCTGTCAGCTGCCTTTTCAATGACTGCACTCCAGTGGGCACTCCATGGATTCCACTCTCTGGACCTCACCTAAGCAGGTTCAGTTTTCTGTCTCCTCAGTCAAGGATGATCAGGCCCATGAGGGCTAATTCCCACTGGTGAGTCTCACAAGAACCTGGTTGAGAATGAGAATGTATTCACTTACAGCATGAAAAGCAATGGGAGTGATCCCTGCACTGGCTGCCTCCTTGTGAAGGAGGGAACCATGCGTAGCTGAGAAGATGGTTCAGTGACACAGAGCCAGGAAAACGGTGTGACCAGAAAGAGTTCCACACCAGATGATATTTGACATACTGCCTCCTGTGCAGTCTTCCCACATCTATGACGTGTCTATGTAACTTTCTTGTGTGGTTATCCAGTTCAGATGCAGATGTATTGAACACCTAGTATGCTGGGAACTGTCCTCGAAGCTAATGATAAAAAGATGGATATAATATGGTCTGTAGCCCTGGCCAGTTTGGCTCCGCGGTTAGAGCGTCAGCCTGCGGACCTGAGTCCAGGGTTTGATTCCAGCCAAGGGCACGTACCTTGGTTGCGGTTCATCCCTGGCCATGGTTGGGGTCTTGTGGGTGACGACCAATAGATGTCTCCTTCTCCCCCTCCCACTCTGTCTAAAGATAAAGGTAAAAATATCAAGTGAGGATTAAAAAATATAATAATAATGATGATGATGTCTGTATCTTCAAACAACCTCACCATCAAGAGGAGTTGGTGTGCTTTGCCTTGGACAATGTTGGAGAAATGCTAAAACATTTCTTTCCTAAGGAATGCTTCTGGTTCAATAGTTTTCACCAGTTACCCACACTTTGTCATATTATTACTTTATATCTTGTTCAGTAAGCTGTATTCTGGAAGTTGTTGCATTCATTTACCTCAGGTTTGGTGACTTCCTATTGGAATTTGGAATATCTCCTAGGTTCCTGGAAAAAAAAAATCTAGAAGACATGTTCATTTCAGCAAACATTTATTCTTTTCTTAAAGGTGCACTAGGTGATTTAGGAGCATTTTTACAAATGGCAATTCCTATTCATTGCATGTTTTCTTTCTAGTTCAGTTTTAGGTGGCGACAGTTCTGGGTTCAGGGCACATTCTGTTTGCAGTCGGTAACTCTGTGCTGAATAAAATACTAACTAAAAAGTAAACTGAGCCATTAGTGACTAAGACTAGTGCCATCATGACAGGCATGGTTCTCTTCTTGGACTGCTTGGTTCTGCAGGACAGTATCATGGTCCAAAAGCACAGACTCAGAAGTGAGACTGCCCAGGAGCATATTCTTGCTCTCCACTTACTAGCAGTGTGCTCTTGGGTAAATTACTCAAACGTCTGCACCTTATCTTCCCCTCTAATACAATGGGGATAATCTTAGGATCTACCCTGTAAGACTGATATGAAGATTAAAAGCTTAGTATATCTATGTGTTTAGAACAGCTCATCAGCACAGTCTTCACTGGATATGTGCTAGCTATTATTATTAACTGGTGCAATTGGAGCTCTGGCTAACCTAAAACCAAAGTGTGCATGAGTTACCTGGACGTGCTGAGTAAAAGCAATAGCCATCTGCAGGCAGAGATAAACAGAACTAGGTAGTCAATCATGCGTGAAGCACAGTAAAAACTGACACTAACATGGTTATCTCCTCAGCTTCCAAAAATCTTTACTTTCAGAACTAATGTAACCCAGTCCTATTAGTCCAGTTGTTTTCAGGAATATTGAAGCCCAAGCCATTCACAGAAGATACTCTGTATCCTGTAAACACAGAACTTTCCTAAATAGCATATTCCAGTGTTTAATCATTCACTGGCAAGGATATTTTTCTTTGTAGGATTTAATTAAAATTTATCTTGCTGTAATTTAAGCTTTTTCTCTTTTGAATTTCTTCTGAGATGGAAAACTGATAAAAATCTTATCATAATTGTATATAGTTTTCATTTAGGAAATACAAAGTGAGACCATATTTGAAGGTTGTCACCTCTTCCCTTTATCTTCTGCAGAAATCCCAGTCCTTTAACTCTCCTTCTGTTCCTGGCAAACTTGTTTCTGCCAAATTCTCTAACATAATCTTTTTCTTTCATGTTAAAATATTTGTTAATGAAAACATGAACATGGAGAAAATTCATTGTACAACTGTGTATACTGTGAAACTCTCCTTTGCTGCATAATCCCCTTTTTCTATTCCCAAGAGGCAACTGCATTCTCAATTTATTACACATCCATTCAGAGGTAATCTATGCCATTTGCAAATATATTCGATAATAAATGGTAACATACTATAAACATTGTAATGCATTTTGCTTTTTTCCCTTAACAATTTACTTGGAAATTGTTCTATCATTTGTTATATAGTATTCTATTCATTTTCTTTACTTGCTATATAGTATTCCATTGCATAGTTGTACCATAATTTACAGGACCAAGTCCCTATTGATAGACATTTAGATTGTTTCCAATATTTGTTAACATTACCATTAATCATTTTACATATGTAATTTTACACATGTACAAATATATCTGTAAGATAAATACCTTGAAGAGATTTGCTAAAAATGTATGTACATTTTTGTTTGTTTGTTTGTTTTTTATCCTCACCCGAGGACATTTTTTCCATTTTTTGTTCAGACAGAATGGGAGGGAGAGAGAGGAAGAGAGAGAGAAACATCGATGTGAAAGGGACACATCGAGTGGCTGCCACCCGCACGACCCAACCAGAGCCGGGGACAAACTGCAACCGAGGTACGTGCCCTTAGCGGGAACCGAACCCGGGTCTCTCTGGACCGCAGGCCGACGCTCCAACCACTGAGCCAAACCGGCCAGGGCTGTATGTACATTTTTAATTTAGAAAGATATTGCCAAATTGTACTCCTTAATTATTGCACCAATTTAACACTCCCATGAGCAATGTATAAGAGTCTGCCCCCATCTCCAGCAATCCTGTGAAACGTGTTTTCAAACACATGTAGCTCTGAAATACAGGAGACTTTGGGACTGCACTCACCAGAGAATACAAATTGAAACTAAGAAACCATTTTTTTACCTCATATGGGCAAAACTTACCTCTGCCCTTGCCCTTCATTCCATCTTCCCCATGTTATATTTTTAAAACATAATTGTGTTTACTCCGTTGTTCAAAACCTCCCAATAGGTTCCCATCACATTTAAAATCTCAAACCCTTTCCAAAGCTTACAAGGGCCTGCCCAGCTGGCACCCCTACCTACATCTGTCACTTCATCTTCTACCCACTAACCCTCATTCACTCGGCTTCAGCCACCAAGCTTCTAATGAGCCACCTCCTCAAACTCTCTGACCACCCTTCCTAAAGGAACAGCACTGCTCCCTCCCCACAGAACACGCTCCATCCCTTCATCCTGATTTCTTCTTCATAGCACTATTGTTACTGGATATTGTCTGGTTATTGCCTCTTCCCCTCCTCAAATGTGAGCTCTCTGGACAGACTCTCATCCACTGCTGTGTTCCTGGCACCTAGAATAGGACCTGGTATATGTGAGCACTTAATACATGCTGACTGAAAGAGTGAAGGAATGTCATTCTATCATCTTTGCCCACCTTTCATTGGGCTGCTTGGTTTTGTTTGCTTGTTTTGATAGATAGGAATTTTTTATGTATTAAGATGTTATTTAGTTGTAGATACAGATTTAGAATTTTATATGGATAAAAACTAAGAACTTAAAAAATTAATTTAGGGAATCAACAATATCTTTATAATGTTCTCTTCCTATCTGGGAATATGGTATGCTTTTCTATTCTCACCCTCAGCAACATTCAGAATTGCTCCTCGGCCCTGGCCAGTTCGGCTCAGCGGTTAGTGTCGGCCTGCGGTCCAGAGAGACCCAGGTTTGGTTCCCGCTAAGGGCACGTACCTTGGTTGCAGTTTGTCCTCGCCCTGGTTGGGTCATGTGGGTGGCAACCACTTGATGTGTCCCTTTCATGTTGATCGCGTGCGTTCTCCCCCCCCCCCCACTCTATCTGAACAAAAAATGGAAAAATGTCCTTGGGTGAGGACAAAAAAAAAAATTGCTCTTTGTATAATTTGTGCACGCTTATTTTATCTTGTGTTGCTATTGTAAATGAGCTCTTTTATTTCTCTGTTCCATCTAAGTAAATATTGTTTGGACATATGAAGGACACTGATGTCTTGTTTTTTTTTATCCTCACCCGAGGATATATTTCCATTTTTTGTACAGATAGAGTGGGAGGGAGAGAGAGGAAGGGAGAGAGAGAGAGAAACATCGACGTGAAGGGACACATCGAGTGGCTGCCACCCGCACGACCAACCAGGGCCAGGGACAAACTGCAACCGAAGTACGTGCCCTTAGCGGGAACTGAACCCGGGTCTCTCCGGACCGCAGGCCGACGCTCTAACCGTTGAGCCAAACTGGCCAGGGCGACACTGATGTCTTTATATTTAGTACCCAGCCACCGTGATGAGTTCTTTTGTAAGTAATGTTTTTAGGTTCTCTTCCCCCACCGCAGCTTTATTGAAATATAATGGACAGAAATTGCATGTATTTAAGGTACAACATGATGTTTTGATATACGACTACATTGTGAAATGACTTCCACAGTCAAGCTAACACATCCAGCTCACAAAATTGTGTTTTGTTTTGTTTTTTGTTTGGTGGTACGTGTCCCTAGCAGGAACCGAACCCAAGGACTCTCTGGTCCGCAGGTCGACGCTCAATCACTGAGCCAAACTGGCCAGGGCTGTTTTGTTTTGTTTATGATGTGGTAAGTTATAGGGCCTGTTTCAAGATCTCCAGTCACTGTTTGATGAGCTTGCCTCCAGGGGCTTCTGGACCATGGCTGAGAGGGGCTGGCGCTGGGTCACAGCCACTTTATGGCCCACAGCCGGGACTGACATCTGCAGGCCTATTATCTGAGGTACAGGCAGGAGTGGCCCTTTCTGGGTCCCGTGGCATATGGTGCTGGTGGCAGGACCAAGGTCAGGGGCTAAGTCCACAGGAGGACAGAGCTGCTTCTAGATCTGCAGCCAGGCCTACAACTGGTGAGAGCCACGTGGGGGACCTGCCTTCTCCAAGTGAACCTTGTTGGTCTTGGGCTCCACTGCGGTTTTCAGTCACCAACCTAAACCCCAACACTCCCACAGGGGCACTTTGTGTGTGGACGCCTGCCGGGTTATTGTTGAGGAGAGGTACAAGCAGGGGCCTCATATTCCATCATCTTCATCTCCTGACATCTTTCAGTTGATTCTCATGATCTATCTAGACCATTACCTACACATCATATGTAGATCATTATATACAAATTATAATTTCATTTCTTTTTAAACTTCTCAATTCTTTTTTTAAAATCTGGTTGCATTAGCTGGAAATTCCAAAAACGTCTTTAAAAATAGTGGTGAAGTGCTGGCTGGTTTGGCTCAGCGGCTAGAGCGTGGGGGGCATGCAGGAGGCGGCCAATCGATGTTCTCTCTCATCAATGTTTCTCTCTCTCTCTCTCACTTCCTTTCTCAAATCAATAAAGAAAAAATTTTTTAAATAGTGGTGAAATGGCATTTTTTATGTTATGAACTTAATGAGGTAATTTTTACAACGGCTTCTTGTACTCTCTCATTAGGATTTATTACCGATGGGAATTCCTTTCTTTTGGGCAATGTTCTGCTTCGTCAGATTCGCATTCTGAAGCCATCTCACCAAGATCTGGAGGATACAGAGAACTACAGGGTGAACTGGAGGCCCCCTAAGACAAACAGCACTGAATCAGACAGCATTTGGCATTATCAGAATCAGGAAACACTGGGTGCCTACCCCATCCAAGGGGAATTTGCCACTTACTCAGGAGGAGGGTACACTGTCAGACTTGGAAGAAACTCCAGTACTGCAACCAGGTGAGCAGGCCTGAGCCCTAAACGAGACGACCAAGGTGTTTACTTATGTGAGTCTTAGGACAAGGGGGAATCGGGACCCCTGTGAGTAGTTTTGACAGCTACAAGAACATGTGTAGACACTTTTATTTTAGACTTTTAAGGAAATAATATCTTTTGGTTTAGAAATTCCTTGTTCAATCTCAACCTACAGGTATGTTTTAGTTCTCCAGTTTGCCAAATCTCATTCCTTTTCTCATCTGGAAAAACGTATCCGTTTCAATCCTAGCTGTAGTTGAACTCAGTAACTCTAGCCTGGGCAAACTGTACTCTTCAAATACAAGAGAAAACATTGCCCTTCATTAAGAAGCACAATCAATCCAAACTTCAAATGTCAAAAATAAATTGCCAGAGCCCAACCGGTGTGGCTCAGTGGTTGAGCAACGACCCATTCACCAAGAGGTCGCTGGTTCAATTCCCAGTCAGAGCACACGGAGTAACATTTAACACTTCAAAAACTAGTAGTTGATATAGCATATAAAATTCTGCCTCACACCTTAAGTGCCACTTATATTTTCCTGAACATTTAACCTGTGTGTGACTATTGTGAAAACTTTTATAGTCTTCTCAATTGATATTCATGTTATCACTAATGAAATTTGGGCATTAGTAATTATAAAATATTGCACAGGTAAACTAGATTCTCATTTCATATGAGTAATACTGGAAATGCCAGGGCCTTTTCCTCCTTTGCAGAGTTGGAGAAAGTAGCAGCCCTGTCCTCTGTCTTCCTAGAGTTCTGCAGCATCTTGAACAGAGCCACTGGCTAGACTGTCGCACCAAAAGCCTCTTTGTGGAATTTGTGGTCTTCAATGCTAATGTGAACCTGTTCTGTGTAGTGACCCTGATTTTGGAATCCAACAATGTGGGTACGAAGGCTCTTCTCTCTTCCCTCTGACCTGGTATCACAGAAGTCCCAATTTCTTATACCATTAAAGAAATGATGACATTTTAATTAAAATCATTACTCATAGTTTTATTGATTGATTGATTTATTTATCATCCTCACCCGAGGACATTTTTCCATTTTTTGTTTAGGTAGAGTGGGAGGGAGAGAGAGAAACATTGATGTGAAAGGGACACATCGAGTGGTCGCCACCCGCACAACCAACCAGGGCCAGGGACAAACTGCAACCGAGGTACGTGCCCTTAGCGGGAACCGAACCCGGGTCTCTCCGGACCACAGGCCGATGCTCTAACCGCTGAGCCAAACCGGCCAGGGCCATTACTCATAGTTTTAAAAAGTCAAATAGTTCAAGACAAAAACTAGCAGTCCTCATTCCTATGCCCCAGAAACTGCTTTCAGCTTTTTTAACTGGTTCTTTTGGAATTTAAAAATTAACATGCTTAGCTATTTCATGAATCTTCAGTTTTAGATTGTGAACTTGTCATCATTAAAAAGATATACTTTCTTATTCCCACACATATCTCTAGCATATACACATCTTTTCTCTTTCCTTATTTTCCCACTATGGCAGTATAATTTATGGTTAATATTGAGTATTCCTAATATTGTGATCATACATTTTTCAAAGATGAGCCACGTAATGTATTATAATTCAATTTCTTTTCATTCACAACTGTTTGTTTTCCCGTTTATCACTCTTTTTGGTTGGTTGGTTAGTTTTGCATGCATCTATTATTGGAGAGGAATTAAACTCTTCCTAGAAGTAAACATCTCATTTTGTTCAAAAGTATCACATAACCTATCATTTTTGTCTTTTTAATTTTTTTCCCCTTTATTGATATTTTAGAGAGGGAGGAAGTGAGAAAGAGAGATATAAACATGAATGAGAGAGAACATCGACTGGCCGCCTCCTGCATGTCCCCCACTAGGGATCGGGCCCACAACCTGGGCATGTTCCCTGACCGGGAATCAAACTGGCGACCTCTTGGTTCATGGGTTGACGCTCAACCACTGAGCCACACCAGCCGAACCATTTTGTCTTTTTCGTAGAGACACCCTCTCTAGGGCCCTCCAACCTTTTGGTACAGTCCAGATTTGTTATTCGATAGGCCTGCTCTAGAGCTCTTACCCTGGACTCCACTGCCACCCAAGGGATTATCTTTACCGCTCTCTTCTGTTGGGTCCCTTTTCTCTTAGATCCCATGTCTGTTCTTGGTTTACATTCTCATTTTGTTGTAGAACACCCTACAGTAACTTCCTGGAAGGGTGCAAAGGAAGTAAATTTTTTGAAGACTTACATGTCCAAAATTTATTTTTCTATCATCACAGTTGGTTGCTTATTTGACTGGATACAATTATTTTTCATAGGATTTTGAAAAGTCTAGTGCATTGCCTTCCAGCTTCCCATCCTGTGGTCAATCAGCATGATGCTCCCGCTCCCAAGTTTCTAGAATTGTCTCTTTATCCCCAGGGTTATGAAAGGACCTGACTAACCTCATAGTAAGTCCTTTACTCTGAAAACATATCCCCGAGATCATCTTTTTTTTTTTTTTGCATTTCTTTGTAAACTTCTCCATTTTCTCTTTTTCTAATATTCCTAGAATTTTGAGGAACTCACTCCTGTACGGATCCTCTGGTTTTCACTTTTATTTTCTGTCTTTCCTTCTGATTTCTGAGAAATCAATTTCTAAATCATTTTAAATGTTCATTTTTATGTTTTAATGTCCAAGAACTGTTTTTTCACTTTTATTTTTCAGTCTCCTGCTGTTCTTTTTTTAGAATCAATATCCTCTCAACTCTGAGGATACTACAGGTTCATTTTGTTTTCATCAGCTCCTTCACTTTCTCTAATTTCTCTGACCTTTTTATTTTCTTTTGATCTCTAGTTTTCAATGTTAGAGGTTTAAGTATCTGGCTGTTCTTTCATAATTAAGATAGAGACAGTTAAAAAAAATAATAAATAAATGCTAGTTAGAAGCTCTGTATGCATGGATAGAGCTTGTCAACTGGTATCTGTCTTTACTCTTGGGCAATCAGTTTTCACAGAGGGACCTTCCAAACGCCTGCCTTGAGCATATAAACCTGTTAGAAGTTGAGGGAAGGGGACTAAGGGTCTCACCATGCAGCATGTACACTTTCTCTTAATTCCCTTTCCAGTATACTTATAGATGTACCTCGTGTGTCTGAGTTCAGATTCTCTGTAGTTCAACATCACTAGGAAATAAACCTTTAGGCTTAGGGTACTGGAAGGCAGGATGGGTGGTAAATAGCTGGTTGTGACAAAGAGGAAATCTGGGATCTAACTGCTTCCGTTCAGACTTGCAATCAGTTCTATTTTCAGTTCCACTTGACCCTCTACCTTCAGAGGCACCTGATGCCTGTAATTTCCCAGCCTTTGCAGGGTTTTGTGGTAGGAATTGGCTTGCTTCTGGGTTTCCTGCACTGCTTAGGTTTCAGCTTTCTTGAATCTGCTGAGTCAGCATCATTCATCTATTTTCCAGCTTCCAACAGTTTGTCACTCTCATTTGCCCTCCTCTTCCTGTGCCATGTTTTATCCCTTTGCTGTCATTGTAGAGGCACTTTGTAAGGGACTGGAGGGAAACTGGTACATTGCATTCCCCTACCTTTAACAGGAGGTCTGTTCTAATCCCCTTTCTCTTCTCAGCTTTCTTCTCTCCCCCAAGAGTTTGTCTACACGTGTCTTTCCATTTACCACCAGGTCTTCTAATCAGGAATTTTTTTCTTCCCAGACCCACACAGAGTATACCACTTCTCTTATACTTACTTCTAAATGAAGCATGAGGGCTTCCTGAGGGTCTTCATGGGGTTTTTATTGTTACTACCTACCAAAAAAAATAGAAGTACAATAAACAAAGGGAAGTCCCAATCTTGAAAGCTAACTATGTGAAGTAGGAATTTTTGTCCTTAAATGTACTTTCTACTACAAGGGGTGCATCTTAGTTCTGTTATCTTGGGGCTTTATGAAAAGTTATATTCACAAGATCTTTCATGCTTTTGTAAAACTTCAACAATCTCACAGTCTTTCTAGGTGGAGTCTAAAGCTTTTTAAGTCTATCCTCATACAAACATCTGAGTATTCATGGGGTAATATTAATGCTTTACACACAGAAAATATGAAATGGTTCAAAGCATTTTCATTATACTAGTTTCTGAAAATGTATTTTAAATAGATTTATTTTTATTTTTTTAATACTTTTTTTTTATTGATTCTAGAGAGAGAGAACATAGATTGACTGCTTCCTGCACGCCCACAACCTGGACATGTGCCCTGACCGGGACTCGAACCAGTGACCTCTTGGTGCATGGGTCGACACTCAACCACTGAGCCACACCGGCCAGACTATTTTAAATAGCTTTAAACAAAAGTGCCACGCTTATATTTAACTCCACTATCCCTGTTTTACATAGCAGTCATCAGTTCTCTTTAAAACATCATGTTGCAACAGTACATCTATATCTCTGCAACTATTCTAACTTGGTAAGGGTAACACTTATAACAGCTGTTAAATCACTGACACTGCCCTCTTGGTGGGATCAACAGTATAATCTTCTCCCTCTACTGACTTTTAATGCAATCAGCACATTTCCCCAATAGCTTTGCACACATGATCTCATTTTATATTCATGACACCTCTAAAGGAAATACTGAGCTTAGAAACTCAAGAACATTTGAAATTGCAGACCTCAGAGAAGAGGGGCAGGGGGTGGGTGGGATGGATGAGATAAACCAAAGAACTTATATGCATGTACACATAACCAATTGACACAGACAACAATACTGGGGGATGAGGGGTAGGGTGGGGAGGAGGATGTCTATGGGGGGAAAAACATCTGTAACAAATAAATTAATAAAAATTGAAAAGAAAAACCATTTGAAACTGATCTAAGAACAGTTGGGGTTATTTCAAAGACAGAGTTTGAAGGGGAAAGAACAAAAGTTCTAAAGACTTGACTCCAAATGTTGTTCTCAGGTGCTTTCTTCACCTCTGTAAGACTGGACACTTTAACGTCCCTTCAGACATCAAAGAAGGACTTTGCCTGGTCTATTGTCTCACAAGTCCTCTATTATTTATTAGTCTGTTACTATGGCTTCATACAGGTGAGTTGAAAATGTTAGATCTAAGAGATTCTCAAGCTATTATTTGGGGAGCTCCACAATGAGCTATTGCTTGAATTATGGCTATGATTTTGGTCCTTTCCAGAAACTTGACTTCAGTTAAAGGCTGACTGGTTTTCCACAAAGTAGCTCTTTCAATTTTCAAGACTTAAAGAATTAAGTCTGCAGAAAGAATATTATTTTTTGTACAGTTGTATCAAAACTACATAAAGCATTAGCAAGAGAAAGTATGAACACAGCCAAGTACTCAACAATACAGATGATTGTACCCAAAAGATATAGCTTTAGCCAAACACAATATTCTTTATTTTCAGACTTAATTTTAAAAATTTCTAAATTAGTTATAAAGTTTAAGCGACAAGAAAAATGACTGTACTCAAGTGAAAGCTGTATTAGAGAAGGCCAATTTTTCCGTAAGCAGCAGCTCTTAGCAACTACAGAGCAGAACTGAGACCATAATCCAATGTGTCCAGGTTAGATCTGACAAGTCCCAGCCAAGTGCTTTGCCAGTGTTCATAACACATCACTGGGAAGAGACGTAGCTAATCTTTCAGGCAAGCAGTAATGGCTGTGGTGTCTGTTCAGGGTCGCCGGCTGAAACAGCAGAGATGGAGGTTCTTGACAAGGAAAAAAAACATTCTGAACATAAGCCTAATCCTTACTAGCTTTGTCATGTTGGTGCTTTACATGAAGCTTATTTCTCTACATAAGAAGAACATGGCACAATACCACAATGACCATGACAGGTAAGAGGGAGCCTGAACACAATTATCTTCCTTGATGACCCGAGTTTCCTGATTACACACAAGTATTCTTTCAACCCCGCCCCCCCCCCCCCAACTGCTCTACCAAATCTGTATTTTTGTATAATACCAAAGTTAAACATAGAACTCGGACTAATGTCTACAGCAGAGAAAACAATGAACTAGAAACTTACACTGCTAAACATGTTGAAAAGCTTTTCTGCCTTTCACATCACAGGGGCCTGGATTGGTCATTATTTTGCACCCTGGCCAAAGAATAAAACCTAAGATATGACAAATGATCATGCTATAAATAAAACCACAACACACAGTACATACTTGAAATCCAAAGCGGTTGCTTTCTGGGTAGGGATGTTCATCCATACCAAGACATTTTGGTACCCCTGTGGGCTCCTTCTCTGGTCTTTCTCACCAGGAAGAGCATCTATGTCCCAGATCAAGTATTAGCCATGTTGTGCTTTTCTAACCTTTCAGTGCTTAACAGCCTGGGCCACTGATCTGTGTAAGACTGAGGCACTGTCCCAGGAAGGCCTTACAGAGGATTGTTTATGCAGGGACAGTGGGCCTGTGCAGTTTGAATGATGTTGGCAGCTGAGGTCCAGCCTGTTGTGTGGCATTGCCTAGGTCTTGTGATGGAGTACCAACATGGTCATATCTATGGGGGGGTCTTTCCAGTAACCTAATTGCTACAATATAAAACTACACGCATCTGTCAAATAACAAAACCTTAAAATTTTAAACGACTCAGTGTGACTCAGTGGTTGAGTGTCGACCCATGCACCAAGAGGTCACCAGTTCAATTCCTGGTCAGGGCACATGCCCAGGTTGTGGGCCTGATCCCCAGTGGGGGGCATGCAGGAGGCGGCCAATGTTCTCTTGTCAACTATTCTCTTTCTCCCTCTCCCTTCCTCTCTCTCTAAAATCAAAAAAGGAAAAAAAATTTTTTTTAAATAAAAAAACAACTCCCTAATTGGTAATTAAAATCCTTCACTTCTAGTTTAATCATCTTTCTGTTCTCAGCCCTGTTAAACTTATCAGGATCAATTCTCTGCCGTCAGAGGACAATATAGGATTAGCACATTACAGAAAACAGACTAGCCTAATAACACGCGTCTTTGTTAATTCATCTCCTTTTGAAAGGCAAGATTTAACTCAGAGCAGTAGAGAAGGCTTCCCTTGATTTCCAGGATGAACCTAGAGAAATCAGAGACCACATTTCAAGTTTTCTTCACCACTCCCAACCAAATACACGTTTCTTTTGCCAGCGCTCTCATATCCACAAATACAGGCCACACTGGAAAGCAGAGGTCTTACATCAAGCATTTCACCTAATAGAACTCACACAACTGCTGCACTTTGGCAGCCGGGAACAGAGAAAACGACATCACGGGAATTAGTGATGGCATAGTCTCCATGCTGAGTAACTGTCAACCTTCCTGGTGCAGGTTCATCAACTTCTATGAGGCAGTAAAAGTGAACTCAGCTGTCATTCACCTCATGAGCTTCCTGGTTCTCTTGGCAACTGTCCAGCTATGGACCCTGCTGCATCATCACCCCCGGCTGCAGGTCATCGGAAGAACTCTCACCAAAGCCTGGGATGAGGTGGTGGGCTTCCTGCTGGTCATCTTGATCCTGCTGACAGGCTATGCCATTGCTGTGAGCCCCCATTCAGTGTCTGTCTTTCCTAAGTGCTATGGTCTTGGAATCACAGTGCTCCCCTTAGGAAAGATCACTATGTGGAAAATCATCAGTTTAAGTTGGCAATGAGTTTTAAAGAAAAGGCAGTGGAGTAAGAAAGTTGGTTTTAGTTGTAGATCCATACTTAATTAGCAGTTTGACTTAAATTTATACATTTGTCTCATCTCTAAAACAGGGATAAGATTTAGCTCACAGGAATGTGCAAGTCAAATTTATATGAAAACCCTATGTAATTACAAAGGAGTTTTATGTATTGTTCTAGGCATTGTAACTGAAATTTCAGGCCACTAAGGAATTTAATTTTCAACACATTCGTTCTACATTGACCTCATCAGTATCGAGTACCCCAAGACAGAAATAACTCCAATAGCCTCCATTGCTCTCCACCCCCTCTGACTGGTCTTTCTCCCTCTTTTCAGTTTAACCTGCTATTTGGATGGAGCATCTACGACTACCGAACTTTCTTCAGCTCAGCAGTGACTTTTGTTGGTTGCCTGATGGGAATCTCTCATTACAAGGAGGTGTAAAACCCCATCCTGTTTTCCCTACAGAACTCTACTTGGTTTAAAATACAATGTGGGGCAAAAGTAGGTTTACAGTTGTCAGTACACAGAAGTTTGTTCTTACATTACTTATTAGTCATTGTATTATTTTTCCATATGAACAACTGTAAACCTTTTGCCAACCCCTGTATTTTCTGGAATTGCCAAAACTCACATGGACTTTGAATTATTTTAATTTTGCAACCCACCTGGTTTTCTTGTGAAAGCCCTAAAGGCACAATTATTTTACACCCTTAGAATCAGTCATGCTTGCTCTCCTGTCTACTCAAAAGTTTTTTTTTTTTTAATCCTCACCCGAGGATATTTTGCTATTCATCTTTCAGATAGAGTGGGGGAGAGAGGGAAAGAGAGAAACATCAATGTGAGACGGACACATCAACCGGTTGCCTCCTGCACGACCCCGACCAGGGCTGGGGACAAACCACAACTGAGATACGAGCCCTTGACCCGAATCAAACCCACAAGTCATTGGTCCACAGGCTAACACTCTAACCACCGAGCAAAGCCAGCCGGGGCATTTTCTCCCTAGTTTCCACCAGACAGTGTGTTTTCTTCTGTGAATATATCCCAAACATTGGCACATAACTTACATTTTTAAAGTAGAAATGAAACTATCAGTGTTTAAACTCAAAGTGTTTTTATTGTCCTTTCAGATTATTGCTTTAGACCCAGTCCTGGGCTCCTTTCTGATCCTCACCAGTGTCATCTTGATGGTACTTGTGATCATTAACCTTTTTGTTTCTGCCATTTTAATGTCCTTTGGTAAAGAAAGAAAGTCCCCCAAGGTATGTAACTCTGTGACTTGTTAATTTATATATAGGTTTCCCCCACTATCCAAAAGTAGAGTGCATTCCTATGAAACCTTTCAAAAGCCGAAATGGTATATAAAGTAAAGAAGCAATTACCATGAACTTACATGGGAAAAACTTTTAAGCTTTCCCAGTCCCCCAAAATAACCTACCAATACATCAAACCTAAAATAGCACTAACATAGTAAAAGCAGAAATGATATAACATACAGAGTATGTAAAACACAAAGAATGTGTAGTGTTATTTCATAGTGTACCCTGCCTCTATAACAGCTCACTGCAAACACTAGACGCTATCTTCACTTTTTTTTTTTTTTTTTAATCAAAAATATTTTTATTGGTTTATAGAGAGGAAAGGAGAGAGAGAAAGATCAGTGTGAGAATAACATCGATTGGCTGCCTCCTACACACCTCCAATGGGGGATTGAGCCCACAACCTAGGCATGTGCTAACTGGGAATCGAACCAAAACCTTTTTGGTGCACGGGATGATGCCCAACCAATTAAGCCACACCAGCCAGGGCTTGCCTTTTTCACAAAAGCAGAAGTCCTCTTCAGTTTTCTTTTGGTTAGTGAAAACAGGTACTAAAATAGATTTTTCCCTAAAATTAAAGTGGCATAAAGGGAAATACCTGTATATCATTTTATACCACTAGAAAAGCTCAACTGTAGCTAAGATTATAGACGGACATAATGCACAGTATCAGCATTCTCCCTTTATTAGTCTCCACAGCTCTGCCAACTATTTTCCTAAGAAACCCAATTTACCCAGACTACATTGTGTTCTAGCCACAGTCCTATAAATAGCTGACCCTCAGCTATTAAGCAGCAGAAACACTCCAATGCCTAATAACAAATCATTGAAGGAAACAGTATCTTTACTATGTTATTTACTTTTTTTAACCTTTGATACTTTCTTCCTTCAACATTTGCAACAATTTCAATTTATTTTTCTCCTTTTCTCTTTCAATAGGCTTGGAAAGAAGCTGCACTGATAGACATGCTGCTGCAGAAGCTCTCAAGTTTGTTAGGAATCCAGAACACACCTGAGTCAACAGCTGTGACAGCAATGGGCACTGACATGTTAAAAGATGAACTGTCTTAACCCTGTTACTGCCTAGCAAATACTTATTTTTGCATGATGCACCTTAGAAAATTATAGATGTTTACAATGCATTTTGTTAATTTTATCAGTGAGGAATCAAAATCCCCTTCACTAAAAGTCCTTGTTTATGGATCTTGGCACTATTGGGAAAGGGTTAATGCTGCAAGAGTGACATATTAAACTGGCTCTGCTGCCAAACAGCGAGTAACAGAACACACAACCCACGTTCCGGGATGGCTGTAAGAAATACCAATAACTTGGATGTGAACTCACTGCAGCTTATTAAAAATAAAGATACAAGCATGCAATATGGCTAACGGGGAGCATTTCTAACACTGCGCTCCTTGCCCTAATTAGGCCCTGGAAGCCGCCAAAAGGCCCAGGTGGAGTAACCAAGCAAACTCGCAGCTGCTATCTGAGCTTAAATACAGAGGCTGAAATGGGCTCCTTACTGCTGCAGCATCCACATTACCCACAGAGCCAAAGGCAAGCTCTGGCATGTGCCCAGCATGGGTCACTTGCTTCAAGTATTCTCCACTAAGATCCAGATTTGCAGCTCATCATTTGACCAAGCCAGTGGAGAAAGCAGGGCACAGAATTTTTAACTTTATTTATCAACTACTGTGCTATAAGATACAGCCCAATCAAAAATACATTAAATAATTAAAGAAAAGTTGCTTGAAACAGGTATATACAGATACACTACACAAAAGCCAAAGTCTTATTTTCTGATCCCAAAGCCATCACTGTGGGAAAGGATGGCCTTAGCTAAGGGGCAAAGGAGCATGTTAGTTACAACGGTAACAAGAGTCTCGTTCATCAAGGAAAACAACGAACTATAACCACATGGGCACCAAAATGAATGAGATCAGTTTTTACAGGTTCTCTTAATCATAGTTTTCAAATGAAAACAGGAACCCCTCTCTTCTCCTGTAGGCTTTCCAGCTCACTATTCAAGAGACCTGAATACTTACTATTAAGGCAACTGGAAGCCCACCTTAGCCTTGAATGGTAACTTCTGCCCAATATGTGGCCTGTCCTTCCTTTGTCAGTAATGCAATCCAAAAGAACATGCTATGGGACAAACAGGAGTAAATACAGTGCTGCCCTATGGTAAAAGGGAAACACAGCACTCAAAGCAAAAGGCCACAGAAGGCTGGCTCCCTGAAAATCCAGTAGAACTGAGCAACTTTCCAAATAAACTTTGCAACTGGATCCAGGTGGAACATTGCCCTGCAGCAAGGAGTAGTGTATATGCCAACGAGAGGACCGAGCTTCCAAGAACTTTAACAGTGGCTTCCTGAGTCATTTTCTCTCCCGTCCATTAGAGAAATACACGTCTTAGCCTTGAGCCTCACTCTAAGTTCAGAGCCTCAGCACAGGGCTGAGGCACTTCATGAAGTACTCTCTTCACAGCCTAGCCATCTCTGTCAGCTCTCCCCCCACAATGCTTTTACCTTCTCACTCCCCTGTAGCGAGATGGTGGGACAGGTGAGGAGAGAACCTGGGCTCACACTGACAGGAAACAGACAAGCACGGCTTACAGGAATCAGCTGCTGTGGCCGCAGTGTCTCCAGTCATTCATCTCTTAGGAGCAATAAAGAACTGGAAAGCACCACAGTTTGGTAGAGCAGGAAGAGAGCCCAGAGGAAGTATGTGCTCGGTGATGGTTAAGAGATGAAACAGAATTTCATAGAGATTCTTTGTTACAAGGAGAAACTTCCAGAACTTGGACGTTGCCTAGTTTAAGAGGCCTATGTTTTCTTTTTCAACTCTTCAAATCTCCGTGAAAGATCATCAAAGTCAATGTCCTCAGATGCTGAAGTGTTGGCACCGGCAGATGCAGTTGGTAGTGTATCTGGCACAGATGGCAACTCTGGCAGTACAAAGTTGTCATAGGTATCCATAGGTCTGGAAGGGGGCTTTGCAGAGGCTTCTGGCTTGGGTCCAGGACCTAATTAAATCAAGGCAAGGAGCACTGTGTTACAAATGCCAGAGAAATGGCAAAGATCCTCAGAGCCCAGTCTTCTTTGGCAGAAACACCAACACAATCAAGATACAGTAGAAAACACTAGTTTTCTTTTTAAATGGTTAGTATTAAATTATAAAGGTAAGCACACAGAATATTCATTTAAACAAACTATCCTCTTTCACAAAGGCCTGCTACCATAACAACCAAGTCTGGAGTGGTACCAGAATTCTACTGGGATGAAGCTACTCTTTAAGACGGGGGGGGGGGGGGCATTTTTATAAGAAATGTTAATGTCGATCTTATTTGATATACTAGGATCTGATCTACATTTCTAGTTTTCCTATTTTACAAGTTAAAAATCATCCTCCCTCTCTACTCTATGTTTCTATTTATTTCTAAGTTCTGGAACAGGCTATACCTAAACTATAGTTTTAAAAATAAGGACAGTGCTTGCCTCTGGGATGGAACTGACTAAAAAGGAACAAAAGGGAACTTTTCTGGGGTGATAGAAATGTTCTATAAATTCACTGAGGTGGTTGTTACATATTACGTGTGTGTATATAGACACACATGTAGCATCAAAACACAGACTTCTAAATATAGATTATGTATATATAATTTGGTATAAATTATACAAAAACACAATTCTCTAATTTTTTTAAATCCTTACCCAAGGATATTTTTCCATTGATTTTCAGATACAGTGGGAGGGAGAAAGAGACACATTGATTGCTTGCCTCCCATATGACCCCAACCAGGGGTAGGGATCTAACCTGCGACTCTTAGGTCTGAAGATGAATGCTCTAACCATTGAGAAAACCAGCCAGGGCTACAATTCTCTAATTTAAAAAATATATATCCCCTCTGGATTCTAAGGTGTTGGACAGCTACAGGAGCATGCCTGCTTTATGAAAAGTCACTGAGCTACTCATAATTTGTACCTATTTATCCCTCCTTTTTAAAATTTCTAGGCACAATGGAAGCTGAGTCAGCAGAAACATAAAGGACTTGAGGGTAACTGAAAAAATAAAATGTGAAAGAAAACAGGAAGCCCTGGCCGGTTTGGCTCAGCGGTTAGGGCATCGTCCTGCAGTCCAGAGAGACCCGAGTTCAGTTCCCGCTAAGGGCACGTACCTCGGTTGCAGTTTGTCCCCAGCCCTGGTTGGGTCGTGTGGGTGGCAACCACTCGATGTGTCCCTTTCACGTCGATGTTTCTCTCTCTCTCCCTCCCTCCCTCCGACTCTATCTGAACAAAATATGGAAAAATGTCCTCGGGTGAGGATTAAAAACAATTTTTTTTAAAAGAAAAAAAAAAAGAAAACAGGGAACTTGGGAGATTCTTTGGGTCTAGGGAAGAGTTTGGGTCTGGAAGAGGAAAATCCTAAATTCTGTTTTTGCCATACTGCATTTGGAGGGAGGACAGGGCGTGTGGGTTGAATGCCATGGACAGGAAAACCATCTATGAGGGCAGAACAGTAATGAGTAAACAACAAAGGGTTCAGCTCTGAGGGTTTCTAACTCTCACTCACCAACAATCTGTGCAGAAGAGATATTCTTATCAGCATTACTGTCATCACCCTGAAACACAAAAATTGTTACCAAAGAAAGCAATGGCATCACTAGAGAAAGTACAGATACAGTAAAATAAACCCCTGTGATTTCCAAAAGCTAAGCTGCTCAGCGTTACCAGAACCTGCCTCTCCACTCCTTCCTGATCTTCCAAATAGATACCATGTTGAATTTTTTCTTTTAATCCTCACCCAAGGATATTTTTCCATTTACCTTCAGATAGAGTGCATGGGAGAGAGGAACATCAATGTGAGAAAGACACATTGACTGGCTGCCTCCCACACGACCTCAACCCTAACCAGGGCCAGGGACTGAACTGCAACCAAGGTATGTGCCCTTGACCGGAATCGAACTTGCAACTTTGGTCCTTAGGCCGACGATCTAACTACTGAACCAAACCGGCAAGGGCCCATGTTGAACTCTTAACCACCAAGCAGGGAAAAAGGAAAATCTAACCACACACCATAACACCTCTTTAATCTGATACCACCTTCCAGACAGAGAGAAAGCACTAATCCACTGACTTCATCTCCAAGAACCAAGTCCTCAAATACTGATGAAGATCATCTACCTCATTCTTAGAAACAGTTGTGGGCAGTGCTGAAGCATGCAAGACTGAAACATAGGAAAAACTCAAGCCCAAAGTAATAACCAAAGGAAAGAATACAAAGCAAGCTCAGGAACAGGAGCACCCTACATGAGTAATTTCCACAGTAAACATGGCTGGTAGAAAACAAGTCATCTAATTCTAAATCCAAAGCTGCTACAACCCCCTACAGTTCAAAGCATCGTTACCAAAATAGCCAATTATAGCAAGTTTTAACTATAAGACTAAAATGTAAAACTAATGTTACAGGCTGAAATTTACTAACTGGATACTTTCTTATATTTATCTGGTCACTATTGCTTTACACAGTATTGAGAATTTATAAAACTGGTAGTTTAATTATTATGGTATTCTAGCACCAAGACTGTACCAGCTCCAAGTAATTCTCTACATAGTCCAAAAAAACCCACTAGCTAAAAGTACCCTACTAGAACTTTCTAAGATCTGCAGCTCCCTCCTGATTCCTGGCTGAATTGCAGACAAAGCATTGCCACCAATGATGCTGCCACCACCATCATCACACCCCATTTCTAGGGTAATGTTAAAGCAACACAAGAATCCAAAGCAAGAGCAATGCTGGTACTAAGAGTTAATAAAAATTTTGCCTTCCCTTTGGCCATTATTTTGCTCTCTTCATGGGATTCACTCTCCTGCTGCTTATAAAAGAGGTGCAGGCACTTACAGATTCATATGATGGGGGAACTGCTGGTATCTGAGGTGGATGAATATTGGGAAAGGCCTGATAAGGCCCCATTGGCAATCCATTGAAATCCGACTGCAAGAGAAAGGCAACATCAGAGATACTGCCCCCAATTAACAGTTTTCTAAGGTTTGTATATTGGAAGGAAAAGAAATATATATATACTCAAGAGCTCAAAAAAAAAAAAAAAAAAAAGCCCAAAATACATCATCAGAAGGATTCTAGATTTTTAAAAATCTGTAGCCAGAGGTTATTCTTCAAATTACTAAAAATCAATTGCTTAGAGAATATTATTAGACTTTACTAGCAATAACCTTCATCATCATGTCTACCAAAGAGGTTTTTCTACTTGGTAATAAGTGATTGTATTCATTTTTTGGAAAAAGCTACTAATGCACCTACAACAAGTCCCAAATACGTTCAGTGAAAAAAACTACATGAAAATGAGTTTTTCTAGCATCCTCTCTCCAGATTTCCCCACTGCATTACCTATAGCTGAACCAAAAGACTTTCTCTAAATCCCAATATTTTTACACAATATGATCATAAAGCTAATACCATATGTTCTTACTGCTAAATCCTCTTGACAACCTACAACTCCTGAGTCTATTCACAGAGCCAACTTGTTATCTTCTGTTACATTTTCTAGAGATAACATCACATTTATTTATATGTATACTCACTGGTCCCTTTGGAAGTGGGTATGAGAAAGGAGTACTTGGAGATGGCATGGGCATGGGCATGGGCATGGGCATTGGCACTGCTCCATCAGGTCCACTAATGGGTGCTGTGAACCCACCCCCACCTCCTCCTCTTCCAGGGCCCCCTTTCTTCACATCATCTGTGAATCCAACATCAATAAGATCTGCGTCTACTCCAGGGGGAGCTTCTGCCTGAGAAAAAGAGAAATTCATATTACCCCACAGCTCAGGCGAGGTTCCCAGAAAGCAGACTCTGAGATGGAAATTAGCATGAAGAAAGTTTAGTGGGGAGGTCTCTTGGGATAATGACCTGTGGGAAAGTGAAGAAAGCAGGGATGACTCAAGAAAGAAGTTTGGCTGTCATGCAGTCAAAAGCTTCAGCCAATTCCCCAGGGAGCTCTAGAGCTAGGTAGAAGGAGCCTACAGCAGATGTCCCCAACTGAGTCAAATGCCTACACTGACCAGTTACTACTGAACACAAGCTGCTCTCAGGAAAGACTTTGGGTAAGGAAGCTCGCTCTTCTGAGAGCCACTGCTGGAGGAACACTCAGCTTTGTGTGAGACACTGGTGACCAATACTCTCAAGAGCTGGAGGAGTAAATGCTTGTGTTCTGAAAACTTGGGACGGGGGTTATCTAAGCAGCATACCAAAGGATCTGCTAAACCCCATCGACCTTAACTGCTGACTATTATTTGCATGTTTACCATCCTTACACTGTAAGCCTCTTTAGGGCAGGGACTTTGTTTTTATATCTCAGCTTTCTGCGCACTGTCTGGCACATCACAGGTACCCAATAAACATCAAGGTTTGGCCTGGCTGGTGTGACTTAGTGAATTGGGCCTAGCCCTATGGACTGAGAGGTTCCAGGTAGATTCCCACTCAGGGCACATGCCCAGGTGTGGGCTCAGTCCCCAGTAGGTGATGTGTGCAGGAGGCAGCCAATTAATGTATTTCTCTTTCTCTCTAAAAAATCAATTAAAAAATATTTTTAAAAAAAATCAAGGTTTGTACCGTTCAAAGTGCTTTCAGGCATTCATTTTATCTGGTCCTTCAATACTCTGTGAGATGTGTAGGCACAATTATTTTTACCCAAAAAGGCACTAACTGGGCAAAGGTTTCAACTTTGACACAAACTGCAGTGCAAAGAATATAGTTATTAAGAAAGTGGTATCTAGAGACTCACTTTTCTGTGAAGTCTGAAAGACTAAACTTACCATGACCACAGAGTCAGGCTCATAGGGTACATTGTAGTTCTTGGCAATTTCAATCAGGTACCTCTCCACCAGGATTTTGGGTGGAGCTTCCACACTCAGTTTGTGCATTAACTGTAATTGAAAACTCAGGGTTAAGATGCATCTACAGTCCAGCTGGTGTGGCTCAGCAGTTGAGCGTCGACCCATGCACCAAGAGGTTGCCAGTTTGATTCCTAGTCAGGACACACGCCCAGGTTGTGGGCCCGATCCCCAGTGTGGGGCATGCAGGAGGCAGTCAATTGATGTTCTCTCCCATCAATGTTTCTATCTCTCTCTCCCTTTCACTTCCTCTCTCTCTAAAATCAATAAAGGAAAAAAAAAAGATGCATCTACACCAACCAGCCTAAATCTAAACTGTCTCAATTTTAAATTTTGTTCTTCTCATTTTACAGGTAAACTGAGGAAAAAGGGGGGGAAGGGTTCAGACCAGTTGAATGATTTTTTTTTTCCTGGTCATAAAGGAAATTACAAGACCCATGTCTCTCTCATATTCTCTAGTTATATGACCCAGGTGTTGGTAAAAGACCAATACTGCTGCCTTCCACATTTGAATTCATCTACCCTTCTCCCAACCTCATTTCTACCTGCACAAATTACAAGTGACAAAGAACAGGAGTCAAATAAGAAGTGACACAGAATGACAGCCTCACAAATCAGAGGTGTTAAGGACCAGGATAAGGAATTGACTGCAATGCCTACTAGAGGGCCTTCCTCTCACCCTCACTATGAAATATGCAACCCTACATTAACCCTACCATATAGTGGTAACTAGATCACTGCAGGCAATAAATTAACCTGCCCCACCCTGCCCACTGCTTCATTTTTAACAAGTATGTTCCTTACCCTGTCGTTCACAGTTCCAATCTGGTTGGTCCTACATAACTTGCCATATTCTTTGCTATACTTGGCACAGAGCTGATCAGCAACCTACAGAGAAAAAAAGGACAGTAAAGTGGAAACCATTCATATAGACAGCTTCACAAGCTTCCTATCAACAGTAAACAGGCTTCTATTACAGGCCATCCAACAACAAGAGTCTGTAAAACTATAAAGGGTACATAGTAATTCATCAGTTATTAGTTTATGTGTCCATCCACTGAGCTGCAATTATGTGCAAAACTCTAGAATAAACATTATGATATACACGATAAGTAATGATGAACAAAACCAGACACTGTTCCTACTTTTTTTTTCTTTATTGATTTTTTTAGAGAGAGAGGATGGGGGAGAGAGAGAGAGACATCAATGAGAGAGAACATCAATTGGCTGTCTCCTGCATGCCCCGCACTGGGGATCAGGCCCATTACCTGGGCATGTGCCCTGACTGGGAATCAAAATGGCAACCTCTTGGTGCATGGGCTGACGCTCAAACACTGAGCCACACCAGCCGGGCCACTGTTCCCACTCTTAAGAGAGTCTTCTAGCCTGGCCAGTGTGGCTCAGTGCATTGAGCGTCATCCGACGAACTAGAGGTCCTGGTTTGATTCTCGGCCAGTAGGGGGCATGTAGGAGGCAGCCAATGGATGTCTCTCACACACTGATGTTTCTCTCTCTCTCTCTCTCTCCCTTCCACTCTAAAAAATCAATAAAGACATATTTTTAAAACAGAGGAGGAGAGAGAAAGAGAGAGACAGAGTGAAACTTCTAGTCCCTGGGAAAAATGCTGCTCAATCACACAGGTAAAAGCACAAATGCAGCTGTAATAAGTGCTACCAGGGAAGTACACCGTACTATCAATAGCTATGACAGAATCAGATCTGATTCTTTTGTAAAAAAAAGGTCAGATAACTGGGTTGTGGCACACAATACAATACACAGATGATGTATTATAAAATTATACACTTGAAACTAATGTTATTAACCAATGTCACTCCAACAATTTTTTTTTTAATTTTATCCTCACCCAAGGACCTTTTGCATTTATCTTCAGATAGAGCAGGAGAGAGAGAGAGAGAAACATCAATGTGAGAGAGACACATTGACTGGTTGCCACTCACACGTCCTCAACCCAGTCTGGGGATAAACTGCAACTGAGGTATGTGCCCTTAGCGGGAACCGAACCTGATCTCTCTGGTCCAGAGGCCGATGCTCTAACTGCTAAGCCAAACCGGCCAGGGCGATAAATTTAATATTTTTTTAAAAATTCAGGTAAGGTTCTGGCCAGATCGGCTCACTGGTTAGAGAGTCAGACTGTGGTCCAGAGAGACCCAGGTTCAGTTCCCACTAAGGGCATGTACCTTGGCTGCAGTTTGTCCCCGGCCCTGGTGGGAGTTGTGTGGGAGGCAGCCACTCAATGTGTCCCTTTCACATTGATGTTTTTCTCTCTCTCCTCTCTTCCTCTTCTTCCTCCCACTCTATCTGAACAAAAAATGGAAAATTGTCCTTGGGTGAGGATAAAAAAAATTAAAAATTAAAAAAGTAAGTAACAAGTCAGGTGAGGCTTCCAGAAAAAAGTGATGATTCACTGAGATACAGAGGATGATTAGAAGTTAACTAAATGAAGGAGGGAAGGGCATTCCAGGGAAAGAAAGTAAGTGCAAAAGCCTCTGATGGAAAAACAGGGTCAATCAATCCCCAAACAAAATAAGGATAGTGAGCCTCTACTGCAGAGCCTGAGGGAGGACTGTGGTAGGTAATGAAGAAAGGCAAGTGGAAGCCAGACAATACAGGGCCATGTAAGGCCATGTTAGAAGTTTTGTTCTATCACAAAAAATGGTGTAGTGACAGGATCAGATTGGTGTTTTGACTCAGATGTTCTGATAGAATGGGGAACAACCTAAAGAAAATCAAAGCAGAAAAAGCATTCAAGATGTTATAATAGCCCTAAGCCAAAATGGCCAGTTTGGCTTAGCAGTTAGAACGCTGGCCCGTAGACCAACAAGTTGCAGGTTTGATCCCAGGTCCCAGTCGGAGTCGTGTGGGAGGAAACCAACTGATGTGTCTCACCTCTCTTTTCTCTCATCTCTCTCTCTTTTTCCCCGTCCCTCCCACCCTCCCTTCCACTCTATCTAAAAATTAATGGAAAAATATCCTCAGGTGAGGATTAAAAGAAAAAACAAGTAGCACTAGTCCAGGCAAGAGATGGCAGTGGACCAGTGTGGTCCCAACATCTGGGAGTTCAGTGAGGGGACAATATGTAGACTCTCAGGGATACCTGGTACTTATCAGTTTGTCATTGTCTTTTTACAATAATTTTTGTGTTGCTTTATATTAGTGTAGAATTTTTTTTTTTTTTTTTATCTTCACCCAAGGACATTTTTCCATTTTTTGTACAGATAGAGTGGGAGGGAGAGAGAGGAAGAGAGAGAGAGAGAAACATCGATGTGAAAGGGACACATCGAGTGGCTGCCACCCGCACGACCAACCAGGGCCGGGGACAAACTGCAACCGAGGCACATGCCCTTAGCGGGAACCGAACCCGGGTCTCTCCGGACCGCAGGTCAACGCTCTAACCGCTGAGCCAAACTGGCCAGGGCATGTAGAATTTTTTTTTAATCCTCAACTGAGGATATGTTTCTACAAACAAAGTGGGAGGGAGAGGAAGGGAGAGAGAGAGAAACATCAATGTGAGAAGGACACATCAACTGGTTGCCTCCCACATGACCCCAACAAGGGCCAGGAACAAACCACAACTGAGGTATGTGCCCTTGGCCAGAATCGAACCTGCAACTCATTGTTCCATGGGCCGACGCTCTACCACTGAGCCAAATTGGCCAGGGCTAATGTAGAATTTTTAAATATTTGCTTATATTAATTTATCATTGTTTAGGGCTGAGTTTTGTGGCATATTTAGTTATGACATTATTATTATTATTTTTTTTAATCCTCATCCAAGGACATTTTTCCATTTTTTGTACAGATAGAGTAGGAGGGAGAGAGGAAGAGAGAGAGAGGGAAACATCGATGTGAAAGGGACACATCGAGTGGCTGCCACCCGCACGACCAACCAGGGCCGGGGACAAACTGCAACCGAGGTACATGCCCTTAGCGGGAACCGAACCCGGGTCTCTCTGGACCGCAGGCGGACGCTCTAACCGCTGAGCCAAACCGGCCAGGGCTGACATTATTTTTTTAATCTGCCTAGTTTTCTTCAAGTTTTTATGGCTTAATTTTTTAAAAAAAAACATGCAAATCTTTCTTTCATTTGGAAGTAATCTTGATATAAAGAAGGAATATAAATAAGACTGAGATTAAAACTGTTAGAAGCAGTTGCTACTGACAGCTGTCAGAGGGACTGGAGGCTAGGTGAGAAGACCAAAGAGATTAAGCAAAGAAAGAAAAAGAAAGACTCATGGAGCCCTGGTTGGTTTGGCTCAGTGGTTAAAGCATTGGCCCCCGGACCGAAGGGTCTCAGGTTTGATTCCCAGTCGACACATCAACTGGGTAGCAGGTTCGATCCCTGGCCCCAGTCAAGGTTGTGCGGGAGGCAACCGACTGATGTGTCTCTCTCACATCTATGTTTCTCTCTCTCTGTTCCTCTCCCTTCCTCTCTCTAAAATAAAAAAAGTATATTCTTAATTTAAAAAGTAGGAGGGATTCCAAAACGGCAGCAGAGTGAATGGAAGCTACACAGACTGTCTCCCAGGACCAAATTGGAATTACAACTAAAATAAAGACAAATTGTCAGGAAAAAGCAACAGAAAAGCAGGAGAGGACCTGTATAACCAGGGACAGAAAAAGGACACAAAAATTGAGCCCGGTAGGAACTATGAAGGTGCCAGAGGGTGGGCTGAGAGCCCATGGACTGCAGCTGTTGTAGCTGTGAGCAACTCCCTCAGGGTTAACACCCCAAGCCAGCTCCACAGTGCAGAGGGCTGGGAAAGAGGACTAAATTAGCTATAGCCACTCACTTGGGTTCCAACAAAGGGAAGGCAGACTGAACTGGAACTGTGTGGAGACTCAAGAGCTTAGAGATCAATGGGAGTTTTTTGCTGAATCACTCCCTCACAGGACGGTAGCTATCTTACTCAAAGAGCCCCTTACCAGAACCCCGAGGAAAAGCAACAGCCCCTCCCTCAGGAATTTACCACCACCTAGGCAGACCAGAGAAATGCAAATTGAGGCTCATTAACAGCCAGCAAGCATCTGCTCCACCCTCTGGAAATCCTCTTATCCTGAACACCTGAGGGACAATCCAAGGTTCATCAAGTAACTGAGATAGCCTTCAGGCAAAAAGCCTGTCCTGAGCTTGCAAATCTACCCAGGAAAGTAAGACCTGACAGTGGTGCTTAATGTGGGTCTTCCCAGGCTCATCCAAACCCAGTAGAGGAAGTCACAATCAGAACACCAACACCCACAGGGAAAATTTGTCAGGCTCCAAAACCAACCGAGGCAGTCAAAATGGTGAAACAAAGAAACAAATCCCAAATAAAAGAACAAGAGAACTCTATGGAAGAAGAAATAAATGAAATGCAGTTAAGCATGAGTCAAGATATAGAAATATTAAAAACCAACCAAATGGAAAAAAGGCATTCAAGTTCAAGAAGCACACAGGACCCCAAGTAAGAAGAACCCAAACAGGCCCACACCAAGACACATAATAATTAAAATACCAAAACTTAAAGACAGCCCTGGCCAGTTTGGCACAGTGGTTAGAGCATCAGCCTGAGGTCCAGAGAGACCGGGGTTCAGTTCCCGCTGAGGGCACGGACCTCTGTTGCAGTTTGTCCCCAGCCCTGGTTGGGTCGTGTGGGTGGCAACCACTCGATGTGTCTGTCAGTCTGTCTCTCTCTCCCTCTCTCCCTCCCTCCCTCTCTCCCTCCCATCTGAACAAAAAATGGAAAAATGTCCTCAGGTGAGGATTAAAAAAAAAAAAATTAAAGACAAAGAGAGAATCTTAAAGGCAGCAAGAGATAAGCAACAGGTTACCTGCAAAGGAACCCCCTTAAGGCTATCAGCTAACTTCTCAACAGAAACACTACAGGCCAGAAGGGAATGACATGAAGTAATACATAAAGGTAATGAAAAACAAGGATCTGAATCCAAGAATACTCTATCCAGCAAGGCTATCATTCAAAATAGAAGGTCAAATAAAGAGCTTCCTAGATTTAAAAAAAAAGGTTAAGGGAATATATTAGCACCAAATCAGCACTGCAAGAATATTAAATGGACTGCTGTAATTAGTAGAAGAAATAGGAAGAAAAATAGAACCACAATAAACAAAAATGGCAATAAATAAGTACATATCAATAATAACCTTAAATGTAAACAAATTGAACACTCCAATCAAAAGACACAGAGTAGCTGATTGGATAAGAAAGCATGACTCATATATATGTTGTTTATAAGAGACCCACCTCACAACAAAAGACTCACACACAGGTTGAAAGTGAAGGGATGGGAAAAAAATCTCCCAAGCAAATGGAAAGGGGAAAAAAGCTGGGGTAGCAATACTCATATCCGAAAAAATAAACTTCAAAATGAACGCCATAACTAGAGACAAAGAAGGCCACTACATAATATTGAAAGGATCTATCCAACAGGAAGATATAACCTTAGTAAATATAGATGCACCCAATTCAGGAGCACCGAAATATATTTTAAAACTTCTGGAGGGCTTCAAAAGAGAAACTGACAGCAATACAATCATAGCAGGGGACTTCAACACCCCAATGACATCACTGGATAGATCCTCTAGATAAAAAATTAACAAGGAAACAGAGACTCTTAATGATGCACTAGATCAAAGGGATTTAATAGATATCTACAGAGAATTACACCCCAAAACTGCAGAATTCACATTCTTCTCAAGTACACATGGGACATTCTCAAAGACAGACTACATGTTAGGACACAAACTAATTCTCTACAAGTTCAAGAAGACTGAAATCATATCAAGCATCTTCTCAAATCACAATGGAATGAAACTAGAAATCAATTACAACAAAAACACACAAAGACATTTAAACACATGGAAGCTAAATAGCATCTTATTAAACAATGAATGGGTTACCAAGGAGATCAAGGAAGAAATTAAAAACTTCCTGGAAACCAATGAAAATGAACACACCACACAAAATCTATGAGACAAAACAAAAGCAGTCCTGAGGGGTAAGGTCATAGCACTACAGGCCTACCTCAGGAAACAAGAAAAATTTCTAATTGACTATCTAACCTCACAACTTAAAGAACTAGAAAGCAAACCAAAAGAAAAACCCAGGGCAAGTAGAAGAAAAATAATAATAAAGGTCACAGCAGAAATAAACGACATAGAGACTAAAAAAAAACAATTCAAAAGTTCAATGAAACAAAGAGCTGGTTCTTTGAAAAGATAAACAAGATCGATGGACCCTTAGCTAGACTCACCAAGAAAGAGAGAGAGAGGACCCAAATAAACAAAATCAGAAACAAAAGAGAAGTAACAATTGACACCACAGAAATACAAAGGATAGTTAACAAATACTATAAACAACTGTATGGCAACAAATTGGAATGCTGACAGCCAGCTGATGCCTTCCAGGTACAGGATTCCTCTCTCAGGAAAATGACCAACCCAAGGAAAGAAAATGAATTCTTGACAGTCTGGAGTTCCCGCAGGAAAAGGCTTAGTCAGATCATTCAGCAATGAAAGCATCTGGCAATAAGCCCCAACCAGGCACACAAGAGGTTCCAATTTGCTATTTTAGTGACTCACTCATTATTATAAACCAACAACCAAGAGTCCCCAGAACTTTGAGAAAAGCCTCTACTATAAAATAGTCTAAGAACTAGAAAGAAAAACATTACAGAAACAAAAATTTAAAAGAAGCTATAATATTCTCAGAGTTAGAAGAAATTGTAGCTATGAAACAAAAACAACAGACTATAAAAAAATATTCAGAGAATTAAAAAGAGCTCTTAAAATATAAAAACAGAAGAGAAGGGCCCTGGCCGAGTGTCAGCCTGCAGACCAGAGAGTCCTGGGTTCAGTTCCCGCTAGGGGCACATATCAAAAAATAAAAATTAAAATTAAAAAAAATTAAAAAGATTAAAAAAAAAGACTGAGACAATCTTAGAGAAGCTAAAGCAAGTACACAAAGATGTGGAAAGAAAATAAGGAGAGAAAATAAGTTAATTGAACTGTTTAAAATTGAGTCAGTACCATATCCATGTTGTGGCAGGCAGTTTTTTAGCTAATGTCTGTCTCTTCTGCTAGACTTTAAGCTACAAGTACAGAGCTGGTATCCTATTTTGATCACCATTTTACCCTCAGTGCCCACCTAGCTCATAAAACCTGCTCAATAAATATTTGTAAAAAGAATGAATCAAAACATCTAAAATAAAATTAATGTTATTTTAACTTTACTGGCTACAGTTGTATAAGAACTTTTCTGTTTGTATATACTTAAACAACATTGGTCAAAAAATAAAAACTAAACAGAACCACTTTAAAATGGAACCAGAGCCCTGGCCGGTTTCGCTCAGCGGTTAGAGTGTCAGCCTGCGGTCTAGAGAGACCCGGGTTCGGTTCCCGCTAAGGGCATGTGCCTTGGTTGCAGTTTGTCCCTGGCCCTGGTTGGTCGTATGGGTGGCAGTCACTCGATGTGTCCCTTTCACATCGATGTTTCTCTCTCTCTCTCTCTCTTCCTCTCTCTCCCTCCCACTCTATCTGTACAAAAAATGGAAAAATATCCTCGGGTGAGGATAAAATAAATAAATAAATAAAATAAAATGGAACCAGAGTTCCCATGCCAGGGGAACTGCTTTGCATGTCTTATGCCTCAAATCTTTGAAATGTTAAAACAAGGCAAAATAATCTTTGGGCCTAGGGCAACAGTGTGTCCCAAAGAACTGTTTGCCAAGATAACAAGATAACTGTTTGCCAAGATAAAATAAATAAATAAATAAAATAAAATGGAACCAGAGTTCCCATGCCAGGGGAACTGCTTTGCATGTCTTATGCCTCAAATCTTTGAAATGTTAAAACAAGGCAAAATAATCTTTGGGCCTAGGGCAACAGTGTGTCCCAAAGAACTGTTTGCCAAGATAACAAGAAAGCAATTACGCCCTGGCCGGTTTGGCTCAGCGGTTAGAGCGTCGGCCTGCGGTCCCGAGAGACCCGGGTTCGGTTCCCGCTAAGGGCATGTACCTCGGTTGCAGTTTGTTCCCAGCTCTGGTCAGTCGTGCGGGTTGCAGCCACTCGATGTGTCCCTTCACGTCGATGTTTCTCTCTCTCTCTGTTCCTCTCTCCCCCTTCTACTCTACCTGAACAAAAAATGGAAAAATGTCCTCGGGTGAGGATAAAAATAAATAAATAAAATCATTCTTTAAAAAAAAAAAAAGAAAGCAATTACTATGACTACTGGAGTGATGACTATAAAATGAAAATTAAAAATATTATTTAGAATTAACATCATCGTTATCTGCACCAATAGAAATGCCTTCCTTCTCGTGGTTCCTCCGTCCCTTTCTTATAAATAACCATTGCCTTTGTCTCCTAATCGAAACACTATTTGGGCTTCTACCTGAATCAGTGAGTCCCCAGTAGCTATTCTCAATGATCTCAAATAAATGCTTATTGCCTCTCACTTTGAAAGACCTTTTTTAAGGTAACATCTCACACTAAAAATAATTTAAGACAAAATTGAGGATACATGAAACTTTGGTCCTTAAAAAAAGTACTCAAGTTTGCAAAAACACTTTTTTATTCCATAATGTAAGGTCTGAAAAGGAGGAAGAAATAAATTTACAAAGCCCATGTCAAAGGTAGCATGAGAAGTGTACAAAATACCTGGTCAAATAAGCAGAAATGACTTATGTTAACCAACTTTTCTTAACAACATGAAAAACTACAGACATCACTAAAACTGATTGTACTCACTATTTTCAACTCAGCCACTTCTGACTGGAGTCGAGGAGCAGCCCAGATAAGTGTAGACACAGATTCAGCCAGACCAGAATCTAGCTCCCTAATTAAGAAAAAAAATTAATAAAATTTAACATTCTTTAAAACAAACCAACAACCCTAACATTTGTATGATATGTCCAGATAGCCTCTAAAGCTAATTTAAATATCATTAAATTTTTAAATTACCTCTAAACATTTTCATCATCCTATTTTGCTTCTGGGAAAATTTAACCTAAATAATGTGCCAAGGTCACAAAGTCAGAAAATGGTTCAACCAAGACTCAAATTTAAGCTTCTCTGAGTTTAGACTCTATATTATTTGAACAGTTCTCTACACTGAGATCAAACCTTCAAGCGAATAGCAGGGAAAAAGGTCCTTGGGTATGTGAAATAGTCCCTTAGTACTCGCCCCTACATGTAGAAAAAGCAATATCACTCCTTTCTCAAATTCCAGAGGTGATTTTATTTAGGTCTTTGATCAAAATATCTTACTTCATTAAGATTATATAAGATGAATAAGTTCTAGAGACCTCCTGAACCACACTGTGTTTATAATGGACAATACTGTATTGTGTGCTTAAAAATTTTGTTAAGGAGGTATATCTCATGTTATGTTCTTCCCAAAAAAGAAAGGGGGGGAAGGACAAATAAACTTCTGAAGATGATGTTTATTGCCTTGACTATGGTATTTGTATACAGATATATGCATGTATCCGAATTCATTAAACTGTGTACATTAATTATGTATAATTTTTCAATATCAATAATAAAAAAAAAAGACAAAAAAAGCTTACTTCATAGACTGAATGAGGCCAAACCGGGCCAGCAACAGGTCACAATACAGCTCCAGGATCTCCATGGCCTCCACAAGGTAGTCTTCTCGTATAATGTGCTCCACTCGGATCCGTGCTCGTTCATCTTTCCCAGCAGCCAGATAGTCAGCAATCTCTTTCCTTGCTTTCTGGGTCAGTTCCGCTAAGGCACAAATCCCACTCCAGTTACACAGCACTAGTACACTAGGCCCTGGCCTACAGGCAGAACACTTCCCCAAAAACGACAAGTGGATGTTTCTATGTCCTAACTCACTCTTCCTTAGCAAATCTAGGCTAGAATTTGCTCCTTTGTCTAGGTGAGAATACTGTTTGTGTACCCAGAAATTTCAAGAGTCATATTACTTATTCCATAGCAACAGAGTATGTCCCTTTCCCAGCAACAAAGTGATGCAATCTAACCAGAGGTATCCAAAGTTTAAAGGATATAGGATCCCTAAGACTTCATAGTACTTAGCCTGAAAGAGCTAATATTGGGATGCTAGAACCCAGTAATGTATTTTGGGAGAGAATATATAAGGCAATCATGCATTACTCACTTTTTTTTTTCTCCAATAGTTTAAGACGGTTTATGACTAATCTCAAATTGACCCTTAAACGCTCAGCTTTAAATCCAGAGCCCAGCATGCTGTACTATTCCTCCTGGAAAAAGATAAAAGAAGCACAATGACTATTTTCAAGTTTAATTAGTTCAGAAACTAACACCAGTTAGGGCAGGTAATTTGACAGTATAAATGAGAGTAGTTTTCTTTTTTTTTAAAATTCTCACCTGAGATCACTTTTTGCATTCATAGAGCAAGAGGGAGAGAGGGAGGAAGAGAGAGAGAGTCAACACTGATGTGAGAGAGACAAATTGAGTGGTCGCCACCCACACAACCCCAACTGGGGCCAGGGACAAAATGCAACAGAGGTACGTGCCCTTAGCGGAAACCGAACCCAGGTCTCTCCAGACTGTGAGCCGACGCTCCAACTGCCTAGCCTAACGGCCAGGGTAGAGTGGTTTTCTAATACAGGCAAATGACATGATCTGATTCACATTTTTAAAAAATCTGTTTGGCTGTTGTATGAAGAACTAATTGGGGGAGGGTATTAATGGAAGCCAGAGGACAAAGGAGAAGGCTACTATTATATTCCAGACAACAATGGAAGCAGCTCAGATAGGGGTACTTAGCAGTGGCAGTGGTAGAAGTGATTAGATTTGAGATCTATTTTCTTTTTCTGTTGTTGTTAATCCTTACCCAAGGATAGTTTTCCATTGATTTTTAGACAGAGTGGAAGGGAGAGAGAGAAAGAAACATGGATGTGAGAGAGACACACTGGCCTTGGCCAGTTTGGCTCAACGGTTAGAGCGTTGGCCCATGGACCAGAGAGTCCTGGGTTCAGTTCCCACTAAGGGCACATACCTCGGTTGTGGTTTGTCCCTGGCCCCAGATGGGTTGTGTGGGTGGCGACCAGTCGATGTGTCTCTCTCACATCGATGTTTCTCTCTCTCTCTCCTCCCCCCTTTCTTCCTCCCGCTCTATCTGAAGATAAATGCAAAAATGTCCTCAAGTGAGGATAAAAAAAAAAGGGAGAGACACACGCTGACTGGCTGCCTCCCATATAACCCCGAGGGCCAGGGGCTGAACCTACAACCCAGGTATGTGCCCTTGACTGGGAATCCAACCGAAGACCCTTAAGTCTGCAGGCTGATGCTCTAACCACTGAGCAAAACTGGCCAGGGCAGATTTGAGATCTATTTTGAAGGCAGAGCTGAAAGAACTTGCTGATGAATGAAATGAGTATCTATGTATTGGTGTAGGAGTAGGGTGATAAAAAAGAAAGAAGCAGGAAGTTCTATTTCTCCCAAAAATCTCACCTTAAAACTGAAAGCATTGCCTCTAAAATCAGGAACAAGAAAAGAATACCCACTCTTACCACCATTATTCAACACAGTACTGGAAGTCCTCCCTATTTAGAGCCATCGAGCAAGAGAAAGAAATAAAAGGCATCCAAATTGGAGTAAAGAAGTAATATTATAACATTTTGCAGATGACATGATAGTACATAGAGGACACCAAAAGACTGTCAGAGCCCTGTCTGGTTTGGCTCAGCGGTTAGAGCGTCGGCTGCGGACCAGAGAGACCCAGGTTTGGTTCCCACCAAGGGCATGTACCTCGGCTGCAGTTTGTCCCTGGCCCAGTTGGGGTGGCAACCAGTCAATGTGTCTCTCTCACATTGATGTTTCTCTCTCTCTCTCTCTCTTCCTTCCTTTCTCCCTCCTGCTCTGTCTGAAGATAAATGCAAAAATGTCCTCGGGTGAGGATAAAATAAATAAATAAATAACTATTTTAGAAAAAAGACTATCAGAAACAATAAACAAATAAAGCAAAGTCGCAGGACACAAAAATCAATGTACAAAAAAAAAATCCCTTGCTTTTCTATATACTAACAATGGAATATCAGAAAAAGAAATGAAGAAAACTATTCCATTTGCAATTGTAACAAAAAGGATAAAATATCTAGAAATAAACTTAACAAAGGAAGTGAAGGATCTATACACTGAAAACCACAAGATATTGAAGGAAATTGATGAAAACACAAAGAAATGGAAAGATATTCCTTGTTCACAGATAGGAAGAATCAACACAGTTAAAATGGCCATATTACTTAATGCAATACATAGATTTAATGCCCTCCCCATCAAAATCTCAAAGGCATTTTTTATAGAACAACCAAAAAGTCAAATTTGGCCCTGGCCAGCTTGGCTCAGCGGTTAGAGCGTTGGCTGGCAGTCCAGAGAGACCCGGGTTCGGTTCCCGCTAAGGGAACGTACCTTGGTTGCAGTTGTCCCTGGCCCTGGTTGGGTCGTGTGGGTGGCAGCCACTCGATGTGTCCCTTTCACATCAATATCTCTCTCTCTCTCTCTCTCTCTCTCTCTCTCTCTCTCTCTCTCTCCCCCCCCCCCCTCCTTCCCTCCCTCCCTCGCCCTCCTACTCTGAACAAAAAATGGAAAAATGTACTCGGGTGAGGATAAAAAAAAAAAAGTCAAATTTGTATGGAACCACAGAAGAGGCCAAACAGCCAATACAATCCTGAGGAAAACAGAACAAAGCCATAGTTAATCACACTCCCTGGCTTCAAATTATACTACAAAGCTACAATAATCAAAACAGTATGGTACTGGCGGAAAAACAGACACACAGTCCAAAAGAACAGAACTGGGAGCCAGAAATAAATCCATACATATATGGGCAACCAATTTTTAACAAAGGAGCCAAAAACATACATTGGAGAGAGGAAAAAAAGCCCCTTCAATAAATGGTGTTGGGAAAACTGGAAAGCCACATGCAAAAAATGAAAGTAGACTGCTATTTGACACCATATTCTGAAGGGATTAAAAAGACATATAAAAGACCTGAAACAATAAAATCCCTAGAAGAAAACATGGGTACTAAATTCACAAACCTTGATCTCAGAAAGGCTTTTGTGAACTTGACACCAAAGGCAAGGGAAGTAAAACCAAAAATAAATGAATGGGATTACATAAAACTAAAAAGCTTTGTACAGCAAAAGAAACCATGAGCAAAACAAAAAGGTAACTAACCAAATGGCAGAAGATATTTATAAACAATGCCTCCAAAAAGGGGGCTAATACCCTGGCCGGTTTGGCTCAGCGGTTAAAGCGTCGGCCTGCGGTCCTAAGAGACCCGGGTTCGGTTCCCGCTAAGGGCGCGTACCTCGGTTGCAGTTTGTCCCCGGCCCTGGTCGGTCGTGCGGGTGGCAGCCACTCGATGTGTTCCTTTCACATCGATGTTTCTCTCTCTCTCTCTGTTCCTCTCTCTCCCTCCCACTGTACCTGAACAAAAAATGGAAAAATGTCCTCGGGTGAGGATAAAAAAAAAAAAAAAAACAGGGGGCTAATACCCAAAATACATATAAACTCATACAACTCAACAACCACAAAACAAGCAATCCCATTAAAAATAGACAGAGCCTTGGCCAGTTTGACTTAGTGGTTAGAGTGTTAGCCTGCAAACCAAAGGGTCACAGGTTCGATTCCTGGTCAAGGGCATGTGCCTGGGTTGCAGGTTCAATCCCCATGTGGCAACCAACTGATGTGCCTCTCACATTGATGTCTCTCTCTCTCTCTCTCTCTCTCTCCCTCCCTCTCTTCCATTCTATCTAAAACAAAAAATCAACGGAAAAAAAAAACACAAATAGGCAGAGCCTTGGCTAGTATGGCTCAGTTGGTTGGGCATTGTCCCATGCACCAAAAGGCAGCCAGTTTGATTTCCAGGCAGGGCACATGCCCAGGTTGTGAGCTTGATCCCCAGTGGGGAGCATGCAGGGGGCGACCGATCAATGTTTCACTCTCACACTGATGTTTTTCTCTCGTTCTCCCTCTCTCTCTAAAAAGAAAAAAAAAAATCAATTAAATAAAAAAGTTTTATTTTTTAATGGGCAGGCGCCCTTGCTGGTTTGACTCAGTGGTTAGAGCATTGGCCTTAGGACTGAAGGGTCGAGGGTTCAATTCCAGTTAAGGGCATGTACCTAGGTTGTAGATCTGATCCTCAGCTTGGGTCGGGGTCGTGTATGAGGCAACCAATCGATGTATCTCTGTCTCCCTCCAAGTCTATCTAAAAAAAAAAAAAAAAAAAAAAAATCAATGGAAAAATATCCTTAGGTGAGGATTAACAAAAATAAAATAAAATAAAAATTTTTAAATGGGACATCTGGTGAAGATGGTGGCGTAGGTAAACACGGTATCGTGTCCTCCCACAACCACATCAAAGTTACAACTAATCTACAGAACCACCATCATTCAAAAACCGCCTGAAATCAAGCTGAATGGAAGTCCTAAAAGTAAGAAATTAAAGCACCAGCCACATCCAGACTGGTAGGAGGGGCGGAGGCTCAAGGGGCAGTGGCAAGACAGGCTGGTCCCACATCCACGTGTGGCAGATAAAAATCAGAAGGACACCTCGGCTGGGAAGGTCCTTCCTGAGGACTGAGGGGTTCCCGTCCCACACCAGGTGCCCCGCTCAGGGTTCCAGTGCCAAGAAGAGAAGTCCCCATACCTTCTGGCTGGAAAAACCAGCAGGAACTGAGGCTCAGGGAAGCTGAAGTGGCTGGAGCCCCAGGCAGCTCCTTAAAAGGCCCGCGCACTGACTTGTCAGACTCACTCCCTCTAAGCTTGGAGGGGAGGCAGCTCGAGGGGTACCAGAGACATACAGGGAAGAACTGAGCTGTTTGGCACTGGAACAATGGCTGGAGAGGGAGGGGGCTTTCTCCGGGACAAATGTGCTGTCAGAGGTCTTTGTTCCTTTGGTGAGCCCTTCCCTGGGGCGGCAGACAGCTGCCATATCTGGGACTCCAACAACCTGGCTCACACTGGTAGCCCACCCTGGTGACTCCCTGAGGCCCCGCCCCACCCAACTTTCAGGCCCACCCAAGCTGTTGCCACTTGCTTAACCATAGGATTGGCCTGTCTTGGATCTTGCTTCAGGTTTTTCCTAAATTCTTTCAAACGAGCAGCATCTGGTCTCAGTTAGCCCCATACCACTCGTTAAGTAATACACAGAAACAAACACAGGGAGGCAGCCAAAATGAGGAGACAAAGAAACAGGTCCCAAATGAAAGAACAGAACAAAACCCCAAAA